ACAAAAATCGTCCAATCCCAGTGCGCCGCCAATTTTGCCGGGTTATTTCTTGTTCAGAATGACTAGCGTCGACGCTGGATTTGAGCCCACTCGACTACTATGTTTAAGGTGTACTTTAATCGAAGGTCCAGTCACATCCCTATACCAATTTGGAAGAAATGTTTGCTTGAGGAATGGGCCAAACTTTCTTCAGAATACCTCCGTTCCACAGTCGAGGCATTCCCGAAGAGACTCAAGGAAGAAATGAAGAACAAAGAAAATCGAATCGAGTAATGTTGATGTGTTTTTGTTTATAATTAATTCAATAAACTATTTGTGAATTTTCAAGTTGATTCGATCATTTTTTTAATAGTTACATCACTTTGAATGTGTTTCCATAATTATGGGCCACCCTGTATATAATTTCGGTTATGTTTTGAAAATAACTTTGCAAAATGTGATCCGCTTGCTGTAAAGCTTTTAAGTGAAAGTGAATACTACGCGGGTAAATTTGCGCTGATGCGTCTTTCTCTTGGTCTCGAACGGGCTAACAGGTTATTTCAAATTTTATGGTCCGGCTCGATAATTTTTTAATCAACTCATCAAGAAAAAATAATCGTTCCCTCGAAAACAGCAAAATAAGCGTTCGTTCACACGTGGCGAGACCTTTTCAAGGCGCATGCGTAAATCTACCCGCGTATAGCAGTTGCCGGACTCCTAAACTAGGAGCATCAATCAAATCCCCTCTCATTGCAATTGCATCATAATCCTCAGACGATTTAAGGGGTGGTGAAACGTTAAGCAGATATAAACAATTTGTAATGCTTACAATGTTAGAAAGTTAGAAAGAATTGTTTCACTTGAAATAAATCGTCTGGTGGTAGACCACTAAAGACAATTTATGTCATGGATCGAAACACAGCAGTAAGGGAAGATCGCACTTCCAGTGACATCCAAATGAGGCATTCAGGTGAATCGTTAGAAGACGTTTGCGGCAAAATGGATTTTATGGACGTCGCCCAGCCAAGAAACCATTGATTAGTGAAAAGAATAGGAAGACGATATAGTGGCATTGTGCAAAGCTCATTGCAAAGGAGGGGGGGGGTTACTAAAGCTTTGATCTGTTCCGATACAGTTCTGATGATCTGGTTCGATATCGATCGATTTAATATAAGATGTAAAGTTTGAATAAATTAATAATGTCACAACTATCTAAACACTCAAAAATTATTAAAATGGCGAGCAATTTTGTTGTCAAAGAATATGACAATGCACTAGTTATTTGGGGGGAATTTATTTGAGAATTGAACACGATTCTTAACGGACACAATTCCGTTTTGACTCATATTTTTGACAGACAAGTTGCAAATGTTCACGCTTTCGTCTGGTGAACACGAATTGTTCTTGTGAACATTTAATAAGTCTATTCGAGTGAAAGAAATATAAAAATAGAAAATAAGTATAGATTATGAAGCCGTTGAAAATGATGATGATTATGGTGATATCATGAAAAGAAGAAACCTAACAGGCTCAAAACCAATATTCGCAATGTTTGTAACAAAAGAAGCAGAAGTTTTTGTTGAAGAATAAAAATGAATTAATTGACACTCTCGGGTTACCTACCGATGAAGGCTTTCATTGAGATATATTCGATATCACGTAGACCAACCAGCTTGGCGTTTGAATATTTATGAGAAACGAGAAAATGCATACTGCACGTCACTTGTGCAATCCTTATTTCGTTTACAAATTAGGCATTTTCGATCTAGATTTCAGTTTCACCAATTTTTCTTGAGATATTCGGCAATGTTTTTTTTGTCAAATGGCTGCTCCTCTTTAAATTATGCATGAAAATACGATTTTCTTTCGATTTCAAAAATAACCTTCTGAGTCAAATTATAACTGTTCTTGCGAGTGTCGCTCTAAACCCCGATTGTACCGTTTTGTATGAAGACAGGAACTTTTTATGAAAATAATGGGAGTTTGGCTCTCTGGTAACTCAAAACTAATCGGATCCGACAAATTTCGGCTCCGGAATCAACCTTATCCGATAGGTAGTTCTACGAATAAGACCAGAGCGAATATATCGAATCAGACTAACGAGTTGACGTTCTGAACGAAACGGGTAATTTAAAAAATATCAATGCAAACCCCCGTTTAAACTAAAGACTGATGTTTTTGGAATTACCGTACCTGCTGAATTGCGGGTCGACCCGCTTTCGACTCGCCCCGCCCCGTTGCTAGTATGGATAATATCCAATTCAATCAGAATGCGGAGAAGTTCGAAAGTCGAACGGTTCTTTAAAACAATAAGTGAATGAAAATTGGCACCTGCCAAGTGGGGCCCACTTAAAAAAAAGTTACGGTCCCATTTTGACACATAGTGACACCGGATCGAGTCAAGGCCATCATGGAACGAATTCGCCGATATCCATATTGGAGGATGAGAAAGAAGGCGTCGGAGATTCATTTGAGTGCAAGAAGTGTGAAATAAGGGCCTAATCGTGTCAGAAAAGCCGCCATTCTAGCTGAAAAAAAGAATGAAGCTCGACTGAGAATGACCAAAAATCGACGAGGAAAAATCGAAAAATTTTGATTATTTTTTTTTATTTGCTCAATAAATAATGCTGTCAATTTGAACGAGTTTTGTTTTTTTGGAAAAATTGTTTTATTATTTCGTGTAAACGCTTTGAGCAGATCAAATGCCTGAAAACAATTCCAAAACTACAGGCAAAAACATTGGTTTGGAAAAAAAAACAACCGAAGTGGGCTGGCATTGGAATTATTTTTCAAACTATGAAATTCTGCTCTAAGTTATACCGGAAATCCTATTTGATTAAGCTCACATTATTAAATGACTAATATGTTTTTTTTTTTTCAAAATGCTTTGAAATGTTGTTAGTAGAAACAAATAAAAGAAGGGGGACCTCGAATTATTGAAGCTCCAAATAATTCCGTTTCCATGATGTAATTGAATGTTTGAATTCTGATCAAGTACAATTTTCAGCAAGATGCACATTCGTTGGATAAAAACGTGGAAACCAAAAACTACGAATTAAATTTACGTGTTCAGAGTAATGTAAGAAGTCGGAAAACAAAGTGATGAGGAAAAAATAAAACGAAAACTAATCCAGATTTGGACATATCTCGACGCTGTTGAAAATAAAGTTTTCCGACGAATTTCTAAATAACAAACGCAGAATCGAATTTAAGTGCATCATAGATTTGAATAGTCAGCAACAAACATTTAGGTCAGTGTACTTGAATGAAGTTTCGAAAAAAAGAAGCAAAACGGAGAAGACGCATTTTAGTTATAGGAAGATTTATTGAAAGCTGCAACCCTGATTGCCTTCAAAAATTTGCTCACCAATTTCTGGAATTCATTCATTTTTCGAAGAAACAAAAATACACACACATTCAATCGTATAATAAGGAGCGGAAACGGAAGCAAGAGTTGATTAGAAATGGAAATTTCCGTTTTCATTAACGTCGATTAATTTGGAAAGAAAACGGGATTCAGACGGCAACAGCGAATATAAATTCTTTGCATTCTCAAGTTAAAGCAAAGGAAAAACATAAACGCTGAAAACAATGCATTCTTGATTCATTGAAAATCTATATAAATCTCTAATCACCACCCCAAAACTATTCTGTGCGATGAGAAGAAGATCGATAGCCCGACTTTTTCATCTAGTTCAAGTCGAACATCCTACCATGAATGAGTTTTTGGTGCAGTATTGCGCCAAGCATGCATGAATCATAATGACAGAAAGTCGGACAAAAGTTATTCCGTTTTCCGCCAAAAATTATTAAAATCAGCAAAATATCACATTTTTTTGTTTTCAATTTTAAATTGATTAGATATTTATATTTTAAAAAGCAATGTTTTAAAACTAAACTCTTCAGAATTGCATTTCAGCGGGGGAAACTCGATTTGAAAAGGTTTTCTCAAAAAAATTTTCCACTTTTCGTATTTATAAATTCAACTAACTAAAACAAATGTTTTTAAAGAACTTTGTAACAAAATTGGTAATAAAAAATATTTGACATTTTCTTTTGCGGGACCTATGAAATGCAGTCCTAGCAAACCATGTCTTACAGATTTGCCATCGACGACTTTAACGATTCCCTGTCAACCCCATTTTGCTTGTGTGTCGGTCATTCTACTGAATGGCCTACAAATTTGACGTTTGAGAGAAAAAAACATCATCCGAATTATGCCACAATTAATTTATTACAGATCCTGCACGTATCCAAATAATATAAAACAGAAAAATAAGATAAAATTGGTGCATCTGAATAGTCGAAGAATGTTAATATAAATAACATACGTAACTGCTTAGTCGTCTTTTTTGTTTGGTCCATCACCTTCCTGAAAAATGAGAATCAATCATCATAAGTTTTACTATTTTAAAGATTTTCTCAAATTGAAATCTAGATCATTAAATCAGACCAAAAAGTTCAAAATGAAAGTTGAACCATATGGCTAAATATATTATAGTAGGAAGTAGCTTATAACACAAACTACAAATTCTGCACGAATTTTTGCAAACTTATGTTCTTTTGATCAATTACAAGAAAAAAACATTCATTTAATTAATGGCACGTAATAAAAAAAAACCGAAAATATCAATATTTTTGTCTCAAAAAATACAGGGATCATACGAAATGATTCGCACTAAATTTAATTACATTTTGCCAAAAGTAGTCTCTTTCTACGCTTGAATTTCCTTGAAGTATTTACCTTTTACAAAAACTACATATTTTATTTAAAATTTCATGTATTTATAAATTATTAATTCAGTCCGTTGCATTTTTACCTTAAAACGAATATTAATTTCCAAGTAAAGGGCGATGTAATAAAAAAAAATGGAAAAATAATTATTTTCCTTTTTCATCGCCCTTTAACAACAATAAAAAGGATACCAGGAAGTACAATTTGGTAATTAGATCATTTAAGGAAGGTCAGCGATTCGTTTTTATATAACAAATTGTGAAACTAAGGGACTCTACTAAAGCTTCTAAAAATGGAACTGCACACATACCGCCTTGGCAAGAAGATCCGAGACACGATTAAACTCATTTTGCAAACCCTCAGCCTGCTTCTTGATGGTATCGCGGTCAATCTGAGCCGATTTAAGCTCTTCTCCCAATTCTTTCACTTGTCTCTTGAGTTCGGCAACCTCCTCTCCGTCTTGCTGCAAATTGAATGTCCTTGTCATAAAAACATAAATATAGTCAGACATACCGCGTTCATCAAAGTTCTAGCAGTCTTTGAAGCATTTTCAGCTTGCCGCATAGCAGCCTCTCCAGCAGCTTCGAGCTGAGCTCCGCGAGTCAACAATGAAATGATTCTTCTGATGATTCTACAAAAACACAGTGAAATATTAGCCGAACAAAAGTTAGTACAGAAAAAGAAGAAGCGAAAATCCAGAGATGTACAAGTTGCGTTGAGCCCGGAAGAGTCTCATGTGGTGTGTGGCATCGGACTCGGCAGTAACGCGAATCGCCTTTTCTTCGAGGTTGTTATATTTCATCGTCTCACGTACTCCATCTAAAAGTTTTAGTTATTTATATTTTTTATTGCTTTAAAAATACCAGCGAAAAGGATGAAAAGAACGAGCCCAAAAGCGGTCCCGTAGATTTGTCCATGTCTCGTTATTGCGTTATACAACCGACTGTGAAAGATTTTGCTCCAGCTGTAAAGTAAATTATTGAAATGACATTTTTTTCTAGAACACATGTGTTTGCGGCAAACCATGTGTTGTTATATTGTGGACGCCCTGTGCTGAATTACTGTGAGTTTGATTCGCGGGTTATCCGCAGTACGCTTGAATTCCCATTATTTTAGTTTCAATTTGAATTATCGGCTAGAAAAAGTGCTATGGTCCACAATTATTCAAGACGCTCGTTTATAAAAAAAAAATCGGCGCAGGGGCTCGTTTTTTTTTTCACGAATTTAACAATTCAACTTTGAAGGAAAAAATGTCTCACTCACAATGACGGACGAATCCATGGCAGAAGCAAAATGAAACAAATTCCAATTTCGACATACAAAACGAATGCAACGATAGTCCATTGAAGTGTCATTTTGTTGTCAGGGTTTCGCTGCAAATAACGCTGATAATAACAAAATGAAAAGTAACAATCGATTGGTAGAACGAAGAAAGACGCACACGCATGATGCACTGCGGAGGCGAACGAGAAAAAAGTGAAAAAAAAATAATACAGCCCGTGTTGTTGTCGCCAACAACTGTCTAAAGTTCGAACATCGAAGAAACGTGAGGCAACGTGGGATGAATAAATATAAATGAAAACCATTGCAAATGAAGAAATTGTAAACTTATTTTATACAGGGTGTCATTTAAGTTCCCGCACAAAAGTTAGACGGCATGAAAAGCTTGGCTGTCGCACTTTTCGTGCACCAATACAATTTATTTTTGTTAAATAAGGTGTATTTTACTTACTTTTCAAGTTTCACTTCATTCGGATGTGTTTCCGAGAAATGGCGAAGGCTAACATCCATTGCGCTTCCATTATCGAACTTCATAAGCGAAATGAGCGCCCGACAGAGATCATTCAACGCCTCGGTGTGCCTCGTAGAACGGTTTAAGACACCAACAAACGTTTCAAGGAGCTAAATACGACCAGTGACCTTCCCAGACAAGGAAGACTCGTCTCAGTAACCACTCCTCAGAAGATCAACGCCGTCAAAACGAGGATCAGGCGAAAACCGCACAGGAGCATAAGAAAGATGGCGTCAGACATGGGAATGAGCATCTTCGCTATGGAACAAATGGTCAAAACGAAGCTTGGACTGACCCCATATCGCGTCCAAAAAGCGGCAATTCTATCGGCCGTCAACTAGCAGAGACGCTTCGAAAAAGCAAAACGACTTTTTGCTCGCACGCGGTCTGGAGAACACCTCGCCACTGTCTTCTCCGACGAGAAGCTGTTCACTGTGGAGGCGGCATTCAACTCACAAAACCATTGAGTACTTGCCCAGACATCCCAGCAAGCTTCAGAGAAAGGAATAACAATTTATCCAGCCTCACATCCTGCCAGTGTGATTGTTTTCGGTGCCATCTGCTCAACCGGGAAGTGCCCCTGGTTTTCGTGGATCAGGTGGTGAAAGTGAACAAAGAAGTCTACGTTCGGGACATTTTGGGGAAGCATATGATGCCCTGGGCCCAAACGCATTTCGGTGGGAAGATATGGGTCTTTCAACAGGACGGAGCACCCGCCCCTACTGCCAAAACTACTCAGGAGTGGTGCCAGACCCATTTTCCCGACTTCATCAAGTCATCCGAATAGCCTGCTTGCTCCCCAGACCTGAACCCGCTTGACTTCTCCGTGATGGGGTCTTGCAGGAGAAGGTCAACGCAAAACCCCACTCAAGTGTAGAGGCTCTGAAGAAGACATTACTGGCGGAATGGGACAATCTTTCCATCGAATACCTGCGTACCACAGTCACATCCTACCCGAAGCGTCTCCGCGAAGTCATAGCTGCGAAAAGAGGCCGAATCGAAAAGAGTTAATAGATAATTATTTGTTGTACTATAGATAAAAAATATTTCGAGTCTCGTTTGATTTGGACTTTTAGTTTCAGAAATATACGTCTTCAAAGTTGTGCGGGAACTTAAATGACACCCTGTACACCTCACAATCGTCAACGTGTTCTATTGCGAAATTCGCGCTGACTAACAAACAAACCAGCTGCAGGCGATTTCTATCAACTATAAGGAAAAAATATTGCTAAAATACGACGTAAAGAATGATAGTGGTTTCGCAAATTTCGCACAACTAATACAAGGTAGAAATATATGCGGGAGAAACACCACCGTTCCCTCTGCACGGATTGCCAAATTCGTATTCGATTGTGATTTCGATTCGGCGAAAATAGTCAACATAGATCGAAACGTTTCCAAACTTCTGTTTTTAACAGAACGGAGAAAATTTTAGAAAAGTATATCGGATGATTCTACCGATAACGAATTAAAAGGAAATCATAAATATTTTTTATCAATTGAACACACAACGACCGTACAATATGGTAGTAAAAGGCTCAAGTTTTTAATGAATTTAAGTCGAAAAAACGAAAGAGCAAACTTTCAAACATAATTTCGTATTGGAAAAGAATGAAAAGAACAGGAACAACCGAGACTTTGGACAAAAATCGTAGACATTGGAAAAATAAATAAATGATAAGTACTTTAAGCAGGTAATAAGATACCGAAACAATCGTTGAAAAAAAATATAAACCAGCATTAAGAAACTTTCTGTATTTTGGAGAATTGGTTCGAAAAATGAATACATAAAAAGTAAAAATGAAAGAAATCAAGCAAATAATTGATATTTAAACCGCAGCACAACTCGGCGAATACGTTGACCAATATATTTGAAATTATGATTATAGAAAAATAAAACAAAAAATAAGTTCGTCGCATTCCGTGGATTTCCAGCTTTCAACTACTCTTCTAAAATGTTATATTAGATTTTTAACAAATTAAAATAGAAAAATATCTCTTACTAGCATAAGATAGCGTCCATTGTTTCGCTGTCTTTATGGCCTCGGCTTCATTTGTTTTCCATTGTTCAGCAACATCAGTGGCCAGCGGATCCTCTGGATTTGGTGCAGAAAGGAGAGCTTGAATAGACAGCAAAACAGTGCGAATTTGAAGAGCTGGGGACCATTTGTCTAAATCAATTATAGAATGCATCCGACTACTGATATACGGGATCATGAGTACATTTACGGGCATGCGCCTTTTTCTACAATTCTGAGCTGTATCGGATGACAAATTGCTCAAACTTTTAAAATTTGTTAAAGATTTATCCTTAAAAAAATTCAGAAGATTTGCTCAGAAATTTCTACATAAAGTTTCTAATGAACCTATTCATTATTTTTTTTAATCCAAGAAATTGCCAGCTTTTTCTAAGAATTTTCCGCCATTTACTGAGTAGTTATTTAATAGGTGGTGAAATTATACCAATACGAGTATGGTCATTAGTTTAAGCGGGCAGTATAGCATTTCCGGACTCCTAGTAGAATTAATTATATTCAAACCTTTTAAAATATCCAAACAAATTCGTCCGAGCTTGTCAATGTTCGGATGATAGATTTTAGTCATAAATCTAACTTTTGGTGCAGCCATAGGATATTCTTCAGGCAAAAACAGTTCTAAATTGAAAATGCCGCCGGCAAACGGCGAATCTTCTGGACCTGTTATTTTTACTTTGAAATATCTGGAAAAAAAATTATGAGGCTATAAATTAAAAAAATAAACTAATATCCTTTTCAACCCACTGTAAAAAACATTACCGAGCGTTTGACTCATCTGGTGTCGCGGAAATTCCTGGCACAGGATCGGCCAGCAGGCGCTGAGTCTCCTTAATAATTCGGCGCGGAAGAGCATTTGCCATGTCGCTAATTTCAGTACTTTAAGAAAACGTGAAATGCAAATGTAATAAAAATACAATAGGCGAAACAACCGAATATAAAATTTAAAAAATGAAAAAATTATCTATTAATATTTATCACAAAAACGCGTAACTTTTTAATTCTCGGACAGACGAAATTGACAGATTTAAATTATCAAAAACTTCCATAATTTTTGAGTTTGAATTTTTCAAAAGAATTTCTTATTAGATTAAAACGAAAATGATTAGAAACTCATTCCTCTAAAATTTAAATATTAAGAAACGCTGTTTTACATTCGTCTGTCCTCGATAATACATAATTAAATGATGAACAGAAGTAATTTCTGACCAGCTACAATAAATTTTAACAAATCCATTGATCATCGAACTATAACTTATTTATAATTCTTCCTTAACAAATTTCGGCTTGAGTTCCTCTATCCTCTTGATAAATTCTGACTTCTCAGTGCACCCTTCCAATCATTGAGAATATTCTTCAACTCTTTTACGCTTATTTTCTTCAAATCTATAGTTTTCCAGTCCAAATTTCTCTCTAAACAATAAAAATATAATATAAAAAAATATAAATTATAAAAATACCGTATTTATGCACAGAGAACATATTTTACTTTAAGCTTCTCAGAAATCTTATCTGCGGGCATAGACCAGCTCAATGGCTTTTGTACCTCATGAATAATCGAAGTTGCTGATTTCGGTAACGCTTCAATGTAGAAACACTGAAATTTTGATATATTCAACTGAAAAAAAGAAAAAATACAAATTTATGGACCCACTTAACTTCATTCAAGATTTTGACACACTGAAAATCGCATAGGCCAAGAAATGCGACAGAGGCATGCTTAGAGAGGAAGGGGGTAATCTCAAAGAAAATTTCAACAATAAACCACCGGAAAATATTTCCAATAAAAATTTTCGGCTGCCGCGCGGAAGAATATTTAGAAAACACGTAGCTACCAATCGGTTAACACTTTTCCACACTTACAACATTCTGGGTTAAACTATTTTTATTGCACGTGGTTCAATTTTTACATTACATTATTTTACGGACGAATTTTGAAAAAAAAAAACAATTTAAAGAATTACGTCGACCTTCCCAGACAAGTGAGTTGAAATTGTAAAAAAAATTACTGTTGAGCAGTTCAAAATGTCTCGAGCAGACTTTTTTAATTTTTCATTATTTCCGACCAGCCCGGTTCAAATGTTTTTTTTTTATGTATTCACCAATGCATGGGTGAGAAACGGTGGACTTTCAAATTCTACATATAATTTTTATGGATTTTGGAATTACCCCAACTTTTAAAGAATTATTGTCGGAATCAAACGACTTGACAAAATTTAAAAAATTATTAGTTATGTCAATGCGGCGAGATTGCGTACATTGCATTATAGCGTTCGCGCATTAAATATTCAGTCAACGATTAATTTAAATCTACACTGATTTCGCGAATTTGAAGCTCCGCCTCCCTTCAGTCGTTTGACGCCGATAATATGTTTCCGAAAATTCAATTTACTATCTCATAGCTTACCTACGCATTGTTGATATCATGCGACTGACATAACTAGGAATAGGAAGAAAACAAATTTGCAGAGCATCTGAAAAATGTCATATTAAATATTCGGTACCCTCATATTTTTATGGCACTATGCGAATATTGAAAAAATGATTTAACCGATTTAAAAACCTAATGGAGCGAATCCGTTATCGGAAAAAAGAAAACAATTTTGTTTCCTTTTCTCTGGAGCAAGGCGATTTCCGCCGGAAACAGTATGTTTGAGAGTTTGAGATACCATTTCCCGCGGAAATCGCACAGCACCTGATCGCTTTTTTCCATTGTTTTGCTGGCATTGAATCGCCCATTCGGCAAATTACAAAAAAGAAAAAAACTCTTTTTTAACAATGTGTTCGAGTTTTTTTTTTCAAAAATCCGCATAGCCTTTAGAAAAAAACAATTGGAGAACTCAAGTTTTCTAGAAAGATATTTGAACCGCAAACGTCTTGGCACACACATAGTGTGCGCCTTCAAGCATTGATTGACGCTTTTCTCGTTGCCAATTTCACAACCGTGGATTTTAATATGGACTTCTTCAATAAAATTGTGAAAATTTACTTTTCTGCCAGCCATTGATAAGAGTTTCTTTTTTGAAATGTAACTTTACGTAAATTTGAAACCAAACCCACTTTGTAGAATTTATTTTTATTTGTTTTGAATAAATGAATTTATTTGAATATTTCAAGTATATCTTTAATTCAACTGTTCAAACAGTAAAATTTTAATTAAACATGGATATATCGAATTTCAATTAGAATGAAGGCACTCAAAAACTGCTTACAAGATCATTTCTTGTTCTTGCTTTCCAGAAAAAGGCAGTTCCCACGATTGTTCATGAACGATTGGTATCACCCCAAAAATCATAGAATGAATCACAAATGTGAACCGGTTTATGATTTTTATCGAAAAAATATCTTCCGATTTCTGCTCGAATTGGATTTCGAAAATCGCTATATATTTAATAAAAGATGACTCCATTCAACAAAATAGAAAATATTCATTATTTGACGTTTACATAGATACGAAGCACAACGTGGCATCGAGCACACTGCATTCATTCATGTTGTTTCGCGTTCTCGGTCTCGACTTTTTTGTTGTACGTCTGTCGTCCAACCGCACCGCCTCTCCTGCCCAAATATTGCCAAATACATGACCCGGAGGGCGTCTCACTTCGTAGCATCATTCCGTGTGCTGCTTATCGGCGAATTGTGATCTTTCCGACACGGCGGTTGAGAGTGTAGCGATTCATTTGAAGCAATGTTCGTTGGAGCGTTTTATGCGCTAGCCGCTGTCTGTGGAATTCTGTACTTCTATACGAAAAGTGCCGCAAATGAAGGAAACGAGGATTCTAACTTCAAGAGTTTCCAAAGAACCTATCTCGTTGTATATTTGATGGCAGTAGGTTCGTTGTTCATTCCTTTTCAGTGTTCGACTAATTTATCAACCGAATCGGGTGAAGATACTAACAAGAAAGATTGAATTGTTCAATTGAAAAGTTTCGCAATTTCATCATTTCTAATGACTGATTTTGATTTTAAAAAATTTGACGATATTCACTTCAATCAATATGGCATTCAATACACATAGAGAGACTACAAAACAATAGAAGATTCGACTATTTTCAGCCGGAGACTGGCTTCAGGGACCCCATGTTTATGCGCTTTATGAGTCCTACGGTATGACGAAACATCAAATCGAAATCTTATTCATCGCTGGATTCGGGTCAAGTCTTATTTTCGGAACATTCATAGGATCGATTGCGGATAAATTGTGAGTATGAAAAAACGGTGAATTGAGAAGGATCGAATGCAGAATTTTTTTAGTAGTCCAGAAGTTTGAACATATCTAAAAAAACAGAACGAAAGTTTATTCCTTTCAGTATATTTTGGAATGTTCTTTCTTAAATTCGAATAATTCAATTTTCCTTCGTTCATTTCGTGAAATTATCTACGATTGAGATCTTTCAGCGGACGACGTAACAATTGTCTTATGTATGCGATATTGTATGGCGGATCTTGCATCACAAAACATTTTGGGAATATCAATGTATTGATGATTGGTCGATTCCTTGGAGGAGTCGCCACCTCAATCCTCTATTCAGCCTTCGAATCGTGGCTCATCTACGAGCACAACACGGTAATCATTTTTCATCTGACGGTTGTTGCCCACTTAGATTCTAATCTCTGAGAAGTTCGACCAGCTTTAATCTGCGTACATTATCGTACTCATTTATATCGTGTTTCTAATCGTAGTCCACGATCAGTACTAAATTTAAATGCAACTTTATTGCTAATTAAGTAGCATTGTTTCAGAGAGGATTTTCTGAAAACCTGCTTGGAACAATTTTCTCAAATGCCGCTCTCGGAAATTCTCTTATCGCTATCGCTTCTGGTGTCGCTGCGCAATTCGTTGCTGACATTTTCGGTTTTGTGTATGAATTTTCTCTTTCTCTCTCTCTCTTCGACGGAACTCGTATTTTTAAGAGCTCCATTCGATCTCGCACTTTCCGTTCTTTTGATTATGGCGGTGATTATTATGAACACTTGGCCAGAAAACTATGGAAATGAAAAAGCTGAAGTTCAAGAGTCTTTCCAAAAAGCAGTCGCAATTATCCGGGAAGATCCAAATGTTTTCTGCTTGGGACTTGTTCAGTCACTGTTCGAAGGATCTATGTACACTTTCGTGCTCGAATGGACTCCTGCTCTTACACTGGCGGCTCATGGAGATCCAATTCAACATGGATATATCTTTGCGGCTTTTATGGTTGCAACAATGATTGGATCGTCAATTTTCAAATTACTTCAGAAACGCCAAAAACCAGAAGACTTCATGAGGTAATAGTTAAGAACTTTAAAAAAAAACTACGTTTACTTTCCCTTTTTAGATACGTTCTTATGCTGGCTGCGGTATGCTTGTCTATGCCAATTGTTGCTCCAGACAACTTGGGTCTTGTTTTTGCCGGATTTCTTCTTTTTGAGGTGATGCTTAATATTACATTCGCAAAAAAAGAAACGAGCACCGTAGTTACTGTAATTTAGTTTTTCTATGATGATATTGACGTGCAGGTTTCGAGTAGTAGGTACGCTATTTGTATAAATAAAACGAAATTTTGAATACCGCGCCGCAAACTATCAGCATCAGCAGCGCTCATTTTTGGCGTTGGTTATATATAAAGTTATTTGAAATATTAGGTCTGTGTTGGAATTTTCTGGCCTTCCATGGGATGCCTACGTGGTGCCTACGTATCTGAAGAGACTCGCTCGACTACATTGAATCTTTTCCGAATTCCACTCAATCTCATTGTTATCTTCATTTTGCTAAAGGTAAAGCCAAATGAAAACTTAAAAAACCAAAAATTGGCCTTTTTAGAACTTCACAATGATCTCAATTTTCAAAATTTGCGTGTTTTTCCTTTTCGCCGCTGCTCTTGCACAACATTATCTCTACATGTAAGTTTTCTTTTAAATATAGACAAGAATAAATATTTTTTTTTTAAATCTTAGACGATCCGAATCCATGCCGAGAAAGGAAAAACTTCCGATAATTATTGAAGACGAAGGATTATAATTCAATTTTAGGGTTTCTTTTTATGTTTAAGACAATGCATATCGACATAATCGTATTTCTGTTTTCAAGGGTATACACTAGGAATAAATTGTATAAACATAATAGTTCTAGATGTTAATATTTAAAAAATACTTCGAACAGGCACAAAAACTCGTTTTACGTAAAATATTATATCAAAATAAATACGATAAATTTCGGGTCTCTGTAAACGATGGAGCATCGTTGGCATCATTTAAATTTCCATTTTTCTGCAAAATTTTTCGAATTTCCGTCGGAACTGATTGCAATAATTGTCCGGATGTTTTACACAACGTTTGGCATTTCAGCTTTGCTTGAATAACTCTTCTGCTTGCCAGCATCGTTTAAAGGTAATCAAATTTTCCACTTAACGCACTATTTCAATTCACCCACACTTCCTCCTCTCGCACATAACTAAAAAGATTTTTGCTTTCATATACACCTAACTCGTCTCTTTCCCTATCAATACATTACTAATGCGATTATAGCAGTTCACAATGGTTATGACAACAGTGACACATTTCGCTTTTCGTGTTTTCGGTTAAATTTATTATTTTTCAATTTCATTCAAAAGAATAGTTTAATCTGTCAGTTGATAATGCAAGTTTCCTAGGTGTATTCTTCGAAGACCCTGAAAAATCAAAGAGCCTAATCGAAAAAAGCAATATCACGCAAATTCTATTAAAATTGGAAGCTCATTAATCTTGGAAATTATCTCTTGAAATCTTACCATTTAATTTTTCTTCAAGCTTTAGCCTTCTTAAGCGACTTGCTCGGTTTTCTAGTGGTGTTTCACCAGCCATTGGTGCTGGCATCATTCGAGGAGAAATGCGGTTAATCTAGTTAGTGAATTTTTTTAAATAATTGTGGGCGTGAAATGTTTTACCGGTGTCGATGCCGCATTCGGGGTTCCCGGCATAACGGTCGCCCATCGCGATTGGACTGATTTTGGAGTTGCTAGTCGTGTTGACGAAAACATTCTCTGATCAGATGACCTTCTCCTAGCCATCCGTTGATGTGTAGTAGTAAATGAAACTTCCGAAGCAATTGGAGACATTGGGATGATATTGCCAATAATAGACGATCGTCTGTTATGCGCTGGCGACTCGTGACGTTCTTTTAAATCTATTCCGTTATTCAGTAATTTCTGCAATAATTACATAAATTTGCTGTAATCGAACGATTTCTGGCTTACGTAAAACTCCTCTCGCGGCATTGGACTAATTGTCGACGATTGCTCTTCGTGCCGAATTTGCTCATTTACCTCTTCCTCCTCTTCTTCTTCTTTCTCCGTAAACGGTTTTCGCGTCTTGAGCTGATCTTTAAGTTCATCAACAGATTGAATGCCCATCTCAAATCACGATTAAATTTAATAATTTTAATTTCATAAACAATGTACTTTTAAAAGAAATTTAAACACGGCTTTCTTAATAACTTCTGCATAAATTTTGGCGACTTCAGGATTGTTTGGTATATTTGTCGATGATGACGAAGATGTCTAAAATAAAATATTTTTAGAAAATTTGAGATAATTGTACCATTTTTGTAGTAGGTTCATTGTGTGCCCATTCTTCAGCCTTAATTAGTACATGTTAAATTTTTTTTTAATTTTTAACATACCATTTGCACTAAATCGCTGAGGTCGCTATTGACATTAGTTGAAGATTCCATGTTTTCTAATCCACTAATTAATCATTCGATTCAATTTATAATGCGGTGAAATCAGCAGAAATGGAAAATTCGAGTTCACGCCATAATTCATCCGGTCCAAATCATTAGATTCATTGATTTTATAGTTTATTTGTTTGTTGGTGTTATATTTCAAATTTGAATACGTGTTGATTTTGATGAAGATAGTTGAAGCATGTCTGCTGCAGATATGGCTCTAACGAGAATGACGTGTACATGTAATAAATTGTTATATTGGAATGTTAGCAATATGCGTTCGAATTGCGTTCCGAGATTGTCTGCGCTCCCGCCAGACAATACGAGTTCGAGTGTAAAGTGTGCTTTCATCCCATCTCTCCTCTATTTCTTAATATATAAAAAATGTGAAAATTCGGTTCATAATATTTTTATTACATTTTATTTCTTGCTTCAGTCTTTTCGGCTTCGTTCAGTCAGCAATATTTTTAATTTTAATTTTGTTTAGAAATTCGTATGTGTTGTTCACATTTATTATCAAATCGTATTCAATAAGAGATGAAAACAACATTTTCAATGTGAATATTAACACTGTGTCGATATGGACACTGGGCGTGGCCTGGAAAACTTTCACTTCAGACTTATTTTTTGTTCCTAAGGCGATTTGATTTTTTTTTGAATTCCAAAAATCAATCTCAATAGAACGTTCCATGAGAATCTTTTCAAATTTGGTTGGTAGTTGTATCAAAAATAAAAATTATTTGTCAACATTTGAATTAATCGATTTTATTATCTAAAATTGGTAATGAAATCTACATAAATCGTTACACCATGCGCTTGGTTGAGCTTCCACAATTCCCACGTTTTTTTGCTGTGAAGCGATAGAGATTAGGTAATTAGTGGAATTGTAGTACAATAGGAATCAGAAACTTCCTTTTTTTAATTAAGTTTTGAATTTCGAGCATTTAATGGAGTTTTTCCTTGCGTAATCTCGATTAATCCTTTTCGTTGTCTTTCCTTTTGTTGTAAGTCGGAAAACTCGAATTACAATTTAAACTTTATCTAAAGTAAGCGTTAGACAACAATAACGAACGAAGCGCAATTTAATTAGTTAACGGATAATAATAACAATAATGGCTAGTCGGGGGAATGGATAGTATGTGAATACAAATAATAATGAAGCAGCACGGTAGGAAAACATAAACAACAGCGAAAACCAATCAAGTAACTCGGGTCCGGGCCTAAAACAATCCAACAACTCAACTTCGTGTATTTGCGCGCCAACTCTGGTGTGTGTGTAAACACCGTGATATTCACCGTAACCGCAGGATTTAAATTGCTAATATCTTTCTTCATATTTTCTTGCTCCTCGCAACATCTCCCCCGACAAAAGAAATTGGGGCATCCTTGCTTGGTGTTGGCGTTGATGACGTCGATGATATGACGATATATGCACAATGACCGTTGACTGGTTGCTGACTGATAACTATGGCTGCTGACTGATATAAGTTGGGTCTTCATTGTGGACTGGGATCAAATCGTACGATGGGTTTCCGAACTCTTGCACTGCGTCGTAACCTGACTTCTGGAGCGTCCTGGTTCCGCTTTAGAATGCTTGCGGGTACGTCCTTGGCACGATCCTCAGGGCCTGCCTGGGTGTTCGGTTCAATCTTGGGTTTAACACACACCGTACGCTGGCTACCTAGCGCGTCACATACATTTGACATAGATCTACTATCCTCAGGGGGACCTATACAAGGGGAAATATTTTGTCTCTGACCTTTTGTACGTGTTGATCCTGCTGACTCCTTTGCGATTGCTACTGGTATTTGACTGTGACGATGTTTTGAACTTGAGGGTTGACTTTGTCCATGGCAAGACTTCTGGTTGGGATGTTCGTTTGACTTTGGCTTGTCCGGTGGCGAATGGGTATTGTCGTTGTCACTGCTTGAACTCGACTGATTGGTGCACAGATCATTCACTGGATTTCCTGAAATTATTTCATGTGATACGGGTAACATGAAAATATCAGTCATTGTCTCAAACCACCTCTCTTCTGGACTCTTTACCAATCTATTTGGTCTCATTTGATTGGCGTGGAACTTTTTTATGTGTCCTTCATGATCCACCATGTAGATCACTGGTCCCACCACCTTCGTCACTATACCTTCTTCCCAAGTCCATCGATTTCGACGATAGATTTTTACGAAAACTCGATCATTTACCTGGAAGTGTTTCTCTTTAACCCCCCTCCCGTCAAAATGTTCCTTCATGATCCTTTGTTTGTCCGACAAGTTTTGTTGGGACTTTCCTTGATCATTCCCTCCAATTGAATCCATCGGTGTTGAGCGATAGTATAATAGAAATTTGTCCAGTGTTTCCTGTGATGTGATCCCTTCACCCTTCAACTTCCTGAGTCCGCGTTTGAGGGTATCCACAAATCTTTCTGCCAAGCCATTACTTTGTGGATGATACGTTGGTGTCTTGATATGTTCTATGCCATTCTCCAGGCACATTCGTGTAAATAATTCTGAAACAAACTGGGTTCCATTGTCTGATACTATTGTATCTGGCAATCCATTTCTAGCAAACATTTGTTTCAACAATGCGACTGTTGTGGAAGCTGCAATCGATTTTGTGATCGATACCTCAGGCCATTTAGACAATGCATCTACTGCTACGAGATACCAAACTCCATTTTCTGGTCCCGCAAAATCGATGTGGATGCGGCTCCACGCTCGATTCGGCTTTGGCCATGGTTCCAACGGAACTTTCACCGACGTCTTCTGGTTTTCTTGGCATTTCCGACATCTGTTTACCGTTTCGGTGCATGCTTCATCGATCTTTGGCCAATATACGCATGTTCGGGCTAATTGCTTCATCCTCTCGATACCTGGATGATTCTCATGAAGTTGCTTCAATACCTGGTTTCGCAATAATTCTGGGATGACAACTCTATGTTTCCATAACACACATCCTTCAGTGACTGCGATATCATCTTTCCTCGTGATAAACGGTCTTATCGTTTCATCGACTTGATTACTTCTTGGCCAATTATTCGATTTCCAGTATTTGATGACGGTTTTCAACACCTTATCCGTAGCTGTCGCTTCCTGAATATCGGACACTGTTAATGGTAATTTTCTTACCCCTTCAGCCAAATAATCCACATTTAACACCTTGACTTCGGCGATTACGATGTCTTCGTCCTGAATTTGTGCTTTCTGCATCATCCTGGATAGTCCATCCGCTTGACCGAACCTGTCGGTTTTTACATATTCAATAGAAAAATCATACCCCATCAACATCGTTGCCCATCGAACCAATCTGTTTTGTGAGTAAATCGGCAAATCCCGCTTTTCTCCAAATATGGCCAGCAACGGTTTGTGATCTGTCCTTAAAATGAATTTTCTACCAAAAATAAACCTGTGGAATCGTTTGATTGCAAAAACTAAGCCAAGTGCTTCCTTTTCGATTTGAGCGTAATTCTTTTCGGCTCCTGCTAGTGATCTGGCAGCATGCGCAATCGGTTTCTCCGATCCATCTGGCATCCTGTGTGAGATCACTCCACCAATTCCATATTCTGACGCATCGGCCGCCACAATGATTGGTAGTTGTGGATCGAAGTGGTTGAGATTTAAATCTGATCCTAAAATATCCTTTAGTTCATCAAACTTACTCTGTTCCACATCGGTCCATTTCCAAGGAGTGTCTTTCTGTAAAAGACGATCCAGTGGACCTCTCAATTCTTTCATCTTTGGGATGAAGGCACTATAGTATGTGATCATTCCCATGAATGATTGTAACTTCTTTTTGTTGTCGGGCGGTAGCATTTCTCGAATGACTTTTGTTTTTGCTGGGTTTGGCCGTCTGCCGTCGCTATCTAATAGAAATCCCAGGAATTCTATCTGTGGTTTTCCGAATGTGCACTTTTCCATTCTTACTCGAAATCCATACTCCTGGATTCGTTGGAACAATTCTGTTAGATTTTTACTGTGCTCTTCTTCGGTTTTTCCGACGATGATTACATCATCAAGATACGCCGCTACTCCATTTAGACCTGTGATCATTTTGTCGACCACTTGCTGAAAAATTGCTGGGGCCGTTTTCACTCCGAATGGCAGTCTGTTGTATTTGAAAAGACCTAGGTGTGTATTTATTACACACAATTTCTTCGACTCCTCATCCAATTCGATCTGTAAATACGCATCTGCCAGATCGATTTGGGAAAAGATCCTTCCACCATTCAGACGTGTGAAAATGTCTTGTGGAGTGGGTAGCGGGTGCTTATCTTCTTCAAGATTATTATTTAATCCTGTTTTGAAATCGGCGCACATTCGGGTTTTACCGTTGGCCTTTTTAATAATAACCGTCGGTGCGGCCCATTGACTGTGTGCGATTTTCTCAATGACTCCCAATCCGACGAGTCTTTCGATTTCTGTAGTAGCGGCTTCTAGCGAACCATAGGGGACCGGTCTGGCCTTCTTGAACACCGGGGTTACCCCTTCTTTCACTTCCAGGTGGGCCTTCTCCTTGACACAAGTTCCTAGCTCTTCCTGGAACACGGATGGGAATCTTGTTTGTAATTCTTTGGCCCTATCCTTTTTTACAGATTCGACCTGGCTTACCATTCGCTCCATATGGTACGCCATATGTTCGGATTGATTGATAAAATCTAATCCAAGCAGGTTTCCTTCTTTTCGAACATATATCCAACCTTGACCGGTGGATCCTTTTAGTTCAAAATCAGTATGGAATCGACCGTCTATTTCCATTGTGGATCCATTTGCACATATGACTTTGGCGTCAGCTGTTTCCAAAGTTGGTTTTCCCAACTTTTCCCACTCGACTCTACCGATCAAGGTAATGTCGGCTCCGGTATCCACTTGGAAATCGATCCACTGGCCCTTTACCCTTACCGGTAAGAACTTCCTAAAAGTGTTTATCGTGCAGCTCGATACGACGCTAAACGTCCTTTTGGGTTTTGCAGCGGATTTACGACATTCCTTCTTGAAATGCCCTGTTTCACCACAGTTCCAGCATTCCCTGGTCTTCGATACCTTTCTTTGTTGCCGACTCCTGCTCCGATTTGTCTGCTTTGTTCGCTGGTCTCCACCTTTCCACTCGGGCCTCGAGGTTCTTTTGTGAACTTGGCTTACCTCAGCCATAGACCTCCTTTCGATTTCTTCCGAGTCTTTTTTTAGGCTTAAGATCCTCATCCACTCAGCGAATAAGTCCTTTATTGTCCTTTGCTTCTGTTCCGTGGTCCTTCGTTCCATGAAATGCAGAAAATGAGTCCGCATTTTCTCATCGGCGGGGCGATCCAACCCTTTTATAAAGAAAAAGACCTTCCAGTCCTCAGCGCTTAACTCTTCCAGTCTCGCTTTTTCACACATTTCGTTCACTCTGTTAGCGTACTCCGTAGGCGTTTCTTCTGCTTTGGATATTTGCAAACATGCGAACCGATATGCAAAAAGAGACCGTTTAATGTCGAATATGTTCGACAAAGTTTCCGTTAGCTCCTCAAAACTTAGCTCAATGCAACTTTTCGGTCTTAGCGCAGCCACCAGTTGCTCATAGCAGGGTTCAGACAGCTTCTCCAATAGCAGTTGGCGCTTCCCGTCTTCCGATAATCCTTTTAACATTTCTGAATAACGATTGTACCATTTCGGAAACGTGCGATTATCCTCAAGATTGAAATCGAATGTTGGTATCCGCTCAGCTAATGATGCTATAATGGAAGCCTCGCTAACCTCTACCTTTTCCAACTTTGTTGACTGTTGCGCGTTTCCGGACAATCGCTCCACCAACTCCGCAAACTTTGCCGTTTGCTTCCTCCCTTCCTCCGCCTGAATCCTCGTTAACTCCATTTGCTCTTGCAGCAATTTCATCATTTGCAACATCGCCGTGTCTTTGTTATCTCCCATTTTACGATTATCCCTTTTTTGTTCTTGTTCCTGATCGCCACTGTTGTAAGTCGGAAAACTCGAATTACAATTTAAACTTTATCTAAAGTAAGCGTTAGACAACAATAACGAACGAAGCGCAATTTAATTAGTTAACGGATAATAATAACAATAATGGCTAGTCGGGGGAATGGATAGTATGTGAATACAAATAATAATGAAGCAGCACGGTAGGAAAATATAAACAACAGCGAAAACCAATCAAGTAACTCGGGTCCGGGCCTAAAACAATCCAACAACTCAACTTCGTGTATTTGCGCGCCAACTCTGGTGTGTGTGTAAACACCGTGATATTCACCGTAACCGCAGGATTTAAATTGCTAATATCTTTCTTCATATTTTCTTGCTCCTCGCAACACCTTTCTACGTTTTCTTCTTTTGTGTTCGGTTTCTATCCCCCAATTTCAGATATTCTTCCTCATTTTCCACAATTTGTAACATCTTGAAACTATCCTAGAACCAGAAATGGCGTTTATTCTACAGTCAGGTATGTTTTGAAGGCCGCATGCGTTTTGTTTACTATTTGATTGTTGTGTCGTCATGCTAAATATCAGTATCATTCCCATTTTTTATTAAATTTCAGGCTACAAATCTTATCAAAGAATTATTTGGTTATTTCAGAATCGATTGACGGCTCCCCGCCATCCAACGGATTACACATGAATGGACAAGATTCGCTGGTTCAGCCATTGCTGACCGATTTTTATCAAGTTCGTTTTCTACAAGAATGGAATGGTTTATTTCTCAGATAGTGAAAGTATCTTAATAGTTTTGTAAATTTGTTTCAAAATTTGTATGTGAGTTCAAATCCAATGTGAATTTTCGTGTAATTTTTCAAAATGAAACAACGTTTGCAGATTACCATGTGCTATGCTTATTGGAAAGCCGGAACCTACAACGAGAAAGCTGTGTTCGACGTATTTTTCCGCAAAAATCCATTTCATGTTAGATAATTTTTTGACGGAAAAATATTTTGTCTACTTTTAGGGTGAATATACAGTTTTTGCGGGTCTTGAAGATTGTTTGCGCTTCGTTGAGAACTTCAAATTTAGTCACAGCGGTATGGACATGAACGGTTGTGATATTTGAATAAAAATGCAATCGATTTTAGATATTGAATATATTCGTAAAATTCTTCCCGATACTGCTGAACCAGAATTCTTCGATTATCTGAGAGGGCTTGATGGAACGCAGTTGCGAATCGAAGCGATCCAAGAAGGTTGAAATCAAGTTTATGCCAATTACATTTGAATAATCTATAGGATCTGTTGTGTTCCCAAAGGTTCCTCTAATCACCATCGAGGGACCATTAGCGATATGCCAATTACTCGAGACTTCAATTTTGAATCTTGTCAATTTCTCAAGCTTAGTTGCAACTAATGCATCGCGATTTCGATTAGCGGCCGGAAAAAACCTTCAACTTTTGGAGTTTGGTCTGCGAAGAGCACAGGGTCCAAACGGAGGTCTTACGGCGAGCAAATATTGTTATATTGGAGGTAATGAAAGATATTCAAAATGAAATAATATTCGCAAGGTTCAAGGCTTCGACGGAACAAGCAATGTGCTTGCCGGAAAGTTATACGGAATTCCTGTGAAAGGAACTCAGGCGCATAGTTTCATTTGTTCGTTTTCGTCGCCTGATGACTTGAAACTTCGCAAAGTGAAGCGAAACAATTCCGATGAACTCGTCGATTTGTGGGAATTAAGTCGTACCAAGAGAGATTGGATTATGCACCAATTTTCGTGGGGAGTTGTGCAATCAGAAGTGTCTGAAGGAGAGCTAGCGGCTTTCGTCGCCTATGCGATTGCTTTCCCTGCTGCATTTTTGGCTCTTATTGATACTTATGATGTATTGAGGTTGTGTTGAAATGGAGCAAAACAAAAGAAATCGAATAAGCGTATTCAGAAGCGGAGTTGTCAATTTTGTCGCCGTTACACTTGCTCTGCATGAAATTGGCTACAAATCGCTCGGTTGCAGAATTGACAGCGGAGATTTGTCATATCTTTCTAAGGAACTCCGCGCAAGTTTTATCAAAGTCGCCGCTGTGTGAGTTACTTTTTGTCTGAAGATATAGAAAATGGGTTTACAGTCGGCCAGATTTGAGCTTTTTCGAAAAAATGCCTGTCGTAGCTTCGAATGACATTAATGAAGAGACAATTATGTCGCTTAATGAGCAAGAGGTGATATTGCGAATTGAGCATCTGTAGAAATTTTAATTTTAGCATGAAATCAACGCGTTTGGTGTTGGTACTCACCTGGTGACATGCCAGAAGCAGCCCGCACTCGGGTGTGTTTACAAAGTGAGTTTCAAGCTCGCCTCACATCTTCACTCCTTTGTTTCGCATTGTAGCTAGTTGCACAGTCCTCAGTGCCGAAAATCAAGTTGAGTCAAGAAGTGTCTAAGATTACGCTACCTGGCAAGAAGAAGTGCTTCCGAATCTACGGAAAAGCCGGCTATGCGATTCTCGATCTGCTTATGCTTGAAGATGAGCCGGACCCGAAAGCCAACGAGCAAATTTTGTGCAGACACCCGTTCCAGGTAAGATTATTGCATAAAAAATGGATGGGTACACAAAGTTGGTCACAAAGTTTATTGGAGACGTCAAAAAGCAAAAGCAGAAAAAGTGTCTCGGCGCGTGTTTTGTCGTTGATCCCGATTGTTACTTTGGCGCGAAGTAGGCCGAAACAGCGCCACCTCCACCGCCACCGCTTGGTCCGGAAAGGTAGACAGACTGTCCTGGAATTCCGCCGCCACCTCCTGAAATTTGCGACATTTTACTGTTATTTTCCATGGCTTTTGCTTACCGCCCATTGGCTTAGCCGCGCTGGCACCGCCACCGCCACCTCCAACTCCGAAGTAGGCAGATGTCGCTCCGCCACCTCCTCCCATGGCTCCTTGCGAGACACCGAAGTATCCAGAAACGGCGCCGCCGCCACCGCCGCCTCCAGCTGGTGGTGGTGGAGCAGCTCCTCCCATCACGGAAGCTAAAAACCCTCTTTCCTGCACACCGAGCTGCCATTTTACTAACCTCCTCTTGGGGCTCCAACAGCAGTCATGGTCGAGGCTCCTCCGGGGGCTCCTCCAACGGCAGTCATGGTCGAAGCACCACCTCCCATTGGGGCTCCTCCAACGGCAGTCATGGTCGAGGCTCCTTTTGGTGCTCCTCCAACAGCTGTCATAGTCGAGGCTCCTCCGGGAGCTCCTCCAACAGCCGTCATGGTCGAGGCTCCTCCTGGGGCTCCTCCAACAGCAGTCATTGTCGAGGCTCCTCCGGGGGCTCCTCCGACAGCCGTCATTGTCGACGCTCCTCCTCCCATCGGGGCTCCTCCGACAGCGGTCATGGTCGATGCACCGCCTCCCATTGGGGCTCCTCCGACAGCGGTCACGGTCGAAGCACCGCCTCCCATTGGGGCTCCTCCAACAGCGGTCATGGTCGAAGCACCGCCTCCCATTGGGGCTCCTCCGACAGCGGTCATGGTCGAAGCACCGCCTCCCATTGGGGCTCCTCCGACAGCGGTCATAGTTGATGCTCCTTTTGGTGCTCCTCCAACAGCGGTCATGGTTGAGGCTCCTCCTGGGGCTCCTCCAACAGCAGTCATGGTCGATGCTCCTCCTGGGGCTCCTCCAACAGCAGTCATGGTCGATGCTCCTCCTGGGGCTCCTCCAACAGCAGTCATGGTCGAGGCTCCACCTCCCATCGGAGCTCCTCCGACGGCTGTCATTGTCGATGCTCCTTTAGGTGCTCCTCCAACAGCAGTCATAGTCGAAGCTCCTCCACCCATTGGCGGTGGTGGGGCAGCTGCAATTCAGGAAGTTCGGTATTACATGTGTACTAACTTACAAGCAGACATTCCTCCTCCACCACCAGCTGGTGCTCCTCCAACTGCGAAGTAAGCAGAGGTAGCTCCACCGCCGCCACCTCCGCTTGGTCCCGCCAAATAGACCGATGTTCCGGGTGGTGCGGATCCACCGCCACCACCTCCCATAGATTTCGGCGCACCTCCGGCCGGCCCGCCGCCAACTCCAAAGTAAGCCGATTGTGCTCCAGCGTTACTACCACCAGCGACTCCAAAATAAGCAGAAGTCATATTCGAAAAACTTCTCGAATGATGATGAAAGAGAGCTGACGGTGGAGATTTATAGTCGCTCAAAGAGATTGTATCTCATGGATTATCTGATTACGTGATTAACATTATTACACGTTTATAGAAATTTTTAGTCACATTTTCACGAAATGGGTATTTGTATATTAGAAATTTTCTATTTATTCGAACTTTTATTTTTTTAACGTGTCTTTCTTATATATTAAATTTAGTTAATGATCATATAAGAAGACAAGATTACAATTCAAAAATCAACGTTCTCTAGAACATTAATCAATTGTTAACAAAAAATATGTTGTATACCAAAATAAGAATATAACTAATTAAAAACAAATTATGACCACTGAAATTACAGGAATCCAAGAGAGCTTTGGTGGTCCCTAGTCGTCTTGAACGTCTTCATGAAGTTTATTGGGATAAAGGAGAATTGAAAAAAGATCTTCCGACCCTCAAACAAATCAAGGTTTCATTCGAATGTTCACAGTTTTTTAAGAAAGGAGTTTTGTAGGAGCATGTCAATTACTCTATTAAGCATTTGCGTCAGGACCACAAGAGATATTTGAATCCAACTCCTTACAAAGTTTACATTTTCACGTTTATTGAGCGTTTCTCAATCACAAATTTTGTAGGTATCTGTATCAGAACGCCTATACACATTCCTGCACAACCTTTGGCTTCAAAATGCACCAATCGGCCAACTCGAGTAGTTTTCACGATTGTTTAGGAGTCAAAAGTTAAATGTACTATTATATACTAATTTAAGTATGTGATCTTGCCATATAATAAAAATTCTCTTAAAAGTGACAAGTTGCGCATACTTGTTTCATCTCATATTATTTGGCCGTTAATAATGAATGCTGTAGGGTTTCCATGCGGACGGATGCCAATGCAGATGGCTGCCGTCTCGCGGCCGACGTATTGTTAGTATTCTTCCTCGTATCATGCTTTGTTTAACTGAAGAAAAAAAAAGAATAATAAGAGTAGGATTCAGCTCAGTAAAAAAGCCTCTTGTCGAAGTTGCACCCGAAGTCGCCCCAATCCAATTCAAAATTATTTCGATGGCTTGACAATATTCATCATTGACGGGACTTAAAAAAAGACTACTGGACAAAGTAAATTACGGTAACAAGCAAAATAAACGAAATTTCCGAAAAGTCGAAAAATTCGTGAGTATTATTTTATTTCATATTTTGAGATCATTTTTATCGTATTCGGAATTAATTGGCAATTTTTAAAAATAATCAGGCGTAATGAGATAATTAAATCATTTTTTAGCAATCCGCTTTCTCAGAGCAAAAACTCTTTAGTTTCAATCTACATTCGAAATAATCTCTATTTACTGAAAAGCTATTATGCCCTCCTTTGACTATCCATGCTCAGGTCCCATTTGGAATTGACCACCAAATTTTCTTCAGCGGCAATGTCTAGATTTAATGAAGGATCTTTTCATCGCGTCACTCATAAACCAGGGTAAATAAAATGCATTTGAAACATTATCCAATGATTCAACGGAATCTCACATTTTTATTGAAATTCTTCATGTTTCAATGAATTTTTCGAAATAAAACATTTTTTTTTGTTATTCCGCGTAGTTGACGAATATTGAGAAATGCGATCGAAACAAATTGACTATTCATTTCGACCGTTTTCAACATTTATTATTCATTTCTCTTATTGTTCATTTTTTGCTTCTTAAACATTGTCATTATGTTGTTTTATGTTTTCTGCAGTTGAGTTGTATTGTGACTTCAATTATAGGACTATTCTTTTTTTGGAACAGTCCGGTGTTCCTCCGCAACCCGCGGTCTCATGTTTGCTCTTCTTCGCCCCTAGGTTGTCTCAAGGCCGCCAGACTGGCAAATTTTGATTATCAAAAATTATTTTTAAAAATTGTCGTCTACATTTACTGTAGAAGTTTACTGTTAAATTTATTTTGCAAAATTATACAATGTTATAATGTATTTAACACTTCATAATTGAAAATGAAGACAAATAAAAGTTAAACAAAGAAACATTATTTTGTTGACAAAAAAGAACGCTCGAGATAACTCGATTTCTTCAAGAATTTGTACTTCTGTTTATACAAAAAATATATTTGTTTCTGTTCGGTTGATTTCGCACATTCTGGAAAAAAAACTATACTTTTGTTTGAATGCTCGCAATTTCTCAAAAAGAAACTGCCTCTCTTGGAAATTCGATTTTTCTTGAAAATTTATTATTAATTTTTGAATAATGTGTTTATACAATTCTTTTTTCTCGATTTGTGATTTTTTTTTCAAACATTTTCCTCGTGCAATTTTGCCGACGTCAAAAGATTTTAAAAGCTCAAAGTCTAAACCCACAATCGGCGTTGCAATATTGTTTTTTTCTTCTCGTCAAACATCCTAAAATGTCATTAAAATCACAATGTTGTTATGGTTTCGTAAAAAATAAGAAATCGCTAAAACTACTTTTATTTTTTGTTTCACCCAGAGTGGAACATTTTGCGAGACAAATTCGAAATTGCGACAAATCGAATTTCATGCTTCAAGTTGAAATTTGTTCGATTTCTTTCTATTTTTATTACATAAATAATGCATTTTAAACCATTTTAATTATATATTATACTTTAAAATAATGCATTTTTATTTGTTGTGCCTAACTCTTTGTTTGCGCACTTTCGAAAGCCAAAGGTCTCAAAATGATTTGGCCAATTATGCGAATGTTTTCCATTTTGAGCATTTTATTTAGCTTTTCAAAAGAAAATATGCATTTTTTAATCAAAAAGTTTCGTTTAGGCAATATGGAGGTGATCTACAGTCTACCGAGAAAAACAAAATCATCATGTGGAGCGAAGTTTCAAATTCCAACAATTAAAGTTAGTAAGGTTAGTGCTATATTAACGCCAATAAAAAATATGTGTATAACGAAAAATGAGAAAGTTATTCTGCCAAGTTTTGTCATAGTAAAATGTGGCTGAATGTTACATGGTGAAAAAAAACGACAAAAAGGCCGATTTCTAGTAACTATGGACTTATTTTTCCAAATGGGACCTGTGCTGGAGATATTTCAAAAAAACCTGACAGATTATTTTGTAGATAACGCTCGGAATAGCATTTTTTGATGTTCTTCAGGTTCAGGTAAATTCGAACCATTATTATTATTGTTGAACTTGAGTACATTTTTATCGTATTCTAAATCTTTTTATGCTTCTAAATTGATATCTTTTGAGTAGTTCACTTTGCGATTTCCGCTGGAAATGGTTTCTTTTAAACAAACGGCCAATTAGTAGTGGCTCGTGAAAAGTGGCTTGGCTCGTGATTTTTGGCTCGCAAAAAGTGGCGAGCCACTACTAATTGGCCTAAACAAACGGTTTCTCGCAGAAATCGCGTTGTGCATAGCGGCAAAAACTCGTTGATCTAATTGATTTTTCGCAAAATTCTTATGTTTAAATGAAAAACTACTTCAACTCATTTTGTCAATTTTGGCCCCATCTGATCTCATTCGCGAGGTGCTGTTTGGAATTTGTCGAAATTTTGACCACAGTTCGCGAATTAAAAAAAAAACGTCTTACATCAGCTCTTTATAATTTCGTTTTACTGAATGTTCAAAGAGAATTAAAAAATACTAATGGACCCAGGCAGAAGAAAAAAAAGAACCCTTTTTAGTGTTTTTGTTTTTTTTTCTTCATCTTCATTGACGCTTATAGGATTTGATAAATAGACGACTTTTCCAGTTCGACCTGTAAATGTATCATAAAATGAAAATTTTGCACAGCATTTCAAAAATATGTAGTTAAAAAAAGAAAAAAGAATAATCTGAATGTTTTTTTTTTATTTCAGGTTAGCCCAAATGGAATTGAATGTATTTTGGAATAGATTCTCGAGTATTTCGAGTTTGTTTTCAACATTTCGCTTAAAATTGCAAACTCATCTTCTTGCTTCCAAACAATTTTGATTTTCTTCAGCACATATTTTTAAACTCGCTTAGGTCGGAATTTTTGATAAATCTCAATGATCATTCTGTTTATTCCAGAATCGTCTTTCAATATGTGTAGTTTGTTAATTAGGGAATCGATGTTTGATGCTTTGGCAATATTTTGAAAACGAAAAACTGTTTTTTTTCCATTGACACGAGAAGTAAAGACCTTCGTTTAGCGAAAATATTTGTCGTTGGATTTTCACCGAAATCTGATATTTTCTCACACGAGTTCAATTCCATAACAACTCGTGCCTAATTAAGATTTAGTTATTTAATAGAATTCGTTTTTTTAGCAAAGCATGTGAATGGAGTGCTCTGAGATCCACTTAATTAGATTATTCGGATCTCATCTCTCTTTACGCTCTATGACCACCATAATTATCTCAGTTGTTTCTTAGCGATCCTCTTAACCGATTTTCATTTCTAATGACCCTTGTCCATTAACCAAATTTTTCTTTTTTATTTTCGTGTGACAAAACGAGCATTCAAAAAATTAAGTGTTTTTGCTCTAACTCAAGTTCAAAAGTACAAGCTTGAATAAATTGAATATTAATCACCACGAAAACCAACTTTCAAGTATTTACGTTTTTAAATTCCCACGTGTCTGGTTCTGGGTTGAGTAAATCTCATTTATTCTTTGAGTGTCATTTCGAAGCTCTTAATTATGGGTTTCGCAAAAACAACAGTAAAAACCGGACTACACGATGTGAAAACTTGATTTTTTTTGAGCAAAAATTGTGATTCATACAAATCCAATCATTTAATTTTCGAACAACGATATTTGTATTGTTATCTGTTCTCCTTCCGTCGTGTCTTTTTTGTATTCTCGTGACAATTCGGCTCGAGCTGCAATTCAATGTGCAGTTATGTTTTTTTTTATTTCTGCTGGGGGACCATTGTCTTTCTTTCATGGCTTTTAATCGCTCATTGTTGAGGTTCGACGTTCTTCATCACTGCACAACGTCGGCGGAGAAGCAACGCTACAAATTGACGAGACGAAACTTTCGGAAGTTTCCGCATTGACTCCATCGAGCAGCTATTTTTCGGTGAAATCCCCGAGTCCATCGAGTTACGTCTACACAGCGAATATGGCCAGGTTCGATTGGCCCTGGATGAAATTCAATTTTTTTTTAAGATATCGGTGCTGCTTTGGAGCTTGTCGTCTGAGAGTGGGAGCTTGTGTCATTGCTGTCTCATGTATCATAATTTCAATCTTATGTAAGCCACACAATTTGAATAGGCAATTAATCTCCAAGCGTTTTCAGCGTTGTGTTCATTACTATCGATTTCGGGGCAAATGGAATCTGAAGATCAGACCATTCTTACTCCACCAATTGTGTTGTCTCTAATTCAATTTGCTGCATCCATGATATTGATTGTGGCAGTTCTAACGAGCTGTCACATTCTCATTTTGCCATTCGTGGCTTCATGTGTAACATCGATCCGTAATAACGATAGCACACAAATTGAAGTTTAGATACTCAACCTTCTCGGCCTAATTGTGCTATGCGCTTGGGCAGTTGTTCGTCGTTCAAGCTTAAATCCCACAATCGTTCCATTGGTGCTCATTTTCTCAACTGGAGCCAGTCTAATTTACATGTGGTTCCTCACAATCGTCTCAATGGCGTTTGTTCTAATACGGGACCGCAAGATAATGGGGTTTATAATTATAAAACGGCCTTGGACGCGAATTAACGAATTTTTTTTGAAGGTACGACGATGATTTTGACGTTGAGAATCGCACATTTGAGAGGGTGAGCAGCTCGATTGTTTGAAATCGACTACATACAATATTATAAATGTTCACGGGTTTTAGTGTTATTTTTCAAGAAGCATCTCGTAAATAAATGTGGTTCCAATTTACCGCCTAGAAGACACACACACACACAACACCCGTTCTCATTTCGCGTTGCAATATATTCGCTCATCTCGGACCCCGCTGACCCCTCTTCGTCCATTTATCATTGAATCGTCGTCGTCGTCCGCTGTTGAGCAGTCATCGTCTTCCACACTATTTCAACGGACATTGTGTTGTTGTGAAGTGCAAAGAAAACGCCGATAGGCGCTGTCCACAACAATAAGAGAGAGCATTCAACTGGTCCTTTCTCGTTTTGTTCTTTTAATTATATATAATTATTCGAAATTATCGCCAGATTTTGGAATATCTGAAATACTAAAAGTCGATTGGTGGAAGATGAAGTAAATATCAAAGTTTTGTTTTTCTTCGTTAAAACAGATGTGAAATCAAACAAACGAAATATTCATAAAATTGGAGCTTTTTTTCATAACGAAAGATTGTACATTTCATTTTTGATTATTTTCTGAAAAAAAATTCGTTTATTGTTAGAAAACTTTGTTTTTTTGCACTTCTTCCCATCGTAAATTGACACTTTTCATCGGTCGGTCAACTTTCTTCGCAAAGGTGGAGCAAATGTTGATATCTCATTTACTTGACAGCATCTCGGGTTGAAGTTCTCAAATGACAGATGTAAGCTATTCAGTGTCGCCGCGTTTTTTGTTATCTCTTCATATCGCCGTTTTCACTTTGTTCCTTCAACACGATGAACGCCTCTACGTACACGCATTCACATAAACACTCGCCGAAACATTTCAATTCTTTCTTTTTCACTAATTGCTTTTGGAACGCCCGTTCTTTTCATAGTTCTGCCTACACTTTTCGATTTTTTTGTTTTTATTTCATGATTAATGATCGAAATGCCATAGATTTATTACAGAAATAACTAACAGCTGCGTAAATACACATGAAAATTTTAATTTCACCTATAAAGGGAAACATTTCCTTATCTCTCAGTTATTTGTTATATATGTTCACTCTAATCATTTTTCTGAAGTAAACGGGTTGCTCAATACCCCAAATCATTTTTGTTTTTTTTTTTTCACATTACCTAGAAGAGCCCGAGAAAACCTTCTGAGCAGACTTTGATACATTTAAATTTCGAGCCCGAATCCGAAAATAAAAATAAGCAATGCATCAGTGAGCCTATGTTGTATATTGTTTTTATGTATTTATCAATACTTGATCGCGACCTAATTTTTGATTTTTTTTTGAATAGATTAAATACTAACTGAGTCAAATTTCGGGCTTCTCTCTACGATTTTTATATTGTATGCATAACTATTCATGCTTTTAGAGATTTTGAAAAAAAAATGTGACAATAAAACAGACAACACGTTTATGCGTCATTTTTCTATTTGATGTTTATGAATAAGTAAATATTTAAACGCTCTCATATTTTGTCAATTGAAAAAAAAAAGGAACGAAAGCGAAAAATGTCAAATTTGTTTTCATCTCTGCGTTCCGCAATTTCCACATACTACTGATGCGAGCACGTTTGTTATGTGAAAGATTGCAACTTGTTGCGAATTGATATACAAGCAAACATGTCATCGAATTAGATGAGCATAAATAATGAGGTGCAGACGCAAAAACGGACAACATGCACAAAAACCATGCTGATGCGAAGGCCACCCTTTCAATTTTTCTTTTTCGTGTGCACCCTCTCATCGGCTCCATTGTTCTCTCAAAAATCGCTGATTTTGAATATTGGTTCATCTTTTTCCGAGTATCTACTTATTTTTAAAATTCAAAAATTCGTAGCCTTGAGAGGCGATAAGTGAAGAGGAAAAAAGTACTTGTCTGGCTCCTCTCATCTCATTTGGTCAACGGCCAGCCTTGACACCCGGCATGCCTCTTCCGCTATCGGAAAACTGCATCAATCCGCCGCAACATTTTGCCTTTTCTGTGGCTCTCCATCGTTGTTCTGTCAACGCATTTTTTGCTTTGCTACTTGCAATATTGTTCGTTTCACAAGAACGCTCACATTTTTATGATCGTCATCATTGTTATCAAAAAACGCCGTAAAACGTTTGATAGCAGTATACAATATACGTTTCTGCCTCTGGTTTTCTTTAAGTTTTTGTATTAAAGTTTATTATAGATACAAACAAAAGTTTTGTCCAAATGATGAAACATGAACGTTTCTAATGTTATTTTTGTCGAAATAGCGAAACTTTTAGCAATATCTGTTGTCTCCTAAATTAATTTTACTAAAATGTTGGAAAATCAATAACACTACGAAACAAGGTATCATAAAAGATAATTAATACTTTAATTGTGGTAATTTTTTTAAATGTAACTAATTTTTGAAATTTTCAAGAATAGGTAAATTAAAGAAAAAGGAATGATCGTTGCAAAACCAATTCGTTTAAAAACTGTCGTATAATTACGTGTTTACGGTGTTACAGTCGGTTTGTTTACCGTAGTAAAATACATTTTTATTATTCCACGTTCCATTATTTAATTTTGTCCGTAAATTCTTTATTTGTTTGTGATTATTTCAATAATAATTTTTAAAGATTTTCATTCGTTGACTGCGGTAAAACAAGTGAAATTCCAAAAACTATTTTCTTTCAACTGAAACCAGCTTGCCAGGAAAGGATGCGATTAACCATCGCTTGCTATCGATAGTAATTATTCTAATGTATTTGTGATAAGAAGCTCTCGCATAATTAAATGGTTTCACCTTCCACCCCTTGATAGAGGACGACCCTCCCTTCCGTGTATTGTTTGATTTAGCGAACGCTAAACTGTCAACTATTCTATGTTTGTGCATGCGTCTGCGCCTGATTTCCGAATCATTTGTTTTATGCTGCAAGAGATGTTGGACGCTAACTGGTCGAATTTCGAGTCTCATAACGGCAATCCTTTCGACAAATACTGTAAACTTTGCACCTTTCCGTCAATTTTATTATTTTCCTAGCATCATCATCGTATGCATTCACGATAATATTTTCAGGTATTTTCACCTTCAGAATCAAAAATGGCAAAAGTCTCTGGAGCTGAGGAGGCGCTTGCTACAATCGAAACAAAACCGCGGGTAATTTGGAATTGTTTTCTTATAGTTGAATGATTTTCTTTGTATTTCAGTCTACCAAAAAATCAGAAGCATTTTTGATGTCAGGCGATGTTTTAATATCATTAAACCGAAACGTTTCAAGCACATATGCGAAACTATTAGGAGATCAGCTCCCGCCTAATACACTTATAGCAACTCCGCCAACCGTATTATCACGAACGTCGGCATCGGCCGGCGTTTCTTTTCCTTCAATGAATCGTGGAAGCAAAAAAGCATCTCGATTGCCAGTCTCAACAAGCCAATTGGAAACGAAGAAACCGGTTAGTTGTCGAGTATAAACCGAAAACATAACGCAATTTTCCTGATTTTTTCTATCATCTCTTCTATACAATTTTTGAAGATGCCGAACTGACATTTTTATAATCTTTGATTTTCCTTTAACCCATTCTAAAAAAGCAGTGAGCCGAGCTTTAAATTTTTGTCGCTTTGTTTGAGACGCACAAAAGACCGTTACATTGCTAATAATTTTTTTTTTCAATAACAAATTCTAATTTCTGTCAATACATAGTCATTGTAGCACCATCAAAGATCAACTGAGTCGCCGACGACAATTCGAATGCATCGACGCTCCGATGATCATAATGAAAGCGATTGTGAACTTATGTTCTCTGAAAATCAAGATCATGTTGACGAAAATGCCGTAGGCGATGATTCTGGTGCACACATTGATGTGGAAAAGGAGAACGATGAAGAAACGAATGAGAAATTGATGAATGGAGGTTGGATTTTGTTGCTATCCCTACACATCTTCCATGATTTCACTTTTCCCATTATTATTATATCTATTTCGCATCAGCTATTGATTGTTTTTCTTTAAGAAACATTCAAGAAAAATCATTGAAATCGAAAAAAGAGACTAGTTTGATTTATTTGAGTCCGTGAATAACATGTGTTTTTGATCAAGTTGCACCCTTTGTCAGAGCCTCAAAAATTGCGATACTCTTGAGCAAATATATATATATATATGTCTCGCAAATACAAAGTTTTTGATTTGTTGTTCACACCTTGGCCGCCCGCCGCGCTGTCAAATTTCCTCGACAAAAATTACATATCTCTGATCTAATTAAATATCGCCACACCCAAATTAATTGTCATTATTGATTTTGCCAGGCAACAACGAAGAAGCAATGAATTCTCCGAATGACGAATTGTTGAATAAGAGCTTGAGGAGTTCCACGTTCGGTGCTCCACAAGGAAATAACTCATATTCGTCGTCTCCACATATTTTGCATAACGAATCAAAAATTTATGAAGAAGATTCGTCAAAGAAGAATGAATCATTTGGTTCGAATGCGGAAAACAATAATGTAAGTTGAATGTAACTTATATTCGTTCAATTTTTTAAGCTCTTAAAACGACTTTTGTTAAACTATCAGTTAATGATACGTAATTCAAAATTTCCTCATTTGATCAAAAATGAAAATATTTTGACAATTATGTTCAGGCTAAAGACACACCATCGAAAAGATCTGTTGTTACAATCGATGCTGCTCCATCGTTCAGTGAAGAAGGCAGCGCATATTACACGATTAACGAGAGCCCCATTCGTTTCAATTCTTCAGGATCGCCTGCGAAAAAGCCTTTGTTCCAAGATCAAGTTCCGAGCAGTTCAGCGAGTGCAAGTCCATCATTGCATGCACCTTCTGATAGTTAGTTTACATCAAAATATATTATGAAATAATCGAATTTGAAGATCGAAATGGATATACGAGATCAGACAGCGATGATGAAATTGTTCATGCGAGAAACGCGTCGATTAACATGATGAGCCCATCCGGTTCCAGTGTAGAAAGCGAAGCTGCACAATTGGCTCGAAAACTTTTTGAATTGCGCTCTTGTACTGCTACGGATGTTGCTGATAAACTAAACGAACAGTAAGCTAAAACATCGGTCGATTCATTCTATCAAATATTCAGAAACGATTTCGCTGTCATGGTTCTGGTAAAATATCTTGAACTCTTCCAATTTTCGACGATGAGAATTGACGCCGCCCTTCGTGAATTTTTAAGCAGGTAAGCAGGATCAAAATTGAATTATTTTTCCTGAAAATAATAAAATAATCTTTGAATTTCATTTCCTCTTTTTTAGAGTTGAACTACGCGGTGAATCGTCTCAGAGGGAACGACTTTTGCGCTTTTTCTCGGAGAGATACCTGGAATGTAATCCATCAATTTTCGGAAGCATAGGTTTCTTTGAATTTAATATATTGAGAAAAAATACAATTGTGTGTTTCAGACGAAGTTCACACTTTAACGTGTGCCTTGTTATTGCTTAATTCCGATTTGCATGGTCCAAATATGGGTCGAAAAATGACGGCAAGGGATTTTATTACCAATATTGGACATACAGGTTGCACTTATAAGCGTGATTTGCTCAAAACATTGTATACGAGTATTAAAGATAACGCGATAGTTTTAGAACAGTCAGTTTCATAGAATTTTTCTACTAAAACTTGAATTATCCGTTTGCAGAGGTCCTTCGACCAAAAATTCATCACGAAACGGGTCAGTTTCTTCTAGTCAAAAACGGCGAATATTCGAAGTTGACCCGAATTCTGTTGTTGAATATCACAGTGGATATCTCATGAGAAAATACGTGAGAGAAAGCGATGGAGCAAAAAGTGAGTTATTTTGATCAAATGAATGTTAATCCAAATTTAGCACCATTTGGCCGAAGAAGTTGGAAAATGGTTTATGCAAGACTTCGAGGTCTTGTGTTATATTTTGATTCGGATGAGACTCCAAAAGCGACGAGTCGATATGCATCTCTGGATAATGCTCTTTCGTTACATCATGCATTCGCTGAATCTGCCACTGATTACAACAAAAAAGCTCATGTGTTTAGGGTTAGAATAGCTCATGGAGGAGAAGTATTATTCCAAACAGGGTAAATTGACTTGTAAACGAAATGATGCTCATTTCACTTTTTAGTAATGACTCGGAAGTGTCCAAGTGGTGCGATGAAATAAACTTCGTTGCTGCCGCTTTTTCTTCGCCGACATTGCCTCTTCCAGTGACGGCACGACCGGAATCTGCACCGATGCCTAGATTACCGCGAATGCCTTGCATTGCTCCAATCTCCAGGCAAATTCTAACACACGAGTCACGCGTTGCCGAACTCAGCGAAATGATAGAAACAGTAGCAGCTTCGGTTTATCCGGAACGAGCACAACATTTGATTGTTGACCGACTAGTTTTTCTACACTTCGAGGTAATTTCCTTGTAGACATATCATATATAATATATAATTATTTGATTTAGAAACGGCGATATTCGAAGTATGTATCAATTCTCCGAAAACATCTGAAGGAGAAGCAAATGGCAAGTAGAAATTCGTTTAAAAAATCATCGATTCCAATATGTGAAGATCGGTTGAGTTATACAGACGCGGTTAACAGCGCCAATTAGAAAAACAATCCTGTGAATACATAGATTGCACTAAAATGCACCCAAGGTGCTATCTTTTCTTGTTCTACAATACTGGTGCCATTGAATATTTATATCATAAAATTGAATAAAGGTTTTTGATATTAGATAAAAAATATAATGGTTTATTATTTAGAAAGTACGTAAACAAATGTTTGATTCAAACTTGTTCCTAGTGTGATATATGTGAATACTCGATACTCGTATTTTGAAAGAAGACAAGAAAAACGTGTAAATCATTATTTAAATATGCACAATTTGAAAAACAATCCTATAATAATTATTTCTTGTTACTCATCTGTTTTTGCGTAAGCTTGTAGTATGTTCCTTTCTGAGACATCAGTTCTTGATGGTTACCTGATAAATAATTTTTAGCGCTGTTCATTATTTGACTCGTTCTACCTTGCTCGATTATGGTTCCATTGCTTACAACAGCAATCGAATCGGCGCTCATAACAGTGTTGAGACGATGGGCAATCACGATGCAAGTTCTTCCTTCTCTTGCACGATCAAGAGCTTCTTGCACGATCTTCTCAGATTCGGTATCCAAAGCACTAGTAGCTTCATCGAGAAGCAAGATCTTCGGGTTTCGAACCAATGCACGGGCAATGGCAATGCGCTGCTTCTGACCTCCGGACAATTGGGTTCCGCGATCTCCTACTCTTGTTTCGTATCCTTGTGGCAAAGATACTATAAAATTGTGGATGTTCGCGAGTTTCGCTGCTTCTTCAACATCTTTGAGGTTCACTTGGCCAGCTGAAAACTTCTATTCGATTATGGCTATTGCAACTTAAGTTTACATTCCAATCCATATGCAATATTTTCGGCAATCGAACAATCGAAAAGTGTCGGCTCTTGAGAAACAATCGCGATTTGTGAGCGAGTAAATTCCGGATTCAATGTTCTAATCTCAGATCCATCCAAATACTAAAATGTGTAAACGAAATTAAGACAAACACGCGAAATTGAATTACAATTTCTCCAGATAGGGGGTCGTAGAATCGTTCAAGAAGAGCCACAACTGTACTCTTTCCGCATCCCGATGGTCCGACGAGTGCCAGTGTTTGTCCGGGTTTCACGGAAAACGAAAGACCTTTGAGGATTTCAACTTCTTTCCTTTCAGGATACGCAAAACGCACATTTTTGAATATGACGTTGCCAGTAATTTTCTGCAATAAAGCAATGCGTCTGATTAGTGGTCGTTGTAAATTCTAATACCTTCTTTTCTCCACTAGTTGACAAATTATCAATTTCAGATTTTTCACCGAGCATTGAAAAAATGATTCCTCCGGCCATTGTTGCTTTCGCGTATTCCGGGAAATAAGCAGAAGCAAATCCAAGAGTTGATGTTGAAATTGTGATTGCGTACATGACTCGAAGGACTCGCATCGGGAGCATTGTAGGCGGAGATGTGAGAACAAGCGCCATACCCATTCGGTAGGAGCATGTATTCAATAAGTACAGCACACAGCAAGCGGCGCCATACGAAAGCCCTTGAATCAGTGCTTCTTTGATTGCTTCTTTATGGGGATTGTCAAGCTTTTGACAGAACTTCTCGTGGAATCGGTCTTCTTTGGCCAACGCTTGAACAGTTCGCACGTTTTCGATAGCCTCGATGGCGATTTTTCCAGAATCTGCGAATTCGGCGGCAGATTTCACATTTTTACCGGCGAAACGACGACCACGCAAATATTGTCCAAATCCAACAATAGGCAGAAGGCCGACAATTAGTAAAGCCATCTGCCATCCGTAGTAGAATGCCAGGGAAATTCCAGCAACCAGTGAGATAATGGTGGTGATAACAGTTGAAAATCGGAAATCGATACTCTGAAGTACATATTTCAAAAAAAAAATATATGGAAAATTGATATACAGCTCTCAAATTCGACACATCTGTTGCCAATCGAGTGCAAATTTTTCCAGCGGCATGATTCGGTGAATCGAAATAACCCATATGTTGAGAGACAACATTTCGGAAGAGCTTATTTCTCAAATCCATTGTCAAATTTTCCGAAGCAATACCCATAAAGAATGTCTGAAAAAAGACACCATTTTGGTAGTCAATATTCTCCTTTTACCATGCAGAATGCAACAGTTCCCTGAATGCCTGCGAGCACGAGAAACATGAGAGCCCAAAAGTGACCTTGCGGGAGCAAATCGTCTGGACTTTTTGAAAATACCTAAAATATGAATCGGTTGATATTTTCTGTTCTATTTTTACATTAATAAATGATGTGAAGAATATGGAATAGGTTGGGTAGATCAAGCCGCCAATACAAGCAGCACTGAGGCCAAGAACAATATAAACGATGTGCTGTCGGGCAACCATTATAATTTCAAACAGATTCGTCTTTCGGCCACCAGTTTCTTCCAATTCTGCAAAAAGTGGAATCATCTAGCGAACATGGGCAGCACAGCTTGCCTTCTTTCAAACGGTTGACATCATTCTTTCCGATTCTCTTTTCTTCTACAGGCTCCGAAATTATATTAGTAACTGAGACCATTGTTGACGATCGTAAACGAGCAGCCGCATCGGTCATATCAGAGAGCTGTCTGGATAAAGCTTCGTGATCGGATGGCATTTGAACACTGTTTTCCCTTGAAACTTTCGCGTGAGCACCTATATCAACTGCATCTGTGAATGTTTGAGCCGTCACGAGGTCATAGTACAATCCCTGTTGAGCCATGAGTGTACGATGGTCTCCAACCTCGACGACTTTTCCATCTTTGCACGAAACAATTAGATCAGCGTTGCGAATCGTTGAAAGACGATGTGCAATGATGATAGTGGTTCTTCCTTTTGCAGCCTTGTCCAGTGCTTCTTGTACAATTCCTTCAGATTCTGCATCCAAAGCACTAGTAGCTTCATCGAGAAGCAAGATCTTCGGGTTTCGAACCAATGCCCGCGCAATGGCAATGCGCTGCTTCTGACCTCCGGACAATTGGGTTCCGCGATCTCCGACAAGCGTTGCATAGCCATTCGGTAATGTCCTGATAAACTTTTCGGCATTAGCCATCCTACATGCTTGTACCATTTCCTCGCGAGTTATGTTTTCACGGCCAAGCTGAAAAGCACGTTTAGTTAACAACCGATTTAAAAAATTTCTTTAATTAGTTATATTCAATTATGTATGATTGATATTTAATGGAATAAACTCACTCTGATATTTTCTTCAATTGAGCAATTGAACAAAACCGGCTCTTGCGACACAACAGCAACATTGGTTCTCAAGAATTCAATGTTAATGTCTTCAATATTAACTCCATCAATCGAAATCTTTAAAAAACAGGGTTTGTTATATGTATGTTCATGAAAAGAGAGTACCTTTCCTTTCAAGACATTGTAATATCTGAGGAGTAAACTGATAATGGTCGATTTTCCGCATCCGGATGAACCAACAAGAGCAACAGTTTGACCAGCATTCACACGAATATTCATTCCGCGAAGAATCTGAATTGAAAATTGAAAAATATAATGAAACGAAAATCGTTTTTACAGGAACATCCGGTCGTGAGGGATACGAGAAATGAACATCTTCTACCGTAATATCTCCCTTGATCTTCATATCTTTCTTTCCTTCTTTACTAGCAGAATTGATCACAGGTTTCTAAATTCGTGAAAAAGAAATGAAGTGAGATTTTAAATCTGAATTACCCTATCAAGAACTTCAAAAATTGACGATGCAGCTCCTTGAGCTGTTCCTAAAACGGCAAGCTGCGGTCCAGCAAGTCCGAGTGCCATAGAACCCATCATAACAGAAGAGAAAGTCTAAATATTGTTTTATGAATGACTGTGTGTATTCGAAATTGAATTACCGTAAGCATGTCTCCCGGAGTAAGTGAGCCATCATGAACCCAACCAACTCCAATGTAAAATGCCAACGCAAATGAAGCAAAGTTGGCTGCTTGCATGCAACCGAACGAGATTCCAAGAAAAAATCCTTTTAGGATTCCCGACTTTCGAGCTTCCTTCACAGCTGCAGCATATCGTGCCAATTCGTGTCTTAATCCGTTTAACGACACTACAGTCCGAATATTTGATATGGTTTCTTCGACCACTTTTCCCGCTTTAGCGTATTTAATTGTTTCTGAGATTGCGAATGTCGACATTGACTAAAACATCCGATTAAATTCGCATTTCGGTTATCATCATTAAGAAACCTTTGCAATTGCGAAGCCACAGATGACTTGAATCGGAGTCATTGCAAGCATCACAAGTGTTAGCTTCCAACTATGCGTGAATGCAACAATAAATCCAGTGAGAAATTGACTGAAATATTGAAATCCCATTCCAATTTTATCCCCAGTTCCTTCTTTCACTCTTTCCAAATTGCTGAAACCAAAACGATTCATTTGAATTCAGAGAAGCTGTGAATACTCAAAAAGTTTGGTAGCCAATGTTCCGGAATTGTTGGTATCGAACCAAGAAATGTCTTGTCGAAGAATTGCTTTGACGAATTCTCTTCGCATGCGATTGTTCATTTTCTCGCAAACGTACAAAAAGCACGTCACCTATATTTAGACATGATTGTCGTCAAGCATTGAAACGATTTTCTACCGTAGACTGTCCAGCTATCCACATTCCGATTGTCATACCAGCGTAACCCCATACAACTTTCATTACGTCATTGGAAAAATCCTGATTTGTATATGTTTGATTTGTTCCGGGAACTAAAAATGATTTGTTTATCACATGTTTGCGCAATGTGTAACCACATTTAAATATGCAAATAATTTAATAAAAATATTTTCATCATTTAATAAAATATTGCCAATTTTTATTTATTTTTTTTTGAAAAACTTACGAATTGTAGTGTTGTGCATTAAAATGTACTGTTCATTGATAAATGCTTGAGTGACACTACCCTAAAGCATACATAGCTTTTATTATGTAGTGGTTAACAATCGAACCTGAAGAATCGACATCAACGGAAGACCTGCTCCGGTGCACATGGCAACGAATGCTCCGATCACCAATAAAACTCGTTCAAACACTGTGGTGTAGCGATACTGAACAATAAAAAATCGAAACACTCATTCAAATATGCATACCAGAGTGAAAATCGACACTTTCTTTGCTGTTTCTTCTTTAGAATCGCGCGTTTTCACAATTTCATCGGATCTGAAATAATTCATATCTTGACAATTTTGTTCGATTCATTTTCCATACTCATCAGGAGGAGTTTCATAATCTTGAACTGTCTTTAGCGCTGTCTTGAGTGTATCTTCTGGTGCTAAACTGAATGAATCTAACGTCCGAAGACTCTGTCGAGTTGCTCCGTTTCGAAACATTCTTCAATTATAACAATCATTAACTCGATGATATGATGTTAAGTAATGAGATAAATGTTGGTCTAAAAATTTAAAGACGAAAACGAATAAGTAAGCTGCAAAAATTTTTAAGAATTCGAAAGACCTATGATAATAAGCGAGCAAAAAATCAAAATTGTGACTTCATCGTTTTTGTGTCGGTTTGAAAGAACTGCTGATAAACGACATTTTTTGGTGTCTCCGATAGAAGATTATCGCCAGTTTTCCGGCGACTTAATTTATGACGAGACAAAATTTGAAATATCAATAGGGGCAATCTTACGGACCTATTCATACAATGCAAAAGATGTAAAAAAAAAGAATTACACAAATATTCAAAAAAAAAGAGTACAATTATATACATTTTTTGTAAAAAAAAATACATTTCATGAATCATTAAAGGGGCGAGTTAAAATTGTTTCAGAATTCTGGCAAACCTAAGTAAACGCTTGATCTTGAATTTTACGTTGAAGCTTGAATTTTCAGATCATAAACTCGTTGTAATTCGCCAGAACCTTGACAGTGCAGACGAAATTTTATGGCAGAACACCTTCTGTGTGGAGTTACCCCACGTCAAAAAAAAAAGAAAATATTTATAGTTGTAATAAGGAAAATTGAAATATTATTAATATTTTTCAGCATTGTTTTAACGAGAAGTCACAATTGCTGGAAAAATTCAGCGAAACACACATTTCTTTTCAAAAATCAATTGTTCGAAAATGCATGGAAGGTTCCGATACGCATTCCAGAAATAAAATCGAATGAATTGTTAAATTGAGGTTTTCTCTTATGATTTTATATATATTTTGAAACCCTGGACTCAACGAAAGAAAAAAGGGTAAAATGCATTTGGAAAACGCTATCAATCAAATGTTAAAACTCATGAACCCGGTATCGCATATTATTATCTTATCAATTTAAAGCTTATATTTATAGATATTTGACCAAGAAATCCTGAAAATCAGAGTTAGTGCTGTAACAAAAAAGAGCACAATTCAAGGAAGTAATGATAATCAACGAAACGATCAGTTTCTTCAAAACGATCAGTTGCTTTTATAAACCGCCATGAACCCTTATCAGGAAAAGGTTGGCTTGTGACTTGTGAATGAATTTGTGTCACGGAGATCATAGTATGACTTGTTACTTCTGATTTTTTTGATGTATTTCACAATTTGTTGTCATTTTAGAAACTAAGTTTATTTTTTAAAATCAATTCAGTACATGTAAGATCAATTTATTAACAAATTCCGAGTGAGTTTGACCGCAATTTTACCGAGTCTGAAAATTAGTAATTATATGCATATTTTCTCAAGCAATACACCTGATTGAAACGTTCTCTCGTTTTCTCCAATATCGATTCTTTGTAACTCTTTGGCTTCTTTTCTGTCGGCGCTCCAAGCCCTTGCCGATTATTTTTGATTGCCGTTGCGACCGGTTCGACTTTTCCCAGTTCATCCTTACCAAGTCCTTTACCTTCGGACCACCCCATCGATTTGAGCAATTTGAATCCAATGTTTCCCCGATCCAATGGTTTTTCAATATTAGCTGCTTCAGAAGACTTCGCACTGCTGGACGGAATGTCAAATTTCCGCTGAGATTCGGGAACAGGCTTCGCCGCACACGATCCATAAGGATCATTGCTTCTTTCAATATTTATATACGACAGACCACTTATTGGTTTTTTATCAGCTTTCCGAATTGGTCCATTCAATTTTTCCTGAAATAAAGTCTAATTTTCAAATTGCAATTTTCGAAAGAACGTACATCCGGTGTAATTCCATAGGATCTCATCATTTTCTTTAAGTTTTTCCTTCGAGCCAACTCTCCGGAAATATATTTCGCCTGTCCTGTGATTTCTTCATCGGTTTCTTTTGACATTATCAAACCAGGTTCGCATCCAGGACAGGTGTTTGATCCAAAGTGCACATGAAAATCAAGTCGCTCTCCGCTAATGATAACAACATCTCCATGACATATGTCAACAGGAGAGTCGGTCTGAAAATTATTAAATCAATTTTCGGTAGCTGCGCGATATCGAAAATATGCGCTTTTCGTTTTTGCAACAATCGATTACCTTCACCACAATTGAATTGCATTGAATAACACAGCCATCATCGATTTTTGCAAGATTAAAACATCGAATCTCCGAATTATATGAAATTTCGGCACATCTCTGAAATTGTTATCTAAGCTTTAAAAAAATGTAAAAAAAATCATTAGCAATTTCGCCATTTTTTAAAAGAAGCTGTGCAATTGGATTGAAATTAACTTGAACACATTTTTGCATGTCTCATGCAGATTTTTTAAAACTATGAATTTGCTTTACCATTTGTTCCATAAATTCCAACAAGACAATGCAGTCATTCACAAGAGCCCCATCAATTGGTTTTAATCTAAAAAAATTAAGCTTTTGGATTGATCATCCAGCTCCCCAGACTTCAATACCATCAAAAACGTCTAAAGTCTTCTTGTACATTCCGCATTTTATGAGCTGAAGGCCGCAATTCGATAAAAATGAAATAGTTTATTGTTTGTGTTTTACTCGCAAATATGTTATCTTATGATTATTCTGACTTTCCTAACGCGTTTTAGTCCTTAAATAAAACTATATTATCGAAAAGCCCAAATTCGTCCTGATTTCAAGCCAAAACTAAAGCGGACGATCAGTCAATAGATACAAAGACAAGATTGGTGAAAAATTACACAAAATGCAGAACAATCAGCAAGACACATGCAAAAATGACACGGAACCTCGTGTAAATATGTACATATATGTTTTGAATGGTCCTGAGGGGGGAGTGGCGAATAACTATGACGCGCACTGGATATACATATATATGTATATATATTTTTTAAATAATTTCAAACGTTTTTCGTTAAAATTTGATGTAGAAGTGAATTTTTAGTAAGTCGAAAAATGATTTGCTTTTTTTTCATAATGGGATGACATGTTGCATAGTATTCTTACTACCTCTGGTAGTAGACGATTGTACAAGAGAACTTCGCAATCAGGATCTGATCCGATATATCCACCGGATAGTGTCACAATCGAAAGTTTATGCTGGTGATCAATAATGCGAATAAGAGGAGCTTCACTAAACCTTTCTTCTGTAATAAGACGACAATCATAAATTCCAATTTAGAAAATGGGCTACCTTTCATAAAAATAGCGCGTTCATCTCCATGGAGGACTTCTTTGTCGTCATCCGACTCTTCATCAGCATCGTGTTTCTGATGCTCATCTGAATTTTCTTCTGCATCTTCCGATGTCTCCAGTTCAACAAAGCATCCACTGGCTTCATCGAAAACGGTTTTAACGTGTCGTTTCCTTTTTCGCAACTTTTTTCGAATATCGTCTGCTGTTATTTCTTTCACCGGCTTACTGATATTTCTTTGGCTTTCTGGATTTTCCATATGCTCTTGTTTTAAAATTTTGCCAATAAGTTTGAAAACAATTTCGCAAATATCGACAGAATCCTGATTAAATTTTTTGAACTCATCTTCTCCGACAGCTTCGATGGCTCGTTTTCGATAATTATTACTTGACCATTTGGCTTAAGTTAAAAATTAAAATTGATTAAGAAAATTTAAGTTACTCGGCTGAACACATTCAACGATTTCGTATTCATAAATTTGCTCATTTAGTTTGTAATATGTCATATTTTCAGGATGGTAATAAAGAAACGTGTTCTGAAAAACAATAAAATTTTAAGTTTATTTTCAGGCATACCGGGTCGTAATATAATCCGCTTTCATGCGAATAATACTGTCCGTATTCGTCAATATACACGAAACCAGGGGGTATGTTGGCATGAAGAACTTCATTAGCGGCGTCACGGAGAATATCCGCTATCGATGTCTAAATTATCCTGGCAATTCTTTATTTAAATGCAATACTACGTACCCCTCCATCAAACAAATCCATATTCAAGAGCAAAAATAAATATCAATGGCGAGTTATATAGAAATTTTCAGTGAATTTTTTTAATATTTAAAAATCGCGGAGATGGCCGGTGAAATTCGCACAAAAACTAGTCCACGTTAACACGGCCATTTCAGTAATGGGTTTTTTTTTAGATTCGATGATTTATTTTTGTTTAGATTCTTAGAGACAAAATCAAAATAAATCAGTTCCACAGGTTATTCGAATTGGGATGCAAACCGAATTGTATCCGCTGTTTGTTCCGAGCGAATCGCTGAGATACTAATAAATAATTAGTTCTGCAATTACCTAATCCCAATTGTGGACTGGAAATGAGACAAAAATGACAAATCGAGACTACTTCCAAACAATTATGGCTTTGGCCGAATAGATTTAAAACAAATAGCTTCGTAATTAAAAAAAAATATTGTCTCGTTGACACGAATAATTGCATAAATGTAACACGAGTCAATGCCATTTCTAAATAAGTTGTTGACAAAAAATCGTTACATGTGTATAAAAATTTCGAAAAGCATTTCTTTGCCAATGCAGGTTAGTAATTATAAATGATGTAATTGGAAAAACGTTCCGATCTCAAATTTTTAGCAGAAATTATGTGCAAAAGATGGCAGCGCATGTTGTTATATCAAAATGCGCACGGGATTGACATCATGGAAGAAGCGGTTGCTGGTGTTTGATGAGGATGACCTCGGTCAACCAAGGCTCATCATCTATAAGTACTTTCTTCATGATGTCTCAGTAGGGTTTAGTGCCGGATGATTTGTGGGCGTATGCACGATGGCAAAAGTTCATTCAAGCATCCTGCATAAGCCCATATATTCTTCTTAAACTCATTGAAATCGTTTAGAGATCCCCAAATTGGCTATATATGCTACATAAAAGATCTAACGCGTTTCAAAGTGACTAAAAATGATGGAGAATATCGAGTGAGACTTGTCACCGCCAAACAGACTCTTGATTTGAAATTCTTCGGGCATGATGCGGAAGCATGGACGGAAATTATAGAATATCGATTCAACAATATAAAACCCAGATTTCAGTTGGCTCATTCGACTCATGGAAATACTAACAATGTGAAAAAAACCATAAAAACCATTTGTACAAAAAGAATTTCTATTTAGATAAATAAAGGGAAATCATCTAGTCTTCGCCTTCTCGAGGACAAGCCTGATCATAATGTGTATACGGGAGTTGGAAAGGGCTATACACCTCCTATTCGAGATGCATCGTCGACGCCAAAAAAGATTGGAAAAATTAAAAAAGAGGGACAGGCCAGATCAAAATCAACAGAGTTTGTTACTAATTATGTGCTTGCATATTCAAATCTCAAGAATCTAGAAAAAATGCAAAAACCGATTCATTTTTATTGAAAAAGACTCAATCCAGAGATTCTCGAAAGCTGAACGACGTGAATTTTGTTGATCCAACGGTGTTCATTTATATACGACAAATTGAAAAGATTTAATTTTTAGTTTGCCGACGGTGAGAGTTTTTCGCGATCGTTTGGAAGCGAAACAATTAGCACAGCAAAACTTTTGAAAACGTTTGGTCGTGGATCTGAAGAACGCTATAAGTCAGATGACGAAAAATCAGCGGAAAACAAATATCGGCGTGTCTCTAATTAATCAATTTCAATAAATCATCAATTCATTTCATTTCTTTTGGTGGCATAAATTGGAGTGTCTTTAGAAAATGCTTCCATTGATTATCGTTTACCACATTTTCTGGTTGTAAGTTCAGTAGAATGGACACGCTGAAACAAGCAAATAGATAAATGTTTTATATATATTCACCGTTATAGAATAGTCTGCTCTGTTTCTGTTATTAACTGTGCGGGATCGAAAAAAGCAAGTTCGCCGCCAAAACAATCACCGAAAGGAACCACACCGCCAACACCAGCTCCTGATCCAAACAGATCAAAAGAGGGGGAAGCTGCACAGAAAAAAGAAGAGAAACCTTCGAAGAAGGTGGATGTTGCACCATCGCCATCGGGTGAAGCAAAAGCGGTATGTGATTTAAAAAAAAGTGGGATTGCTTAGAACGATCGCATTGTTTAGAATGAAAAAGAAGAGAAAAAAGAATCACGCGCAGATGAGGACAAAGGAGCGAAACATGAGGATTCATTCGATAAAATGCAACCGAAGCAGATTGAGACAAAACGGAAGGAAGAGGTTCGATCGAATATTCAATTTTTATAAATTGATGCGGTTTTTTAGATTGGTGGTAAGAAGGTTGAGAACAAAGGAGATTACAAAACATGGAACAAAGTTATCGAAAATAGCGAATTTAATAAAACCCTTAGTGAAAAAGACGATAAAAAGAAAAAGAAAGATAAGGATTCGAAAGATACGAAGGAATCAAAAGATACGAAAGATTCAAAGGAAAATGACAAGGAATAATTATCTTTTCCTTTGAATAATTAGGAGAATAAAATATTGGTAAAATATTTGAATTAATGTGAATGTAAATGTGGTTTATAATAAAAATAGGACCCATTGCCATCAACCCCCAATTTTCAACCCCTACCCCTGATTTTCCACCCCCAAAATTTAACCTCTATTTTTATTTTTTCACCATCCCCTAGTTTCCACCCCCAGATTTTAGCCTCCATTTTTATTTTTTTATTACCGGCCAATGTTAATTGACTCAAATTTTTGACTTGAGTACTTAATTATGTTCTTTTGGCCAATACCGTAAATTTTCCTAGAAATTGTCAGTGTCATAGGGGGGAGGGGTCTTAAGGGGTCCGAATTCAAAAGTTTTAAAATTTCAGAAAATGATGCTAGAACGTAAACCTATCTTTTCAACAAATTTTCTTTTCTGCTCGAATGTCAAAATTTACAGTTTCTAACAGTAATTTTTACCTTAAATTTTTGTATAATTGCAATAATTCAAGTTATCAAGAGGAGATTCGTAGAATTGTTGTCTAGCTTTGACTTTTCAGAAACTATGTAGACTATCCTAATGAAAGAAATTTTTAGCAAGTAATAAACTATTCACGGAAGAGCAGGTTCAGATAGACTTCAGGTTCGGATTTGGGGTTCAGATAGACTTCGTAAGCGTGAATCGATTCCCACAATTTCCAATATTTCAAGTATCCAATTGTGCAATTCTGTATCAAGCTTCTTTGCAAGCCTTGCGCAAATCAAATACCTAAAAACAATAGTGGCAGCCAAATATGCTTAAATTTTTAGTACAATTTAACACGTTTGAAAAATATAAATTTATTTAAAAAAAACAATATTAAATTAGTATTGAAAGGGAACAAAAACATGGGAAAAATTTATCAAGCATTACAAAAAAAACCAGCAAATCAAAGAACGGATATCGATGGCGCGGGATTAGCGTCAGACGAAGCCTGAAAGACACATAATGTACAGAAAATAAATATTAGTCATTTATTTTTTCAGTCCTAAATAGCCACTAATTTTTACAAACATACACTTAAAATACAATTATAATTAATTTAAATCCAATTTTAAAAGAATATATCGCAAAAAATCGTTAAAAACTTTAAAGAAAAGAAAAAAAATAATACGGCCGACAGCTTAAAGGTGTGTTACTGAAACATTCGCTTAACTGTGGCATTTTTAATAATTCGATTTTTGAAACATTAACTCATTTTTTTCCATTTTCTTTTCCTTGATGGAATATCGAAAATGATGCCGTTTTAAAACAGGCCTGACGGTATAAACTAAAAAAAAATTGCAAAATAAATTAATAACAAATCACTTATCGCGGTCCATTTTTCTCCGAATAAAGGAGACGATCTCTGTGGCTGTTTGCTTTTTATGATTTGTTCTCTCTTCCTGCAAATAATCTCAGTTTAATATAATCTTTAAATTTTAAAAGAAAAATTGCGGACCGAAAATTATTTTAAGAAAGAGTATACTCACAGATTATAATTAAATTTACCTCAGGATACGTAGAATATTGTAAAACAATCCATAAACTTGTCCAGTAAAGCCTTCAAAATCGCTCAATCTGTAAATTTTAATTTAAATAACTCGAATATTTCACACGAATAATTAAACGTTAAAAACGACGAAGAATGTTGGCCAACAGTGAGATGTGTATATAAAAATTATTACTTTTTAAATTTACTAATGCTTGTTAAATTTGAGGAATTTTGACTACTTTTCAAATTGCTAATCGTTCACGTGATATTCGTATTGATGTAGTTTGCTCATAGCTGACCTCTGCGGCAATTCTTTTGTGAATAATTGCATAACAACCAGCGAGATAGAATTGAGAGGGTCGACTTAGAAGATATTCAAAATATCGTGTGCAAAACACCCGAGAACAATGACAGATTTGCGACCCGAAACGCCCACCGAATGGGCGGTCGATGCTCTTGACTCCGCCCACATCGACTATAAAAGCAGGGGATGCTGCTCAGATGGCGGACAACGGCGAGTTGTCTATCATCGAAACCTTTGGATCATGATTTGCTGATCTCGTTAGGGATTCTCGCCTCCGACTCGGTCAGACGGATCCAGCCCTTAAGTGGGTGGTTTGCAGTGTTGGGTTCAGGTGAAGCTAAACCTCTCGTTTGAAGCATATCATGTGAAGAGGGCTAGATTATAGATGGCGGACCGTTGTCCCCGTCCCCAGTGGTACCACTATCCCCTCCCCATCCCACACCCCCCCCCCCAGATCGTTCGCGATCGGGCAATGACCCACTCAGGATTTCCCCACCTGCAGCTGGTGAGCCTCCTCTTCACGTGCCGAGCCTCTCCGTGGCGAAGAGGATCAACTGACGATGCCCTCACTTCTGGGGGCCTCGTCAGGCTAATCGGTACATCGTTTCACGCAAGTCGAGGAGGATTCCTCCTCCTCAACTAGGCGGCTTCTCTACGACCCAGCAAGTCGTGAGAAGTATTCCGAGACACCAATGCTTTCAAATGCTTTCGAAACCCAACGGCCCTCTTAAGGGCTTTTAATTGTTTTATCTATTTTTCTCAAATAAATTTTTATCAACTTGTGTAAAATTTATTGAAATATTTCAAATTGTATGAGCCTAAAAATGTTTTTTTAATCCAAAAAAGGACATGACATGGAAATTTGCAAAAATGCTTCTTTGGCCTCACGTTATCACAACAACGTGAACAAGATCTTCATCGAGAGGACATCCGCATCATGTCTAAAGTTCGGGACCCCCTACACCACATCACGAAGAGGAAGATGACCTGGGCTGGACACGTTGCTAGAAGAACAGATGGAAGATGGACTACTCTTCTAACGGAGCGGCGGTCGTGGAATTGGACCCGGCCAAGAGGAAGGCCTCCCATGAGATGGTCGGACTCGCTTCGGAAGGAGATCACTACAAGAACAGCTAAAGGAGCCGTTGTCACCCCGCGGTCCACCCAAGCCAAGGACCGAAAAGCTTGGAAAGCTGTGGTTCGCGCCTCAACAGGTGAAGGACGAACCGACTAAGGGAAGTCATTCTACCTCCCGTCTTAGGATTTTTTGTAATTTTGCACACGTAAACTAGAAGGTCTTTTGAGTGTGTTCACAAAATTCCAGCCTGCACTGGGGGGTTACAGGCGAGTTATGACCGTCTGAAAATTCAAGGTGTTTTGGCAGTGACTTCATGATGAAGGTTCGCACCCGGCTCACGCACTTTTGCATTTTTTCTTTTTGCCACAGAAAATTCCGTTGCAAATTGGTTTCAAACGCTTTTCATGTAATTTCATGTAAAAATGTCGTTTCAACATTATTTATTATTTTTTTTACATTTTACAGTTTTTCGTTTTTTTCAAAAATTTCCTGAACTCTATTGTTTTCCACTCTATTGTTTGGTTCTTGGAGTGGATGGAAAGGAATGGATGGACTGCAAGGACACAAATACAACTCCAACATTTCGAAGGTTCTATTCCAACTGGATATACGGGATTCGCGAAATAACATGTTGGAGTGTTCGGAGGATCCAAAAAGTTATCAAATCCATCGGAGAATACGACCACTTGTGGCAACCTTCATTCAAGGTCCACAAGCGAAAGTTGACTCGTTTGGTAAAAACCAGTAATGAAAATGTTATAACATTATTTTCTCTCAAAAACTCAAAAAACCTTCTAGTTTACGTGTGCAAAATTACAAAAAATCCTAAGACGGGAGGTAGAATGACTTCCCTTCTAAGTAAGTAAGTAATTTAGGACTGAAAATTAATAAATGATTAATATTTTCCCAATTTTTAGGATTGTTTTATTTTTCGTATATTTTCTGAAATTTTAAAAACTTTGGAATTCGGACCCCTTAAGACCCCTCCTCCCTATGACACTGAATTTTGCTGAATTGCTGGAAGGAATTTGCGAGCACAAATTCTTCTCAAACTCTAGCAATTATTTCTCACGGATAAAATGATTTATTAAATGTAAAATGTAAATGACAATTTTTCAAATTCACAAGATTTCGAAACAAAAGTTTTGTTTCAGCAACCTTCAATGTTATTGATATAATTTTGTGTACTTAAATCGCCTTCGCGATCCTCGAGCCAAAATGTGAGGCATTTGCCCTTACCCTGAAATTATCAACAATCATCCGCGTTATCAAGTTGTTCTGAAAATACCTTGACTTCAATTTCGCCTCTCTCAACGGTGACAAAGTGTGGGTGATGATTCTTGAGGTGGCTGTGCGCTTCGTAACTCATTTGAATCATTCCCGGCGATCCACTTGATTCCATTCTTGAAGAAACATTCACGGTATCACCGAAAAGACAGTATCTGGGTGCGGTGAGACCAACAACTCCAGCAGCAACAGGACCCATATGGAATCCCCAACGACATCGGATTCGGTGCGTCGTTCTGTGCGGAATTGAGTAGCCTGTCAAATATTGTCGCATGTCCAAAGCGACGTTGGCAATGTTCATCGAATGGTCGTGTCCATTCTCTTCCGGAACTCCCGACACTACCATATACGCGTCTCCAATCGTCTCCACTTTGTAACTTTTGTTTTTAGTGATACATTCGTCGAATCCAGTATAAAGACCGTTGAGCATGTTGACGACTTCGAGGGGAGTCGAATTCGAGCAAATTGTTGTGAAGCCAACGATGTCTGAGAAGAGAATTGTCGCCGAAGCATAAAGTTTAGGTGGAACAGATCGACCCATTTTGAGTTCGTTTGCGACATATCTTCAAAATATAATATGGTTTCCAAAATATAAAAAATGTGTGAATTGATACGCTGGAAGGAGTTGCGAAAGAAGGTTGTCAGCTCGCACATTCGCTTCCTCCAGCATGCCCGTTCGTTCGGCTACAAGTTTCTCGAGATTGTTTGCATATTGTTCCATCATTCGCATCATCTGATCAACGAGAGAACCTTTCCTGAAAGAAATAAAAACATTTCGAATATTTCCGATATGTTTTCTCACGTTTTAAGAACCATTTCCGTATTTAGACGAACTCGACGAACTGAAGGCCGAATCTCCGGATTTTCACTCCAGCAATCTCTGAAACATCATATTTTTGCTTTTACCACGCAAATTGTGTCCATCGCCTTGCTTCACCTTAAAAGCGCATTTAGATCTGGATGAAGACCGAGTTGATTCTGAATCTCCGGCATTACCTGCTTCGTGCCATTGTTCACCATCTCACAGAGTTCTGAAAATTATAGATTGTTTTGATTCTCTTTAATCATGGCACCAGTTATGTTTGTATTTTCTCGGAAAGGAAGACTTCTGAACAATATTTCGTACATAATCTGTAAAAAATAAAAAATAGGAGATTCCACGAATTGAAGTTTGAAAACCATTCCGAATGAATAGATATCTCCAGCTTGTCTTCTCGACATGGACTGCTTTATCCACGCTTGATCTGCTCCCCTCCTCTTGTTTTGCTCTCGATTTTTTAGAAGTTCTGGTGCTTGATAGAGGACGGCTAAATGAGATATATTTAGTGGATGATGTGTTCATCGTGTCCTACAAGTTGTTTGTGCTGCTTGGCTTTTATCTTCTTCGTCTTTCACAGCAGTGATAGTTATCGATCCTTGCTTTTCCCATCGCTCAAGAGGATTTGCGATTCCGAAATCGGAGAGTTTCACCATCCAGTTTCGATCTATGAGACATGCCCATGGTGTCAAAGAACCATGGTATCCGATTGGTGAAGCATGCAGGTATTCAAGTCCCTAATACAATTATCTCGATGCGAATCAAATAATTTGTTCCCACCAATGTGATGTCTCGCACAAATGCAGCGTGAAACTTCTCGTCAAGTACTACATTCATATTATAAATGATGTCTTGAACAGTTCCGCGACTGCAAAACTTCCATAGCACTAGCATTTCCTCTTTTTCATTGAATGCAACTCCGAGAAATGGATTCAAATTGTCATGAACTGCTTGTTTCATCTGAAACTGTCATTGCACGCAATTCTATCAGAGGGATTTCAACCTGTGTTAGAAGCTGCATGTCTTCCCTTGAGAATCGAATTGGTCGTCTTTGTGGGTACTTGTGATAAGTTGCGTGTGTGTTCACACCAATAATTGCGTGCTGCTTTTGTCCCGTCTTCATGTTACTCAATTTGGTACTCGTCGATCCAACAGACATCTGGATAAAATAATCTTGATGTGAGCAACACGATTATTAAAAAAACCATTGATTTGACCTGTTCCTCATCGATAAATTGCAAATCATCATGGAATATTCTCCACGGCATTTTCTCCAATTGCTTATTTTCGCTGAAATTGATATCACTAGTGGTTAGAGTTGAAACAATTAATACCAATATCGGAAGAGGCATAGGAAAATAATTGAGAGTAAGGCAAGTAGAATGACAAGGGATCCAACACTAATTTCTAGCAGATAGCTGCATTTTTGTCCTCGATATCCGCACGCGGGCTCATCTAGTGGCATCGATCCATCTTCACTTGGCCAGAAGCCAATCATCGCATCGGTCAACTTCAATTGGAAGCATCCACTCTTGTTTTTGATTCCGTCGCAATTCGCAAGCAATTCGCTCTCCATATTCACCATTCTCATAACACGATCTCTATTTGGAGATATGAAGAACGCGGCAAATATTGGGGCTCGATCAGCGACATCGTCCATAAGGACAGTACCCACAGAACCAGCATCTTTTGTTTCTTCGTTTGCTGCCCTGCTAACGACACCTTCGAAGCTCATTCGTCTCATCTGATTCCAAACGTATTGTCCGTTTGTAATATATGCTTCATTTGCCGTCTGGTTTAACACTTTTCTGATGGCCAGAGCATAGAGTTTAAGAGCGTCAAACAGATGAATATAGCCGTAAACGTCGCTCTGTAAAAAACGCACAAATTGTTCAACGGATTACTCCGACGGGTTACAACAGAAATGTCATCTTTTGTCAATCCGTGCTTCTCCACTTTTTCCACGAATGAACTCACGACTGTGTCATCGAATCCGTTAACGTCATCAACCTTAAAATTGGAACCAATAATAACAGCAAAGTTTCGAACATATTACAATAATCGCATTGGCATAGTGATCCTTCACACGTTGCATCATTTCGCCGTCTGATCCAATCCAAGGTGTCGAATCGCCTGTGCTTGTTTGCATCCAAGGAATAATATATGCATATTCAGCGTTGTTCATTCCAACAGTGAACGTGGCTTGCATGAATTCTTTCGAAAGCTCTCGCGATGATGAGAACAACAGTATGACAACTGAACAGTTTCGATTTGTTAAAGAATCAAAATGCTCAAATATACTTCTTGCGTTGCTAGCCAAATCGTTAAGTTGTCCGGAATTTACCATATCCTTTGCGTCCGAATTTTCATCAAAAGTAATCTAGAAAAACTATCTACTTAGAATAATCACAACTAACTATTTGAATACCTTTTTGACTAATTGAATACCAACACGGTGAATGATTTCCTCAAAAACTTGAACTTTTTCATAAGCAGTGCTTCCAGTATTCGTGACAATCGCAACCTATCCATCGTTGTGAAATATTTGTTTAAAAAATAAATTACGCATACCCGATACCATTTATAATGCAACAATAAAGCAGCTGTAGCTTCTGCCAGTGAATTAGTGTTTTTAGACGAAATTCTCGAAAGTGTTTTATATACACTTCTATCAGACACCGCATTCGGTACATTTGAGTATGAAATTATGGGTATATTCCAAAATGTGGCCATTTTAGTTACAGCTTCCAGTTCTACATATAGACACTTATATGTACATATATCCGAGTTAGCAAATAAAATCCTACCCGATGAACAATAAGGTCCGATGAATGCCCTAACTTGGTGAACGTGATATAATTCTGCCGCGACGGCGACGCCTTCGAATGACTCGGTGCAAGTTTTTTTCGAGATAATTCTTAAATTCATGATGGCACAATGCTATAGACAATTGCGGATCTCACTCAATTTCAATGTCATCGCCGATAATTCCATTTTCGATGAGCGACTCTTTGCTGATGTTCAAGATTTTTTCATCGTTTGGCATTATACCTATAATCGGGTCGTGTCTGGCGATTCGAGACAATTTCGAAAAGCCCATATTTGGTGGATTTTAAAATTGTGTCATAGCTCGTGTGTCAAAATGACGCGTATCTACTATATTTTTTGACTCATGATATTGGCATCTCATTTCTGATTCGGAATTACTACTGTTGAAGACAAACGAATGAACAAAATTGAATTAAATATCACTTTTATCGCTGATTGATTGTTTTAATCGAATACCGACAAAGGGAGTTTTCGAAGGAGAAGAAGGTTTATCAATATTTTAATAAGTCTACGCGTAGACTGTATACAGAAATATTTCACGAATGCCAAACGGGGCAAATTTTTAATCAATGAAGATCTCATTTTGCGTCCAGTAGTTCAAAATTTCCATAAGAAAAACAAGGCAAAATTAATTTTATATTAATAAATTAGAAACTTGCAAATCAGATTAACTGTAGGAAAATATCATTATAAAATCTAATATTGTGATGGACTTATTGAAAAATTGATAAACTCGATTTTTCAAAAACAATCTCCAAAATGATGATTTTTTTCAAATTTAAAGAGAATGGACGAATATAAATAATTGCTTACCGACAGCTCCAATGTGCCCGATTCTTATGACTTTTTTCTGTTGTGAATTCAATTCCAATTTAGCTGTATTATCGAATTTCGCATATGATGAACTATTGCTTTCGTCACGCTTTTTAACCACGGAAGCGGCGGAATGAATTGCCGAAATCAGCAAAATAAGGAATTGAGCGAAGCGCATCTTGAATCTCATGTGCGCAAAAATGAGAAATCAAGAATGAAGTCGACCCAATATGAGCCGACTACGTCGAATCTCCGCCTCTTATCATATCCTACTTTACCGTAAGACGCAAATCGGATTTCGCGTATTTATTACGTAAACAAAACAACACATTTGGGATGAATTGAAATAATAAAAGTAAGAATGAATAAAACGCTAAATCACAGTTATTATGAATGACAAGACAGATTTGACGTGTAAAATCAATCGATTAGAAATCAAACTCGTAAAATACATCATATAATACTGAAAGCGAGAGAAATGTGAGATAAAACAAAATAATCTTAAAAACTAATTATCAAATTATTATTTTTTGTCAGTTTCTGAAATGGCGACCATTTCTGTTTCGGGTTTTGGCGCTTCTGTTGGAAGTGCTTGATGAGAAGCCCTAAAAAGTAAAGTTAACAAAAAGAAATACTTGCATTATTACTTGTATGGATAAATAGAATAGGCGAACACCGCTGCAATGACACCAGCAGCTCCAAAAACAAACAGCATGGTTGGCCGAAAATCGAACAAAAAATAGGATGCTATACAGTTCAAAACGATGGCAACAGATGTTGCGAAAGCCTAAAATCGACATTTTCACATTTTTAGTTTAACTGAAATCTACCTTGAGAATATTATCGGCGTACTTTATAACTACAGCGACCACCAGTCCACCGAAAGCATTGATACCCACAGTAACCCAGACAGCCCAATCGAATCCTTGAATCATATTCTTAAAGAGCTGGGGCAAATCGAGGCCGTTTGCAAAGATTTCCGCGTTATTTACAAACTATACATTTTCGAGTTTCAATATGAAAAATAGCGATCAAATACCAATGCAAAGATGAATGAAAGAAAAATCGAAGGACCGGCGAGTTGAATGTTCCGAATCCAGATGGAGACATTTGAACCTGGATAAATCGATTTCTATATGAGAAAATAAATTTCTACAAAAATAAAAGCCGCGGATATGGTTCTTGCATTCTATTCTCTTCTACCATATATCTACCGTATTAAAATCATGTCGTGCGTAACTCTGATTGATAATCACCTTTGAGAATTTTCTCGAAATAGATGCCAGCAAATCCGGATAAAACACACGCGACGAGAACAGCGATAAACCCTGAAAATCCGACTAGCGCATTTGATACGTAAACTGCTGCGGCAAACCTAAAATTGAATTTTCTTGTCGTACAACTTGAGGGGAGGTCGTTGAATTAAGAGAAATCGTCGAATTAGCAGTTTCAGCGAGTTTTGCTATTTTAGCTAATTCCTTTTGTCGTTCATTCGACATTTTCTGATCCTAGAATAACTTATATGTTAATCAATATAATTTAGCAAAATTTTGTTACATATTGCACTATAACAACTCCTGCAAACGAAATGAATAGAGCAATCCACTGTTGAAGTGAAAGCTTTCGCTTCAAAACTGCTACGGTGAACACAGCGGTCGTCAGAATTTTGAGTTGATATGTCACCTGAAAATTTCACCAGTTGAAAACATAAAACACAATGATTACCATATAAGTGGCCGCTGGCAAATTGTCCACAGCAACATAGAGCAAGTAATTTTGAACAGTGTAAACAGCAGCTGGTACCAACACTTTGAGAGCATCTCTCCAATTATGACGAAACTCGTTGCAGATTTTCTTGAGTCCTCTTTAAAATTTTTGTTAGTTTTATTTTAATTTACTTTTGAAAAATGATTTCTTTATATGCCGAAAACAGTTTTTGAGCTAAAATTACTAGCAGTGTGTGCTTTCGAGAAGAAACTTCCGTTCTCGTTTTTATTTTTTTTTCAAGTTTTTTGTTGGTGATTTACCAGTACTGAAATTTAATATCTTAAAGAATATGTTGAATAAAAGATTATAGGATTATTACTACCGTAGTATGGATTTATGTGTTTTAATTAAACAAATTTGACGCGTAGGAATCTTAAAACCAAAAAATCCTTACTTAATCACACTCTTTTCCTCGATGCAGGACAAAATCAAGCTAGCAGTGAATTTGAAAATCTCTCCGAAGAATACGGTAATCGACTGAATCCGGATTAGAAATTAATTAAATTGAAAAAAAAATGCCTTCAGGAATTTCGGTCGATTTCCTCCCATTGCAAATCTCATGAATAACACTAGGGAGCAGTTCTGTACGACGAGAACAACTAATGAAGAATACTTTATGCATTCGCCTGAAATCGTATAAAATAAATATAAATTAATAATATATGTATAAGGACTTTTGAATTTATTTGATATCAAATTTTGAATAGAAGAACTAACCTTTTGCCGGCGCCATTTTGGCATACGAATGTTCGCCGAACCTGCAAAAATGAATCTTCCAAAAAACTACATAGAAAACAAAAAAGCAAATAGAACGATACAAAAACGGTTACTATGAAGAGCGGAGGCCTGATGTGTAAATAATACGTAATTTGCATTTTGTGTGCTGTCGACACTGTGCAAATGATATAAAACGTGGGAATTGAGAGAAAAATAGACGCAACTAGAAAGCTATATTTTCCACAAATGTTTGCTTTATAACACATTCTTTTAACCGAAACTCGTATGAACTTCGGGAGGTTCATACAAAAAATATTCCTTTTCTCGCGAGAAATCGAATAAATGTGAGCGACATGGGCAGATGTCGCTTCATATTTGTGGAAACTGTGAACAAATAAACATTCATTGAATTGTGACGCGTGGAAGAAAACAATAATGGTAAATTTATGTTTTTTTTTAATTTGGGAAAAAATATCAGTGTATTCACAGTAAACAACTATCCCACTTTTTTATATTTCCAATTAATTGAACGAAAGATAACACGTATTTTGATACGCAACACGTAAAAACACGCAACACGTAAAAACGAATGAACGTGGTGTTTCGACATTGAGCCTTCGGCTACTACGATTGTTCGTGGAGAGAGTGCAGTCTGGAGGAGAGGAAGCGTTAGCTGTCGCCACAAAGAGCATCTGCTGTGTGCGGAGGATTCAATTTTTATTAAATTGGTTGTTATTTCGATCGAATGCAATTTGTCGATATGATCAATGCTCCCAATCTTCAAAAAAAAATCCAATAAAAGTTGCTAATATATTTGTTGATCTTTGCAAAATTTTATGTGTAAATATTGTCGATTTCAGAAATCTAATCGAAATAAAAAAAATTAACTATGTGCCATAGTGTCTCGAGGCAAAAATACGAATATCTGCGTACTCTCTTGGTGTATGCGCATTTAATATTTAGCCGCGAATAAATTTACAATTTCGCACAAATCTGCACCGATTTTGCGAAATTCAAATTCTTGCCATCGATTAGTCATATGAGACCGACAAAATAAGCCTAAAAATTAAAATATAAAATTCGCAAAAGAGACTTAATAAAAAAAAATGAAATCTATTAATAGATTAAGATTGGGTGACCCATTTTAAAAATACCTATCTTGCTCAATTGCGTCATTTAAATCGTAATTTGGAAAAGTATATTAAAATATTTAAAAAAAATACGACATTCGAACGTATCAATTGGGAATAAATAGGCGTTCAAATATCAATGTGTTATATTTGAGATATGACGATAAAAAGTTAAATTCTTTATCAAAACAGAAAAAAATCGGAACCGATTTTGGAAAAATGCTATCGGTAGATATGATAAAACAATGCACCAAACAATGACAATTAATGGAATATAATTGCCACCGGGACACCAGTTTTAGTAGTTACGGATAAAACCCACAAAATGCAATAAATAATGTTAGCGTTGTTCAAACATTTGAGAGCAATATTTCGTTCTATAGACAAAATGCTTCTTTGGCCGGTAGGTCACCTTTTAAACGACCGAGAGCCTTCACCATCGAGGCATGCGAAGAGTACAAGAATATGCTGAATATGACAAGAGAGGCACCGAACAAAAACGTGAGGCTTGGCACGAATTCGAACAAGAACATTGAACCGACTGTCGACAACACGATTGCCACGGATGTTGCAAAGTTTTTTGCAATGTTGTCCGCGTATTTGATACAAACCGCGACGGATAGACCTACAAATCCATTTATGAATTATTACACCTTTTATTTTGGATGATCGTATGTTTTAACACTCAATATTATTGAAGATTGACGAATTTCTATATAATTTGGAAGGGACGGTTTGGTCTCACACGTTGATCTAGTATCAAAAATATGCAAAACTACAAAATACGTTAAAGGCATACACAAACTTTCGCACCTAATAATAAAACCGAATTTAAATTAAATTATTCAAACTCAAAACATTTGTCCGTCTCCCACAATACATACATATATGTATATATATACGGAATAATGTTAAAATTCCAAGAAGAAGATTACGAAATATCAATATTGAGTTTAATTTCCAGTAGAATTTATAATTTACCTCCAATTCCGTACCACAGAACCGTCAACCAAACAATTGAATCGAAACCATAAAGAAGACCGTGTTCATTAACAACTTTTGAATCCTGAATATTTACAAATAGGACTGAACATCGTTTTTAGTTTGCTTCACACCTGCATATAAATCGCCAAAAACGAAGAAGGAATTGAGAAAACTGACATTTGTACATTACGCATCCACAAGGATACCGGAGCAGAGCCCTTGAGAATTTTCTCGAAATAAATACCGGCAAACCCAGAAAGACAGCATGCTACAACAACAGCAATAAGTCCTAAAAGAAAAAAAAATATATATCAATGAGTTATTCATCGCTATACCAATAATTGGACTCTCGCCAGACGCTTTCGATGAGCTGGTGCTCTGGAGCTGAACTAGTGAAACTCCAATAAACAAAACACCAAGGGCCACCCTGAAATTCAATTCCGGTTAGAAAATATCCAAAGGTTTTCTTTCTTTCTTCATACCATTGTGTTTTGTTCAAAGATCTCCGCAGAATGATAACAGTAAAGATGGCGGCAGTGAAGATTTTCAATTGTGATGTGATCTTCATGTTTAGAAATTTGGTGTTTTCGTTGTTGAAAAATATTTACCATAAATGTGGCCGCATCAAGATGAGAAGCTGCCACATAGAACAAATTGTTTTGGATGATGTAGATCATAGCAGGTATGCATACTTTTAGGGTATCATATGGTTGTTCGATGATTTGTGTTCGAAGAGAATACAAAAACCTCAAAAAATATAACTTTCAAAATATTTTAATAAATGTAGAAGCACACCTTCTAGGAGTTTCCTCTTGTGCTACAAGGAAAAGACAAATAACACATTTAATGACTTCTGTAAGCCATACAGCTACCGTACTCACAAACATAGCCTCCACTTCACGGGCACGAGAATATCTTTAAAGAAAACATTATAAATAAACGTGAAGAAAAAAAAAATAAACCGAATAAGAAGGGTATGTATACTGTTTTGTAATGTGAGCCATATTAAAATCGCCGTTTTCATTCCGCTATTCCCCGTTGGTGCAGTCTTCTGCCTGGCCACCAATATTTTAGGTACCTGTAAACAGAAAAAAATTATAAAATCAACGAGAAGTTCACAAAATTTAAAACATCGCCTTCGAACAGCGTCTTAGATCTTTCCACGTATCGCTATGAGATATTCATCTCACCCGAAATCCTGATTTTGATGCTTTGCCGGTTTAATCGGATCGAAGGAAGCTTTTTATAAAGAAGAAAAAAAAATGAGAGAAATTTTCAAAATGCAAATTTCAAAATGAACAACAGACCGGTAACTTTTCTCCATTTTCGAGCATTGAGTGCAGCAGTGGCTGATTATCACCATGTTTGCTCATTAAGCAAAATGTCCTTAAAAATATTAATTTATAGTTAATAGTGATTATAACAGTGTTACGTAAACAAAGAGACCAATTAGACAATTAATTGAATCGTGCCAATTTTGAAACATTTAAATTATACTCAACGTGGGAATTTATCCCGCATGTATGAAACGAGACTTAGACACGGTTGCGTCGACACGAGTAACGGACTTGTGGAGAGCATCAAGAAACAGAGACGCCACGACAAAATGCAAACAATAAAAACGCGATTGAAGCAGTGGCTTTAAAATGAACCAACATCAGAAGGTGGATGATCTTTCGAAACAATGAACACATCTCGAACTATTCATCTCCGCTGCGATGCCCGACTTCACTAATTACATGCCCCTTAAATTACCGTATTCACAAATATGTTAATGAAATGCCATTTTTGCAATAATGAAATGAACAAAAATTAAATTAATTTGCATTTTTTGGGTCCATTAATGTTCTTAAGCCATTTTTATCGAGATCGGAAGCGCTTTTTCATGATAGAATTTATGACATTTAATTTTTAGGTCCATTAAAAATTTTTAGTTTATGGACCTATTCAAGCAATGAAAAAAGTGCACGCAAGTCGAAAATTACAAAGAATTGACGCGATATATCGTAATTCTCCGATATTTATTTTCAAAGGCGCAAGCGAACAGTTTATTTTTTATTTTCCATTTTGTGTGTTATTTTTTCGTATTTTTCAAAAACTTTGAAGAGGAAATGAGTAAGGGATTGAAGAACGTGGAAAAAAACAATTATTGGTATAAGTACCCCTAATTCGACAATATATGTCTATTTTTCGTCATTTAGATACCAATCATCATAGGAAATTGTGATATTTGTGTCGATTTGATGCAGACTTCGCTCGATGACGCTTCTTATAAACATTTTGCGTCGATTAAACAAAATACTTTTACAGATTTCCAAAAAAAAAAGTTGTAAACACTCAAAAATAAGAAAATTCGAAAACTATTAAAAAAATACAGTACCGACTTCGCGACGTGACCCGCGCAACTTTTCGCGTGCGTCTTTGAAAATAAATTGCGGAGAATACGATATATCGCGTCAATTTTTTTGTAATTTTCGACGTGCGTGCATAGGGAATTCAAATTTTAAAAAATTGATTTTTTTTCATTGCATGAAGGTCCGTTACCCACACGATTCGTTAAGTAGTAAAATTAAATGATCGGTCACTATTTGTTCCAATTCATAACTATCCACCCATATTGAGCAATACCAATGCATTTTTCGAAATACGACAAAGAACTTTAAATGGGAATCTGGCAAATAGCTCCATTTCACAGATATCTTTAGAATCAAATTTTTATTTTCTCTGTCGAATCACGTTTCGATATTCGCAAATTTCTCATTTTTATTTAAAAATTACTTCAGTCCTAGTTGTTAGATTCATCTCTGCTCGAAATTATAATGAACCAAAAATTAGAACCATCTATGGACTATTCAAATTTATGGGTAGAAATAGAAAATTGGGGGTGGTAGAAAAAAGATGGGGATTTAATGGCGATTTGTCAAATATTCGAACATTGTCGAATTACTCGAATACTTTTGAACCGTTCTGCTCAGGTTTTGTAACATTCGGTGACTATTCAAAAAAAAAACAAAAAGACAACAGATCAAGGAATTCGACAAGAATGCATATATTTGGCGAAGATTCGGTAAGTGAAAAATATAAAAATGAACAGTAACAATAATCAAAGGAAATAAACTAACCAGTAAAGGAAATTCAAAAAAATGATATCGAGTTATTCATCATCTTCATCGGCTCTTTGCAATTGCAGTTTGTACTTTTCTTGATTTGAACGACGTTCGCACAAATACCAGCAAGTGCAAATATGGATTATCTGAAATTTTGTACTGATTAATTGAACACGGAAAAATGCACACCTGAAGAACCAAAAATCCGAGCAAACAGAATATTAGAATGCTCTCTGATCTCCGGAATGTCTCTACTGGTGTGCAGGTTTCTCCCTCCAAACAAGTCGGTTTACCCCGCCAACTTTCTTCTAATTTATAATGAAGCTTAAAAAGCAATCCTTAATTATTTTCATACAGAGATATTTATGACTAACTCGTTTTCGAACTGTCAACGTAAATGCGATTGATATCAGAAGAGCTCCAATCATTGCGGCTTGTCCAAGTATATACTTAATATTTTTGAATTGAGTTCATCATTTTCAAAATAGAAATAATTACCAAGAAAAGCAAAAATGAGTTGAGGAAGCATAGAGAAACGAGGCCGAGCAGAGATAAAATTGATAGAGCTGCTGCATAACATCCGACGAGTAGAAGAGTTATTATGTACTGAAATTTATTAATTTAATGGTTTTTTTAATAATCTCAAAATAAAAAAAATCAGACCGTTTTTTTACACCAAAAATAAATAAACGAGGGCCAAGACTGATGTTTGCTGATTGAAGCTTATTACTTTTACAAAAAAAACTGTTTATTTTTTCCTGGAAAAATGGTCCAAAAAGATAGTTCGCAGCAGTCGTTGAATGCCTACAGTAATATTGGAGAATTCTCTAGTTAAGATTTTATGTATGAAAATGAAAATGTTATGTGTCTTGTTGTCTTATTCTCAAATTTTCCTGTACTATTCTCTCATTTTGTTAAAATATAAAACATAAAAAGTGAAACAAATAGGCAAATACAAAAAAATATGCTAATTTCGAAAAGATGAACGAGAATTTGAACCAATTTTCGACAATCATGTGACGGCAAAAAAAACGCGGAAGTTGAGCGAGTTCAGAAGGTCGAAATACGGTAGATTTTATAATTATGAAATAAACAAAAATACATAGAGAAATGTAATAGGGGGATGAAACATGCAATGCCAAAAAAAACGAACCTGAGGATAGACACTGACTCGTTCTGGCGATACAACAGGCTTCGGTGCATTAAACGCCGCAAAAAGGGTGGTTGCTAGGAGGGCTAGAGCACATGCCTAAAATGGGAGAAGAACAGGCTACAAAGAACCGGCTTATAGAGAAAAAACTCACGAGAAATATTAGATTGGTGAGAGTTGCCGCGCATCTTGCAATCGTCGATTTCGGCATCGGCTGCCGGAAGAATGTTAATTAGTAGGCTTATCGGCTATTTCGTTTTGGGACCCGACTCCGCTTTTTTTCGGTTGTCTAATATATGCGTGTTTTGTTGTTTTTTTTTTTTCGTCAGCCCGCGCTTCTCTTTCTTTTCTTACACACTTTCTCTTCGTTCGCAATGGATTTCGTCTTGGTACGAGACGACGACGACTCTTCGAATTCGAGAGAGCGATGGGTCGGCGGAGGCAATCGGCAAACGGGCAAAGACTAGCAGACTTTTTGATGGCCGAATCCGAATTCTTTTCGAAACTGAGACATTTCAAGTTCAATATTTTGACAATTTTCATCGAAGCGGAACAGAAAAAGAATGAGAGCAAAAAGAGTCGAAAACGCAAAATGTTGATCCACTTGTAAGCAAACAATTCGAAAAAGATGTCAAGTTTTTTTTTGCAATTTTTGTTTGGGTTTCGAATTCCGAAACAACTAGTAGAGAATATTTAATTGAGTTGTGAGAAAACCAATCGATATCATCATTTTTTTCAATAGCAATTTTCTCTTTTTTTCTATTCATTCTATATTTCGAGAAAACTTGAATAAAATTAAAATTGGTTGAGTTCTCGCAACACACAGACGAATATCATGAATTTTTCACTAAAAAACGAAAGGCGTAAACAAAAAAAAAAACACGAAAAGAAATGGGATTCTGCGAAATTATGTATATATCCAAATGTATTCAACAAGAATTATATTCAACATTTTAAGGGTTTGTTATTGAATGCAAAATAAATTGTTCGCCTCATTTGTTAAAATTTTAAAATTTGAGATAACCAGAAAAAAACGCGCGTAATAATAATAATAATAGTAAACCGTGATATTTTAAACAACAGAAATTACAAAAAACGTTAGAAAACTCATTGTAAATAATAATCAATTCGCAAGAATGAAATGTTTTCAAAATGATTCCTCTATTTTTGAAAACGAATGCTTATTCCAATTCTCATGGGTTCTTTTTTAATGAGAACCCAATTAGAATCAATATCAGGTGAATAGAATTTCGGTTAAAAATAGAGCAATTTTGGTCGAAAAAAAAACGAATTTTTTAGCGAGAAAAACTGGTATCGTCGGTCGCATCTCATGTTTGTTGTGTCGAGTCAACGAGTAAACACTGAATGATTCGATGAGACGTGCCCAGCATCGTAGCGAGAAACTGTAGACGGCGCAGAGGGACTCGAATACCTTCAAGGGTAAAGTTGCGATAAGCGCGAGTGGTTGATAAAAAAAGAATCGGAAGTGGTTTATTCAGCCTATATAAATACATTAAGCGATCGATTGCGGCTGACTTCGAAGACCGCCGTGTTTGTCTTTGGTTTCCGGTAGGATTGTCACCAGAATTGTGCAAATGAATGAGCACAATGCATAGAATAAGTAATGGAGACCCGGGAAAAATGCGTCCTGCAATAATTGAATTTACACTCGATTCCGGAGAAACAGCGCAAAATCAAATTTGATCATAATAAAATATGTTTTTTTTTCAAAATTCGAAAAAATCACGTAACGGGGAGGAATTCAAAAGTAAATAATTAGAATTTGGATGTTTAAAAAATATTCCATGAGATCACCCTACAATATACCGGATAAAAGAGAACTTGGAATTTTTGAAACTTAAAAAAGCACAAATCAGAAATATAATGTATTCATTCTTTTTTTCTCGGAAAATAAATTATTGGTTTGATCGATTTCAGTTCGCATAGAGACTATCGACTTTGAATTTGTGTATTATTTGGACCTCCACTCGAAAACTCTCATTTAATCGCTTACCATAATTGGAACATGTGGGGCCACAATTGCTCCGATATTCGAAAATGTCGAACATGCTCCAAGACAAATTGTGCGGCAGTTCGTTGGAAACAATTCGGCACCATAAACGAAGCAAAGCAAAAACGAGCATGTCATGGAGAACTTGGCGGTCAGCCAAATGATCAGAAATATTTGTGGATCTTCGTTGCTGTCGAACAGATACATCGATAATAGAGCAAATGCACATACCAAATGACTCATCATTACCGACGGTTTTCTTCCCAACCTTGAAATCTATTCATTTCAACAATTTCGCACCATTTTTTACCAGTCAATTGCCGCTGGTATCAGAAAATACGAAGGAACCTCAACGATTCCGGATAACAGATATGATAAATGGTGATTGTTTGATCCGAGTCCCGTTGAAGACAATGATAAAGTGCAGTATATCATAAGATCAATTACCCTGAAGATTAAATGAAAATTCAATTTGATATTCCTCGATTCCCACCAGAGGATACTTTCCACAACAGTGTATGCAACCAATGTTTGCGAATTCCAAATTGCTTTCAAAGTATCACAAAGAGTTCTCTCGTCCTCTCCTTTGTAGGAATCGATTATCTGTTGAGCATCATAGTCAACGTCGCTTCCATATCGATTCGCTGTTCTAATCCATTGCTGAACTTCCTTTCTTTTTCTTTTCGCCACCAAGAATGAAAAGCTTTCTGGTAGCAAACTTCAAGAACAAATTTAGAATCGTAATATGAAATTCATACGCACAATATCATCAAAATTGCGAATGCTATACAAGGAATCGACGTTGCGAATTGCAAGTGGCGCCACGATGACGAATACATCGAAATCGGAGTTATGATACAATATCCTATCACCTGGAAATGTCGCCATTCGAAATTTGATATTTATTATTGATACCCAGTTGAGTCCAAACAGTACTGCTGCATATCCGTGCCCAGCAAATGAAATGCATTCGGAACACATGACCCAATTGACTATCGAAAGCGCCTGTGAGATTTCGCGTTTAAAATCAACTCTTCTAATGATTACCGTGTAACAGGAGCCTTGAAAGAATCGGGCGATCAGCATACATTCAAACGATGGAGCAAAAGCAGCCATTGATCCAGAAACTCCCGATAGGAGCAATCCGCCGATTAGAATCGGTTTTCGTCCAATTCGATCAGCTAATACCGCAAATACTTGTCCGAATATCATATTTCCAAGAAAGAATGAAGAAGCTGCCATTTCGCCAGTATCAATGAATGATTTTTTGATGTTGAATTCGTTCTGAACAGTGATGAACGAGCAGTTTTCGAAACATGGATTTGAAGGGGCCGTATAAGAAGGCGACATGGCTCCCATCACGACAAGAAGCCACAGTGATGCCATCGAGAATGTTATAAAAAGTGGATAAGGATGCCATCTGAAATGAGACGAAATTTTGAAATCAATCAGAATCGATTACATTCCGATCTGCTCAAGAAAGTCATCAGCGGTTTGAGTGATTTTGACGGTCGACGCTGTCAAATTTTGACAGTCGACGTTGTGCTGTTTGAGCAGATTCTCGTTCTCATTGGGAGAAGATGCTGAACACGAATATCTCAATTTCATGTGGATTAAATCTTTATATTATATTAATATTTATATATGTATACGATTTTGAACAAAAAAAAACATTTACCTCTTTCTTTGGGTCCATCTTTATCCATTTTTGAAAAACAAATTCACTAAATACACCACACCGAACAAGGCGAAATGTTGGAAATCGGAAAACAGAAACCACAAATAGTTGATATTATGCGAAAGCGAAAAATTGCGAACAAAACGCGAAAAATATGTAGGAATATGATCGCAACCAATTATGCTCGACCGCAACTTTTCGGCGACCCCGTTTTTCAGCGAAAAAAAAACTGCCAAAATGATAGCGTCGATTTGCCACAAATTCAATAGAAAAGCTACTGAAATAGTCCTTCGATGATGCTGTTTTTTTATAAAAAGAAAAATCGATTGATTGAAAATTTTGTATTTTTTTTTATGAAATCTGCACACTAACATCATAGAAAAACAATTCTTCTTAAGAAGACGCGGAAAATTCACGGGAAAGTTTTTGGAAAAGGAAACGGACAGTAATAATTTCAAACATCGTTATGATTCATTTGGTGATCGTTCAGTTTACAGTTGAAAAAAATAAATAGGAAACAATTAAAAAGCGTATTTTGATACAGTGACCTCGATGATTGCCTCGTTGAATGCAAGTATGACGCCAGTCCTTGATTTTGTGTGGATATTCACTCGAATTGTTTCGATTGTTGGCCCCCGAATTGGCCGAATCAGTTGAACAACTCCTGAAGTCTCTTTTGTTATACATTCAAAAATTTTCTAATCGTGATATGAAGATTTTGCAAAGCTTTAAAATAAATCATTAAACCCCCTCAAAAAAAAACTCGAAAAAAAACCCTATATGGATTGCAAAACCGGTTTTTAAACCGTTTTCATGAAGGGTTTGACCATTCCTTAATTTTCTAGCTTTCTTGGCGAAACACACAATTAGGCAATTTTCTTCTAAAAAATTGTCATTGTCTCACCGCAAACGAAAAATTACCCTGCTTTGCGAAATGAATTTGCCGAGGTAATTGAAATTAAAATTGAATTCGGAATCACCAGTTGGAGATCATTGCGAACGAACTTTTCTTGTAAATCTACCCACTTAAAACACTATTCGTGAAAATACAAAGATTTTTGGAATTATTTTTTTGAGATTTTTACTGATCCAAGAATTTAAATTATCAATGCGACCACATGTGAATAACAATTGACACACCAATATTTCTATCCTGCTGAATAGTGAAATGTCTTCGACTCCTTGCATCCAGATTATAGTCGACTGAAAATGGCACATGCATATGTGTAACTATCCGCGAGATCTGTTCGAATATCGTCGATTCCAATGATTTTATTTTAAAAATTACCTCAACAGGGTGTAAGATTGATTTAAGTGATGGGACTGCTCTGAATTGATATAATATTTCCTTCGTGTGATTTCCAATGCATTCACCATCTTCTTTTCCACATACTTTTATGCATGAATAACCATCTTCGATTTGACTAAATATTTCATTTCAAATCATTTATTTTTTTTATTCTGATTAATAAATTAAATAACGAAAACTAGAGAAAAATGAGATCATGCTGTTAAATGTATCACAGAAAACGTGCTCCGTTGAAATGTATAATAAAATAAAAAAAAATTAAAGTTTCATGACCGGTGGATGCACAGTATTGTGTCGTTTGTGAGCCGAAACGTCCACTATCAAGTTTGCCGCATAGCTGTTGACGCTTTTCCCTTTTTTGATGAGTCTCAGAATTAGTTGAAGTTTGACTGTTTGGGGACCATCGAGACTGTCGCGAAGTGTCACCACCGCACTATTTCGTTTGTTTCCTTTTTGGAGCAGGAAATTCGCCCGAACTGCTGGCAGTACTCCATGCCGTTCTAAGATCCATGCATGATAGATCAAAAATAAAATTGGACAAATTGTTACCAACTGTAGCCGATTTCATATGAAGTTCAAACTGTACATCCGTGTCTGGCTGATTCGGCGCAGAAACTTTGAATAGTGTGATCGATGGCCGATGCGAAGATATCGGAACCGCTCTGGCGAGTGAGATAAACTGCCAAGTAATAAAAAGCGGTACTTTGGAGCATTCTTCAGGCAATCCGCATGCGGACGGCAAACGGTTACAACGACTGCAATCGGTTAGAAACATGCGGCCCCACACCAAACATACTTTTTGTTCGCAGAATCATGGACGTAGTTGGTGGGGCATTCGATCGAATGACATTTGAAAGATCCCAGTGTGTTCACGCACACTTTATCAGATCCGCCACATTCTCCAAGTGAGCATTCGTCAACATCTACACATTTTTTGATGACTTTTCGAATCAATTATGCCGTTATATACCTAGACACGTCCTTCCATCTGATTGAATTTTGTATCCCGGAGGACATTGACACAGATAAGATCCTTTGGTATTGATGCATCCTCCCATACAAAGATCGCTGCCGGAGCCTGCCCATACCGAACATTCGTCGATATCTTCGCATTTGATTCCGTCTGGCCCAAGGGCGAATCCACTAATATATATATTTGAAGGCTTATACTTTAACTTCTTTGCAACTCACCGATCGCAAATGCATTGATAACTTCCTGGAATATTGACGCACTTCTGCTCGCATTTGGCAATTCCTGTCGTGCATTCGTTCACATCTTCGCATCTTCTTCCGTCTGAAGCCAATTGGAATCCTTCTTTACATTTGCATTCGAATGATCCGATCTGAAAACTGACTGAATTGATTCCTCTCCTCCATATATACCGTGTTGATGCATTCTGCTGACAAATCGCAAACGTGGCCAGCAAATTTGGAGCACTCATCGATGTCTTCGCAAGTTTTCTTCTTAAAAGTTGTTTTTTTTCTCACATTCACAAAAACTTTTCAATATTTACATGATCATTGAAGTCGTATCCTGGTCCACATTTGCATTTGTATGTCCCTGGCAAATTGATGCATTCTTTTCCATGGCACACATCTGTGAGACATTCGTCGACATCTTCACAGAATCCCGTTGCCTCGTTCACTTCATATCCGTGAGTGCAAAGATTGCCTTTCTGTTGGCATCTGAAGCTTCCCGGAGTGTTGACACACTCTTCTCCAGCTCCACACCGGTCACCTGATTCGCATTCATCGATATCTTTAATGAAAACAAATTAAATATGGTATTAGGCACCATCTCGAACCGAGACACATTCCATGCTTTGGGTAATATCCATTCGGACAGTTAATTGACGTGCATTCTCCAGTTTGTGGATTCTGAAGTTCGCCATCTCCGCACTTTTTCGGAACACATCTGTTGAAATCAGCAGTATACGACGACGTATTTCACAAGAATAGAATCCAACCTATAGCTTCCTTGCGTGTTTTTGCACTGATACAAAGCTCCGCAATCATGGGAACCGAGATTACACTCATCCACATCTGACAGAAAAATTAATTATTCGCATTTTTTTTCTAATAGTGGTTTCAGATTTTCGATATATACAAACGTATAAATAGTTATGTTTAGAAATATTTTTTTAGTATTGTTAGTAATCAAACCAATGCATTGTTCGGTATCAGAGTCCATAGCATATCCGGTTCCACATGAAAGCGTTCGGATGCACTTGAAACTTCCAGGTGTATTGAGACATCGCTGACTTTCGAGGCAGTCATCCATCAACATCGCACACTCGTCAATATCTATGTTAATCGAATATTAGTAATTTGAGTGTTTTCGTTAATTGAACACCTTGACATTGTTTAGAAGATTCACTCCAAAAATAGCCAAGATTACACACACATGTGCCATCGCCATAATTATTGACAGGAAGACAATGCTGGTTAGGAAGACTGCACGAGTGTTTTGGGTCGAGGATTGAACATTCTGATTAAGCGGATTGGGAAAATTACACGGGAACAAGTCTTACCGACACATTGTCCGTGCTGATATAACCAGCCATATGGGCATCCGATGCCGGTGGCGCCTTGCGCTTCGCGATACGTATCTTCAAATTGATTCTTTGAATATGGATCGTCGCGCATTCTTCTGGTCGAATTCCCAACACGGTTGTTCCTGTGACGATGAGAAGTTGGAAGGCCTGACGGAATGAGACGCGTGATGCGTCGTTGACACAAATATCCTCCAATGGTATTGACACATTCCTCGAAGGAAGCACAAGGGGAGATTGGGGAAAGACATTCATTTCGATCTGGAGGGAAATTGACACTGGTTTTAGTTGATAAACGTACCATTGCACGATGATCCATCGGGAGCCAAATCGTATCCGGCTCTACAACTGCATTCGACCTTATCACCTCCTCTATCATGACAAAGATGTTCGCAACTTGAGGCAGTGCATCGATCTCCTAGGTGCATAACGGCAGGGTCCATCAAAGGACGTCCTAGATTCTCTTGATCATCCCGGACCAATGAAGCAACGAACCAGTTATAACATCAGCGCCTTGAGTTATTTCAATATCCCCATTGCAGCATTTGTTGAAAGATCGGAGACATCCAGCCGAGAAGCCAGACGGAGCTATACATGGCTCGTTTCGGCTGACAATGTCCTTGGCAAGAAGGCAGCAATCGCAGCATTCTTTTTTGAGACCTCCACCCAATAGATTAATGTTCGAAGGACAACTTTCTTCAGATTTCGCCACTGTTGTACCCTCATCACAAGCGGCATCAAGTAAGGAGCGTAGACAACATATTGAAGCAGTTCTGCAGCAAAATCAAAGAATTTTGAATCAAGCCGTTTCAAAAATTTCAAATTCTCAAATTACTTTGTTTTAAGCATTCTTTCCATGGTTATCAAGAATTAAAAACGATTTTTAAACCACCTAAATATTTTTTTTTATAATTCAGGAAGATTTTTTTTAATCTGAATATTCGATCTGTTGATTCAAAAGTTCAAAAACCTTGTTACCTTTGGCACGTCATGCTGCTTCCGACGCTCTTGATGCTCGAACAAGTGTTGCTGTTCTTGAAGTGTCGAGTTCCACCTGCGCAACATCTGGTTAGCTCGTTTCCCAAGGCTCCAGATGACAGTGAAGTCAAGAAGAGGACAACCAGAAGTTTCAAGCGCATATCAGATGAGAGTTGGAAAATGTCTGAAAAAACACACATTTTTTAATTCAGCCGAAAAAAAACAGAATGAAATTCGGGAGAGAAATTCACAGAATGTGTCGTGGGTGTGGAGAACGATGTGACGTCTCGAATTTCGAAAACTATGCCCCACTACATGAAACACTCTCACAACATGTGCCCGATTTTTATAGCCCGTCGAAAGGGGAGGGTGGGAGGGCTTCTCGAACAATATATGTATACATAAAATCCATGGGATCCCATCGACATCATCAGTCGATGACGGGTCGCAGCATTCTCCCATCAGCATGATCTCGATTTTTTTTTGTCGTCCGTGAGAACTACAACAACAAAAAGCACAAATATTGCGTAATGGATGATAGCGCGCATCGCGCCCGAAGAAAACCGAACCACACTGATAATTATCGCGTTTTTATTGAAAATTTTGACATGTTTTATTTAAAGACGGCACCGATAAAAATTGAACGAATCCGATAAATTTCTATATATGTAACACGGTGTATTTGTTTTCAAGTGTATTGTGATAAAAATAGAAACAGCTCATTACGATTTTGCACCAGATGTTGCCGCGAAAGGCGGAGTGCTTGATTGTTTTCGAAGCACATACATACATGCATACATCTTTATATTAATTACTGAGACAATGGACACGGCGGTGGAAGGAGAATTGAGAGAATGCAATATGTCAAATGGGGGTGTTTATTATAAACGAGCTTTACTGAGTTCAGCTGACTGAAGAAAAGGTAGTTTGAAATTTGAGATGGAAAACAAAAGGCTGAATGTAACGGAAACATCACGAACATACATATCTACAGGCTATTTTGGTATCAATTCCGTGTCTCTTCTGCTCAGTTGAATGAATTAAAATAAAAGAGGTTACTAGTATCATTTGAAGATCTTTTGGTCTGACGAATTGAAAGAATTTTTGCAGAAATTCAGCCAAATCTCTGAGTCCCCATTGCTAATTAAACAGTCTTTGAATACTCCCCTACAATTGAATTGTCCACGGACATTAGGACGTCGCAATTTGATAATTGGGGTTCGAATCCGAAAATGAGCATTCAGAGACAAATTGGCAGACTAACATGTCAGAATGCGAAGCAAAACCGAATGATAGTGCGAATTTGAAATTTTCAAAAACTTCATGCATCAATATTTTGTGCTTTGTTTTAGTGTTCTCTTTATAATCAAACCTTTAAAAAAATCAGAGATTCATATTTTTCTCATAAAACTTGATGGTTTTCTTGTGTTTTTCAGTGTAACTTTACACGAAATTCAAAGATATTTTAAAAATTTCAGAACACAAGCCTAAAATTTTAATTATACATTGACATATTTTATATTAAATAAAAGACATGACAGGTATAGTTGTCTCCTTCCTCGTAATCTAAGAACCGATTAGACGAAAATTGGCAGACAACCTGTAACCAATGGCGAAACGCCAAATGATGAAGATGTGTCATGTTTTGCTTGATCAATCGCCGATTGTTATTCGATGCCATCGCCAGTTGTTGTGACAAGATGATGGACAACAAATCGGAGTTTTTTTTTTTCGATTGCTCGGATATAAACGCGATAAAATGTTAAAGATGGGTTCAAAAATTCAATACCAACCTGCCAATCACAAATACGTATGTCTGAAAGTAAAAAAAAATGTTCGCTGATAATGAAAATGAGGACTTATCGACTTATGAAAACGAACAATGAGCATTGATAATTTGATAGGAAAATGGAGAGAAGGAGACACATATAAAAACATAAAGAATTGGTTTGAAGATTCTTAAACATCGATTTAATTCTGAAAGAATGGGAGATTAGAGAAGCAATTCAATCAACTTCAATCCTACAAACGATGTTTATATTCTGAAAAAAAAACTTATTGCTTAAAGGAACCTAATGCAATTTAATAAATAATTTCTTTTTTAACACAGAACTTTCCTAGACTCCTCCAAATATTTCTCAAAACCTTATAAGAAAATTCGACAAATCTGAGAAATTTTGCTTGGTTTTTTATTACAGTGCGTTGCAGAATTATAAGGCCACCCCCAAATTTAAGCGCCGCGCAATGATTTCGATATTTTGAGACCAACCAGTGTGAAAATCGTGTTCAGCATGAAAAATAACCTATATGTACCTATTTTTATGTTAGTATCTTCAAAAGTAACCGCGCAGTGGTCCAAAACCATTTTTTCGAGCGGTGCAGAATTATAAAGCCACCCCCATAAAACAAGTTATAAACTCAAAAATAACGACAGTTTAATGTTTAGTGGCACCTTCATTCGAGGTAATTATGTCAGAAACACGGTCTGGCATAGATTTGAAAAGGTTTTAAACAGATTGGGTCGATTTAGATTTGAATTTCTGCTCTAACATCTTCCACTCGACTACGATTTCGGTTTTGAGCTTTCCAACTCCCCAAATTTTCTTCCTTGGCCATATGAAACGCCGTACTAACTCTCCACAGACGTTCTACATGGGACTCCAAAAAGGAGAACATGCTGGCCAGTCGAGAACGTCCACACTGTGAGACTGAAGCCAGTTCAAAGTAGACCGACTCACATGAATGACAGTATTGTCCTGTTGAAAAAGGACAATAATGACGTCGGAATGGAAGAAGATGGCTCTCAAGAACATTCTGATAATCCGAAGAGTCAACCCTACTCGTCAGAAAAGCCAATTCCAGAAATCCGGCCTCCGAAAACGCATCCCCCATAATATCACGCTTCCTTCTCTAAAATTGAGTTTTGAAAGCAGGAGGCGATTCTTTCATTACTCGGGCCATAAACTGTTATAGCCGTCTGGGCCATCCAAATTAAATTGTTTTTCATCGGAAAAAATAACCTGTTGAAGTTTGAATGGTTCACAACATTCTCGAATGTGAACACCTTGTTCCAATCCGTATTCATGTTTTTGAATGCGAACTCAAGGCGTCGAATTTTATGGTCCTCTGTTGGTCGCGGGGCCGGCTTCATTTTTTCTCTAGCGATGTTGGGGTTATTCTTGATGGTTCTCCAAACTGTCCACTTGCTTTTGTCGAAGTTTAGCTTCTTCTTGATGTCATTTGTAGACTTCATACTGCTCGAAGCTGCTCGAATCAATGCTCGTTTAGCGCGATAGTCCAGTTTTCCTCTGCCGCCTGACTTTTGCGACATGTTGACACGAGTTGGATCCTTCACAAAGATGTCTACGAATGTTTTCGGATCATTTAAATTTTTCGCAACCTTACGGTTCGACCATCCTGCCGTTTTGAATGCGATATATCTGAGATTGCTCAGAAGCACTAAGACAGCGACCACGTGGCATTTCAAAATGATTCAAAAAGTGAAAAATAAGGACCACTGTAGGTTCTCAAAGCCACACAACAATTTTTATGCACACTGGTCCCGCCAAAGTTTCAAAAAAAAAAAAAAAAAAGCGAAAAAGTCCGTTGTTGGGGGGTGGCTTTATAATTCTGCACCGCTCGAAAAAACGGTTTTGGACCACTACGCGGTTACTTTTGAAAATACTAACATAAAAATAGGTACATATAGGTTATTTTTCAGGCTGAACACGATTTTCACACTGGTTGGTCTCTAAATATCGAAATCATTGCGCGGCGCTTAAATTTGGGGGTGGCCTTATAATTCTGCAACGCACTGTATTAATGAAATGGTCAATCAAATAAGACATTTTTAAAATGAATACTCTGAAGTCCGTTACATCAAGCTTCGGACAAAAATAATCCATGCATAGTTCGGCATTCCCGAACCATTATAGGTCAGGTTTTCCCGGTGAGGGGATCTCTTCGTCTTCTTCTTCCAGTCCCTTGTGATGTTGACCGCGGAACCTTTTAGGGATTCATTGATGATCCATATTTTCTTCGGTTTTTTAGCCAGCCCGGACTTATATTTGCAATATTTAATATGTAGCGAACACTTCTTTGCAATCTTGACAGACAGTTCATGACTACAGAATTTTCAGATTTTTTAAAAAATCATTGCTGACAGGATTTTTTGCTTGAAGAGCAACACTCGTTCCTTTCGCTTAGTAAGCTATGCCAGAATAAAAATGCAAAAAATATTCCTAGATCTTGATTAATTACTGAACAAATTTATCAAATTATCCATTTTTATTGTTTTTTTTTTTTGTTATTCAATAACTTCAGAATTTATAAATACTGCACATCTGGTAATTTTCTCTATTCAGTTAATAGTAATTGAAATACACCTGCTCAATATATTCTTACTACCCGATTAAGCTAATTATTAAGGCCGATTCGAAAAGGAGCAATTTTCTCGTGCTGTCGAGCAAATTCTAATTGCACCGATTAATCATTGGGCATCTGTACTCAAAACTGGAGAAGGTTATTAAAATACTAATTAGTTACTCTCAAAATTAAGAACACAAATACTTAATGCAAAATGTTGTATACATTTCTCGTTTGAAATATTCAATTCTTCACGAGATGATTTCGAAACGCTCGAATTGAAAATATTTGGCATTCAATCCTTTGAAGCGAACAATTAGATAGCCAATTAAATTGATACGAACAACAGTATCACATGCATTAAACGTCAAATCGTGTTAGCTTCGATAGTCAAGTTCATTCTCCTTGCGAAGTTCGCCCAGTTTCATTATCGTTATATCATTTTCATCAATTCACCGAAATTATTCATTCAATTTCGCCCTTCTAAGATACACTATTAATCGATTTTCCTACGTTCTTAGATGTTCCAAAAACGAGTAAAGTTTGAAATTGAATTGTTTTGATGATATTCAGTCAACGTCTTACTCGTGCTTATTTCGTATAACAAATGAGATTGTTTAATCTATATTAGCGACTACATATGGCTTAAATCCTTCAGATCAGATTTGCTCTTCTGCCTTAACTTTTTATCCGGCTTCTGGCGTATTACAGATGTTTAGATTTCTTTTGATAAGATCTTTAAAACAGGGCCACATTTCGTCGAAGCGGTATATCAAATTTGAAATTAATCAGTGGGAATTCGGCTTTGCACTACGGATAACCAAACTCACCGTAGATCTGTAACAGGACGCTATTTTTTTATGGCGATTTTAATACAAAGTCAAAAATCGTATGATATACACCTGTATTTTTCTATAGAAAAAAGTGGCTATCAAAATCAGTCGATAGAACGATAATTTTTCGAGTTAGGAACCTATAATCAATTATTTTCTTTAATTTAATTTTGCGATTGAATTACGTTTATTTACAATTTCTTTGAGATTTGAATATCAAAAAGTTAAAATTATTTGAAATTGGGCACCGCCCGAAAACAATCGGCTTTAGATTATCATGAGGAGTTTTGAAATTTCGACATAACTGAAAATTGAAGTACAATTGGATTTCTTTTAGTTATCAATTCCTTTTTTGACTCATTTTTGTTTTAAAATCAGTTTTCGTTTCCAGAATATTCCATCAGAAATTCTGCGTAAAACTACTGATAATAAACCACCGATTTATTCGGAATTTGCATAATTCTGTCCCCCCCCCCTCTCTGATTGTTTTTAAAATATAAAAACCAATAGAGTCAATTGAGATGTTCCGGTTTTTTTTTCAAATTCAACACTCTTTTTCAACGTTCGTTCTTCTCATTTCCTATCACTTTTTTTCTCGCATTTCTCAACATTTTCTCATTGCATTTCAATTTTAAAAAAACGTCTCGAACTACACTCACTTTTCAACTCATTCTTGACAATTTTTGTTGAACAATTATCTTTTGAATCATCATTACACTTTCACACCTTTTTGGCTATTGTCCAATTATGGCCTTGTCGATCGGACTCTATCAAATTGCATGTCATATGCCTTCAGGTCACGAATTCCACCAAAACGCATATTTATAAATGCCGTTTAAAATTACCATGCAGGTTTTTGAAAATCCTTCTTTAAGGAATTCTTGATTTTTTAAAATCTTTTCTACATTACAATAATAACACTCAATTTTTATAAATTAACTTAAAAATTGCATGTGTACAAGATTTCCAATAGATGGGCTAAAAATAAAAACTGATGGATTGATGATTCGTATCTTTGAGCTATTTCTGTAGGAAGCATTTAATCATGATGAGTCATCTGCGGTCGCCTGCAAAACGATATAAAACGGTTGTTTCGTGTTCTGCGATGCAAAGTAGCTCAGCAGATTCCAAACGCTCAAACAGTTTATAGAGTCTTATAGTTCATTTTAGATAAACGTTTGATGCTAATTGCAGACGCTTTCGTTTCGAATCTCATGAATACGTCAAGTTTATCTATTCCTTATGCACACTATTGTGAACTTTTCCAAAATCGGGATTTGATTGGATTTTTGATCTATCGAATCGCAATAACCCATTTGATCTTCTTTCTTGTTTTTACATTTCCGGAAATTATTGCAATCGTTTGTGTTGACCATTACGTTCTTGGCAGAACAATCACGTGCATTACTTTCTACTCTACAACCAACCAGTAGAGATTCACGAACAAAAAACGCACTAAACCTCTGTATCTCTCCAACACGCTGCGCTATTTTCTTGTCGATGTCGACGTCGGAAATTTTTCGACAGTCAATGTCACGCACGCAAAAAAATTTCTGCCAATTTCAGAGAGGATTTTCCTTACATGGATGGTCGTGACGCAAAATTTCAATTTTTTCTTTCGAGAAAATGAAACACGCAGTTCCAAAAAGTACCCATTATATTCACACATTTGTCTTCTAAAGAGGAACCATTGGTATACTCCTAGGTATACCGATTCTGACAACAAATCGTTTTTCAAGGAATCATGAATTTCTACGCGATAAATGTATTTTTACAAAATTATTTTTATAAAAAAGGTATTCAAAAACCACAAAAATCTGAAAAAAAAACTAACCAAAGACTACGAAGGCGTGCTTGATTTCAAATAACTTTATATGCATTTTTACATTTTAAACAAAAATAAATAAGAAAAACACAAACTTTGACGAATATGTGATTTCTTGAATATTTGTTTTTGGTTCACCAATCATTTTTTGTTTTTCTTTGTTCCTCGTTCCAACTCCTTCGGGGCGAAACTATGACAAATGTTTTTTTTCTGAAAAAAAAAACTTTATCATATTTTGTACATTCTGCACGTATTAATCATCGCCGAACAGTTCGTTTTGTTCATTTCGCGTCAGAAAACGCAGTAGTATCCATTGAAAATCCAATTTCGCTGGGCTGCCATTCAATGGGTTCAATAAATTTGTCGTCGTTATTTCGACTTTGCACCGTTTTTTTTATTTGTTTTCATTTCTCTTCGTTTTCCTTTCTAAATACGCACAAGCAGCCCCTAAATTGATATTGAGTGTTGATACGCATTTATGCATAAACGGTTTTTACCGCCGGATTGCTTGACCTGATTTGATCATTTTGCGATTAATTGAATGATGACCTTGAGTCTATTGCAGCGTCGCCATTTTGGTGACCATTTTTTTCTTCAAATTTCAATTATTTTCAGTTCCGCTATGCCGAGCCCAAGACGACACAACGTTCCGTTTTATATATTCCAGCAACGGTCAGTTTAATGAATTTGTATTAGGATTGCTGATATCGGTATTGTCGGCAATTCGACAATTGTTCGGATAAAAATATTCAGTTTATAAGCAGAAATGTAATGATTTTGGGAAGAAAATTCGAAAAACTAAAAAAGAAACTAGGTAGAATGAGCCACAGTCTGCATAATCCCATAATTATTAATGCTGAAAATGGTCCCAGTGTCTTGAAGAAGCTTTAAATTCATAATAATAAGAGGAAAGCTTTTTGTCTTATGTTTTTTTACCGAACATAAGAAATAACACCAATGCGGCAATTGGGTAAATTTGAAAATTCGTTCGGCACTCGGAAACCCCTGATTTGTGGTTGATAAGTGAAGTGATTTTACAGAATAAATGTTCAATTTTCATTAATGTTTTAAAGCATTTTCAATTAGAATTAACCACACAAAAAATGAATAGCCGAGTGTTTTGAATAACTTCCTTATTTGAATAGCTTGACTTCCTTATTTGAATAGTTTAGAGATCGCGACATGACTCCCGAAGCGGCCAGAGAGCACGACCGTGACTGTCGCGAGATGCAAACCCTTCTTGTTATGGGCGGTGTGACCTTCTTCATCACAATCGTCATAGTTCTCTCCAAATTCGATGTAATCTTCTCTGCATTTCTTCATTACATTAACCAGATGTGCCGTTTGCAGATGTCATCCGAAAGTGTTATGAATTATGCTCCAATCATCTGGCTTATTGGAGTTGTCGCGCTCGGAGCAATCATCAACACTGTCGATTACTACAAAACGAAAAGACGAGAGAAAAGACTTCTAAATATGGTAATTCATTTGAATACAGAAGCTTGTGAACAATATTATTTGAGTTGCAGCAAAGCCTTCTTGCCGAGATGGCGCTGCCTCAGTCATTTCCATGCTTATTGCCAGGCCCTCATGACGAATGTTGCGGAGGACGCGGAATTCCCATTCGACCGCTTCCGACTTACGACGAAGTGTGTCAGGTCGATGAGACGAAATCAACACTTCCAGACTATTCAACCGCATTGTCTATGCTCCAACGCGAATCAAATTGATTGAACATAACTAGTTATTGTCACGAATATATACTTACGGATTGTTCAAACGGGTCCGCAACGCGCACCTCCTCGCCGAGCAACTTTTTTTAAATCATTATATCATTTAAATAATGTACTTATCACCTAATAAACTATCATCTCGAGATGAATTTCTTCGACTTCTTACTTCCTAGATTGCGAGTTTTTTGTTGATTTCGACTTTCTTAAACAGCTGAATTGAATTACTGATAAAACGTTTTTATAATCTAAACGGAATCAAATAGTAACGATATCTACTAAACGAAGGCAGGGTCGACACGAGTGATGAAAAAGGCGGAAAATAGGCAAAACCCGAATATTACAGCGGAAATTGTTCGGACACATTTTAATTGGTCTTGACTTTCTTGTACTTGTCCTTGCCACCACGGAACACATACGATTGCAAGAAGAAGTTGATGAAGAGGATAAGATAAGTGGTATCCATGAACACAGCAAGTTTGAACACAGATGGGTCAAAATCACATTTAGCCTAAAAATATAGAGGTATGTATGTTTCAAAAAAGAAGAGCACATACTCCTTGGAAGTTGATCATGTAACCAAGATGAGCAAGGACGGAGCATGAGATGATGAATTGGAGAATCTGAAGGGATGTGATCGCTTGAGCAATGAATCCTGGGACACGTATCTTCATCGAGCGGAGGAAGTAGTATCTGAAACATTATTTTTACAACATTAAACACAATATCGTTGACTTACGAATACATGAAGGCGTGAACAACAAAGTTGAGGTAAATTCCGTATCTGTTGAATCCGGGAGTCAACGGATGAGAGTACCAGGCGTAGATCATTGTAAGGATGTGATGGTACCTAAATGAATGGAGTATATTTTTCACAGAGTTATTTCCAGTACCAGTGAAGGAACATGAGTGGTCGTTTGCGCAAGACAAGAAATACGGTGTCAACGAGCTCGAAAAGTTTAGAAGCCATAAACAGCCACACCCAATATCCATTTTCTCCTTTCGTGAAATCGTAAACGTAGCAGTACGAATCTGTAATCGTTTAAAATACCGAATTCTTTTTCATGTCGCATCGCGCCATACAGGGTGTCATTTAAGTTCCCGCACAACTTTGAAGACGTATATTTCTGAAACTAAAAGTCCAAATCAAACGAGACTCAAAATATTATTTATCTATAGTACAACAAATAATTATCTATTAACTCTTTTCGATTCGGCCTCCTTTCGCAGCTATGACTTCACGGAGACGCTTCGGGTAGGATGTGACTGTGGTACGCAGGTATTCGATGGAAAGATTGTCCCACTCCGCCAGTAATGTCTTCTTCAGAGTCTCTACACTTGAGTGGGGTTTTGCGTTGACCTTCTCCTGCAAGACCCTATCACGGAAAAGTCAAGCGGTTTCAGATCTGTGGAGCAATCAGGCCATTCGGATGACTTGATGAAGTCGGGAAAATGGGTCTGGCACCACTCCTGAGTAGTTTTGGCAGTGTGGGCGGGTGCTCCGTCCCGCTGAAAGACCCATATCTGCCCACCGAAATGCGTTTGGGTCCAGGGCATCACATGCTTCTCCAAAATGTCCCGAACGTAGACTTCTTTGTTCATTTTCACTCCCTGATCCACGAAATCCTGGGGGCACATCCCGGTTGAGCAGATGGCACCGAAAACCATCACACTGGCAGGATGTGAGGCTCGATTAATTGTTTTTCCTTTCTCAGAAGCTTGCTGGGATGTCTGGGCAAGTACTCAATGGTTTTGTGAGTAGAATGCCGTCTCCACAGTGAATAGCTTCTCGTCGGAGAAGACAGTGACGAGATCTTGTCCAGACCGCGTGCGAGCAAGAAGTCGTTTTGCTTTTTCGAAGCGTCTCTGCTTGTTGACGGCCGATAGAATTGCCGCTTTTTGGACACGATATGGGGTCAGTACAAGCTTCGTTTTGACGATTTGTTCCAAAGCGAAGATGCTCATTCCCATGTCTGACGCTATCTTTCTCATGCTCCTGTGGGGGTTTCGGCTGATCCTCGATTTGACGGCGTTGATCTTCTGAGGAGTGGTTACTGAGACGAGTCTTCCTTGTCTGGGACGGTCACTGGTCGTATTTAGCTCCTTGAATCGTTTGATGGTGTCATAAACCGTTCTACAAGGCACACCGACCCGTTGAATGATGTCTCTCGGGCTCACATTTTGCTTATGAAGTTCGATAATGGAAGCGCGATGGATGTTAGCCTTCGCCGTTTCTCGGAAGCACATCCGAATGAGGTGAAACTTGGAAAGTAAGTAAAATATACCTTGTTCAATAAAAATAAATTGTATTGGTGTACGAAAAGTGCGTTAGCGAAGCTCTACATGGCGTCAAACTTTTGTGCGGGAACTTAAATGACACCCTGTATTATCTTATCGGTCAATGATACTTTGATCAGATAACGAGTTCAGCTACAATTTGAAAATATTCCTCTTTCAAACAGGAAAGTCCACGTCGTTTCTGATTGTGGCTGAGTATAATCATAATGATCGCGAGAAAGTATCATAGTACATATAATTATTTTTTCAAAGACGAGTGCGTGGCTTAATAAAACTGCATCTGTTATCGCTCTAGCGATGTTAAACAAATAAATACTTTGTGGAGAGTTAATTTTAGAAATAAAATAGAAACAAGTTTACGGCTTTTTGCCACTTCACAAAATTAAGATTAACTTATGATATTTTTTTAATTTAACATAGTAGGCGTCCCGCGACTGCTGTACGCGGGTAGATTTACGTACATGCGGCTTGGAAAGGTCTCGCAACGGTTGAACTTATTTAACATTTCATTTTTTTAACGCGAACGGTTATTTTTTTTTCTTGATGAGATTGACATTTTTTGAATTTCCAACGTCATTCGATTTAAAAATTATCAAATTGACCCATAAAATTCAAAATAACCAGTTAGTCCGCGCGAGACCAAGCGAAAGACTCATCGCCGTAAATATACGCGCGTGTCAAAAATTTTTTTAGAGTACACTTTTTCACTTGGCAACATTTCCGCAACATCTGCGAGTATTTTATGAGAAACACATGTAGTCTTCGAATGTTTTCTTGACGACTCACTCGAGACTCCTTTGTTCAAAAGGACTGAGAAGAACTCTGGTGTCATTTTAATGGCTCCAACGATTGAGAAAACGGCGAGGATGAAATTCCAGATGTTGAGAGGGACAGTGAGCTTGAATGGCTCGCGATTGCGCATGATGAACTTGGTTCCAAAAACAACAACGACGTACAAAACGGCAGCCTCAAATCCAATTCATTTTTCAGATCAAAGATTGTAATCCGTACCTGAATGGTCACATAAAAGTGATCACTGAAAAACTTGCGACCTTCAGCATCCGGGAAATTCTTACCGCCATGTGTCGCGAGCTTGATGAATCGTTGAGTGTCAAATTTAACATCAAGCAGCCGCTGAACAATTGGGTGTTGGCTCATGTTGTATTTATGTTACCTGTAACATAAAATAAAATGAGAAATTAAGAACAGACCAATATCGCAGAAAAAAACGAGCCAACCGCACAACGTACTCTAAACCCATGAAAGTGTAGTCGAAAGACAGATAGAGTGCATGAACAACAGCAAAAAACGAAAAACGGCGAAAGAAAAAACGAAGGCGAATCGGCAAACGCCCGCCCAATCACCCCATATCGTTTGGCAACAAAGAGAACTCCACAGCCGCTTATCACAGACAAGAAATAACGTTTTCTGAACATTGCAGAATGAAGGTTGTTGATTGAATGAATGACCTCATTGACGTGGAAAATATCTATGGCATAAACCCCGTATTACGATTTTAGGAGCTTCGCGAAGGAGAAAAACCAAACCTAAACAGCGCAGTGCGGTATCGCCCTTAAATAAATGACAATTTCCCGATCAAATAGCTTATTTGGTAAAATGTTTCGCTTTTTAAGACACTTTATAACAACAAAAAATAATGACAAAATTGCAAAAAAATAAAGAAAATTATTATGGCATATTAATATCAATAAGAAGACAAAAATAAGCGGCTCGAGCGTCTTACGGTGAGTTTATTAGCAGGTTATCCGAAGTACGGTATACGAATTCCCACTGTTTAAATTTAAATATGAATTAAAAGCGCGGTGGTTCACAATTAGTCAAGGCGCTCGTTTTTTTTCCAATGGTAAAAATGTTGTAATTATAGGATTACGTTATTTATGCGCAATCTTCTAAGGAAAAATTCAATAAACTTGGACGCAACATTTTAAATGTGCTTTTTTACAATGAAATTAACGATCACGTCATTTTTTAAACTTCAAATGCACCAATAATAAAAAATTTTGACCGAGATAATTGAAACCGTGTCAAAAATCGTGGATCCAACAAGCAAATGTTGCCACGGGTCCAAAAAATTGGGTCAACTTATTATTTTTCACGTTTTCACTATAATGATTATTCATTAATGAATTTATCAAATGATATGAAGTAGAAATAAAAATTGAAAAAATGCAACAACACTCTTTTCGTTTTTTCTTTATTTTAAAAACTATTTATCTTGTGTGGCTTTAAGGTTCAATGCAAAGAAAATAGAATAATTAAAAAATACTCTGGAAATTCAAAACTAATCGGATCCTACAAAATTCAGCTCTGGAATCGACCTTATCCGATTGGAAGTTCTACCTATATGATTATGCCAGATCCGATTGGTTATTATTCGAAGCCGTTTTGTTCTAATTTTTTCAATTTGAATCGGATCCGACAATTTTACAATCTAATCCGTAGAATTACCAATAGGATCGGTTGATTCCGGAGCCTAATTTTGTCGGATCCAACTGGTTTTGATCTACCAGAGCAGACTAATTTTCAACTCAGAAAAAAAAGAAAAGCTACTCAGGGGGTCTATCGGGACGAGCAGGGGACACTTTTTGATTTGGGATAACCGAAGAGATATAAACATTCAATTAGTGAAAAAAAAAGTCGCCCCCACTATTTAGAACGACACGCTAAATTGAGCACAATGTGTAATTGGAGTGTCGTACTCGTAGGGTAAAAGTTATTTGACAAACCGCAAGTTTTTTGGGAACTCCGTGTAACCCCAATGTTTAAACCAAAACTAACCACGGTTCTTTCCGAATAGCTGAGGGAATTTCAATTCGAATCGGATTTTTCTGCATTGATATTTTGTCTATTTCTCAGGTAAATGAAAATCAATCTAATTCGAAAAAAATGAAATATAAATTAACCTGATTCTATTAAAAAATAATTAAAATTCGAAAAATTCGATTTGAAAATTTGGTTTCGGTTTAAAAAATCTTCGAAATCGATTGATTTAGTTCTCAATTTCAATTTTGAAATCGAATTCGATTGAAATTTTGGAATAATTCGAAACAGATTAATTTATATTCGATTTCGATTGAAAACAAAATTATTTTCGAATCCGATTTTCATTTACCTGAGTTTTTCTTAGTTCTTTTCTCTGCAGAAAAAACTGTGATTAAAAACTTCCGTCATGCTAATTTAAGGGTTATCAGAAGCGTTTTTCTCAAAAAAAAGATTATTTTTGATTAGGATAGGGTGACTTTCCTTTATCAATGAAAACTGTTTTTGACAGCAGATAAAAGATGTTTTATGATGACTGCTTGATAATTATTAGAACTTCACAAAATACTCCATTCTTAAATTCAACCATAAAAGAAATATTTGCAGATTGTGGGAAAAATTACTTTTCACTTAATTTTTTGCAATATCAGCATAGTCCATGATTTTTTTTAAATGTTTATAAGATGTATTCATAGACATTCAACATACATATATGTAAATGTTTCGTTGGAGTCAGATTAATATGACCACTAATGGATCTATTAAGCGTTAAAATTGCCGAATTCGTGATCTCTGGTAACTCAAAACCAATCGGATTCGACAAAATTCGGCTCCGAAATTAACCTTATCCGATTGGTATTTCTACGAATAAAATTGGAATATTGTCGAATCCGATTAGTTTTTTGATTATTTTCGAATACGATTGGTAATTTGTCCGATCCGATAAGATTTTCTTCGAATCCGTTTTGTTTCAATATTTCAATTCGAATCAGATTCGACAAATAACCAATCTTATCCGTAGAATTACCAATCGAATCCGGCAAATTACCAATCGTATTCGAAAATACCCAAAAAACGAATCGGATTCGACAATTTTCCAATCTTATTCGTAGAAATACCAATCGGATAAGGTTAATTTCGGAGCCGAATTTTGTCGAATCCGATTGGTTTTGAGTTACCAGAGATTTTTACAAAACCAATCACAAAAAATCCAATAATTAAATTAAATGTGATTTTTTGTATATCTGTATTGAAAAAAAAAGAATAATTTTTACATATTTTATTGCATGAATATGTCAATTAGTAAAAAATTTAAATGCATATTTAATAAGAGTTAAAATTTAATCGCTAAAATATTGAGAGAAATTTAAGAAATTTTAAAAGTTTGAAAAAGCGCCAGTCATCGCAGTTCACGTCAATCTTCATCCGCCTTGCGCAAAATTTGACGTCCGATTTCTTTCGTCTTCAGAGCTGTGAATATTTAAAAGTTTTCAACTAATCTTTCCAATTGACCCATGAACATTTTTTCTGGAAATGGGCCACTATCGGTATTTAATCCGTTCTCTGAAGAAGAGCCACGTCAGAATCGCTCACAAATCATTCATCGAGGTAACGCATTTTTAAATGCTAGAATATTTAATGCATTTGGTTTTTTTCAGACAATGAACGAGCTAATTTGGAAACGATTACGCGTCTTGTTATTAGAGCTCTTCTAGAAGATGCAATGAAAAGTTCTAATCGGTTAATCGAAGGAGATTCCCAAATGTTAAGCGATTTATTGATGATGCTTGAAAAAATCCTTTTTCACGGATTTAAATCATCGAGTAATTTATTTTTACTATATAATTCACTTCCAGCGACTGCTTTATGCTAGTTGTTTTATGGACATGTATGCCTTTCGGTATGGTATCGTCCAGACGAACCTGTTATTTCACATTGTAGGACCCATATCGATAATTTTTATTTTCAATGATATTTGAAATGACGTTCTTACCAAGTAATTAAAATGTTCATGTGAAAGTAACAAACCGAGCGATTACATGTGGCAAGACCATAGAAAAAAAGTGCAATTCAATCTCCATACAGCAGTCGTCGGATATCCATTTAAAATATATATGATAACTACAATGAAAAATATATCTACTTTTAGTGAAAAACTCAATTATTGCTCTTCGAACTCCGGATGCTGAGTTATGGTCTATGATAGTTCGATTAGGAAAGGCTCAAGATACATTGAAGGAATCCGTCGTTTGTATTGATCGATTAGACACATTGATCACGCCAATATCCAAAATTCGAGGTCTTTTAAGATTGACTATGATGCAGAAGAAGCTAAACGAACTCTTTGAAAGGATTGTGAATAGCTCATTTTTAAAGTAAATAACGAATTAAAGAAAATGTTCGAGATAATTAATTTTAGGGATTATTACGAGTCGTGGAGTTTTCTAAGACAAGAAAGAGCAATAATATTATGCGGAGCACTTGTTGGAATTCGAGTTATTGAATGCAATCTCGTATTGGACTATGGAAATCTTCAAGTAATTTCCATACAAAGAAATTTCTATTGATTCAACAGGAACAACCTCTTAGTGTGGACCTCTCGCTCTATGTCAAACTTCCAACCGTATCGGCTGAAGAGGAGATTGAAAACCCGAATGAAAATGACGAAAAGAAAAAATTTGATAAGGTTCAATAATAAAATTAGTTTATATATGACCATCAATGATTTAGGAGCGAAAATCTTTGTTGGACCAAAATAATTATTTGGAAGAACGAATTCGACAACTTGAGTAATTAAAATTTTATATTTTTCTTCGAAAATATAAATTTCAGAACGAATCTGGAGGATGAGCGGAGAAAACTGGAAAAAATGGTGGAATCGAAAAGCGAAATTTCTTTTGACATGAATAACGTATCTAAATTCTCCCTTTAATTTAGTCGAACTGTGATTTTTTTTAGATTGTAAGCTACAGACCATCAGATGAGCGAGAAGATCACGACGATGTAATGAAGGAGATGGAGGAGCTCAAGAAAGATAACGAAAATCTGTCGACAAGGGTTGTCGAGCTCGTTGATAGTTTGAAAATAGCTGAGGAACAAGTATCGGATAAGGCCAAAGTTTGTACTGATTTATATGAAAAATTGCGTCTTTCTGAAGAATGTATACGTAAATTAGAAGATGATTTCTTGAGACTGAAAAAACACTACGATGAGGTTTGAATATTCTTTATTCTCTTTTTAAATTTTTTAAATTCAGGACAAACAATTTTTTTGTGATAAAATTTCTAAACTGGAAACTCAGTTAAGCGAAGCCACAAAGAAATTAACGGAGAAACGTGAAGATGACGGTAAATAATGAATAGTAGTTTTCGAAATGATGTATTCTTTTTCAGATGTTCTTAGAAGTGAATTTCAAAAGAAATGCGATTTACACAACGACGCTATATCTATTCTTGAAACGAAGCAAAGATCATTGTCTGAAACTGAAGAACGTTTAAGAATTGTAGAACGTGAATTGAATGAGGCGAGAAGAGGTTTGCAGGAGATGCCGTTTTTAAAAGACGTGAGATTTATTACGATTTAGCAAATAGACTATTTTCTTCTAGGAAAATTTGGAGCTGAAACAGAATCTGGAAGCTGAAAAGCAACGAGCCGATGAATATGAAAAAGTTCTGAAAGAGTTAGGAGGAAGTTTAAGCGAGTAAGAATCTTTATGAACTATTTGGAAGTTCAATTTCCTTGTTTTAAGATCTAAATTGCGGATGGTTGAGCTGACTGAGGAATTACTTCCACTATCTGATGCTCAGTGGGCGAAAGATTCTGACGTGACGAATTGTACAAGCTGTTCGGAAGTTTTCACGATTACCAAAAGAAAACATCACTGCAGGTGAGTTTATCTCAAATCGTTGCATTATCCGGGAAAAAAGTCCACGCTGATTTGTACTATTTGTTTAGAAATTGCGGTTTGATATTCTGTGCATCATGCAGTGAAGCTCGTGTTAAACTTCCGTCCACTCCTAAACCTGCTCGAGTTTGCGACAATTGCTTCTCTGTTCTTCAAACAAGGCATTCTTCAAGAACTAATTGATATTTAAATTTCAACTGTTATATTATTATTATTATTATTTGTAAATATTGAAATTATAGATAACTTACCTGTGATTGCCGACGGTTTTTCGTTTAACCTACTGGTGGTGATTGTGATATTAAGCGAACAAGTCGTACTATTAATTCTTTCAATTTTTCTACTTTACAGTGTTTTCTACACTTTAAATATCTTATTTTTATTATTGTAAAATTAGTGTCAGATATTGTTACAGAATGTCATCGAGATTCTTGCGATCCGCGGTTTCCCGAGCCACCCAGCAACGTGGGATGTACGAAAATCCGTACATTAATCGATTCAAAGCAAGAAGTCAAGTTTCAGATGGATTCCATAAAAAGGTAGTACAATATTTCCTATAAATTAAAATATGTTTGCTCAGAGCACCGGATTGACTGGATTGTTCGTCAATGAGCACCCACATCGTGCTCTGACTGTTGTATACGGAAGAATCTTGCGTGCATTGGAGCAAATGCCTGCTGACGCTGCTTATAGAAAGTATACTGAGCAGGTAAGCATATAATCATTAATGTGTTTATTTTTCTGAAATAATTGATTAAAGTGTTTATGCAAAAAAAAAGGGATCGAAAGTTAGCGTGCTTGCATCGAGACCCGATTTTTTTCTCGAAGGAAAATTAAGCATAAATTAACTTGATTCGATTGAGAAAGTGTTGAAATTCGATTTGAAAACTTGGTTTCGATTCAAAAATCTTCGAAATCGATGGATTCATTTTCCATTTTCTATTACACTGTAAATTGGAAAAAAATGATCTGCCACAGATCCCCTTTTTATCCATTTTCCATCGTGCCAGTGTTTAAAATTGTATTAGATATAAATTCTCGAATTCTTCGAAATCGATTGATTTTCATTTACCAATGTCTCAAAACAAAAAATTTATTCTTAAAACTACTTTCGTAAAAACAAATATGAAATTGTTTTAATTGGGAAATTCGGCATCAGTTTCTTAAAATGTAGTTGGTAAAGTTCATTGAATCCTTTTTTCTTTTATATTTTCTTCCTTTTTTACTGAATGAATTTTTTGTGAATGCGCCCGAGGCCTGAGGAAAGTTCCGGTCGGACACGCGAAGAAAACATTCTCTGAGTATGAGATTATAAAAAAATCCAAACAAATTCTTGAAATAAAGATTCGTCTATTCAGATTGTGAAACAACGCCTTGCCTTGGTTCAGGCTGAGAATGACATTCAAGCTCTTGAGAAGAAAATTGGAATGGGACAAATTGAAGAAGTCATTGAGCAAGCGGAGCTCGAGCTCGAGACAACTCGCGCAATTCTCGAGTCGAAGGCTTGGGAGCCGCTTGTCGAAGGTGCACCAAAAAACCAATGGACGTGGCCCGTTTAAATTAGAAAAGGAAATTATAATCACATCTTTGTTTTTATTTTTCGATTAATAGACAGTGAAGGAATTTTCTTTCTTTTTATGTGTGGAAAATTTTCTATTCCGTTAGACAATAAACATCCATGCGATTCTTCACTATGCAAAGCTACAAAACCGGTTTCATGTTTAGGTATCTTATCAAAAAATGTTTGTCACGTGGAATGTTCCTAAAGTGTCGAAAATGATGAATTGGGTGAAGAATTTGCGAAACGAATGTTTGATTTTACAATTTATCACTTAATTACGATTTTCGTAACTTCATATATTTATTTAGTTTATTGGAATAGTTTCAGTTTGTTTTCCTCTATAGATTGCTACTTCTTATACAGTTTTTTATTGCGTGAATAGGTCTGAAATAGCCACAAATGTTTTGAAAATATTATCCGCAAAACTTCGCGCCGGATCGGGTTGATTCCAAATTTTTCAAATCCGATTAGTTTTTCCGATCCGATTGGTTCAATGCAAGTTGGAAAATGGATTAAACGTGCATGAAAAGGGATCTGTGGCAGATCAGTTTTTATCCACTTTTGATCCATGATTTTCAATTATTTTTATCTGTGTATCGTCCAATTTTTGTAAGTGAGTCATAGGGGCAAAACCAGGTCGATCAGCGACCGGAAGGAGGCCAATATATATTTAATCAACCCTCCGACCGGAAGCAATAATCCAAGGCCTTTATCAATGCCACCAGCTCACCCCCTATATAAGCGATGCTCGAACGAGGAGGTAGGAAGCCGGGAGACACCCTACGATATCCACTATGTTATTTTGCCCATTCTTGCTCATAAATAAACTCTTAGTTGTTTATTGTTTGCTTCTAATACAAGCCATGAACAAGGAATGGAGCCGGGAACCCTGACCACTCGGCCGAGGTCACGCAATTCCCGCACTGGTAGCAGCGAGTGGTTTGTCTCCCTAGTTTCCTTCCCTCCACCGGTACCATAGTTTAGTTTTATTTTTTTCGTTTTGTTTTGTTGTCGTCTGCGGATATTATGGGATAAAGTTGTTCTCCTGCGCAGGAACCGCGTCGATTTTGGGAAGTCGCGCTCGCAGAAATTTTGCTTTGTTCGCCGTTTTTGGAGTACATTTTTGAGTTGACTGGGCCCAGTCTGGTTGGGCGAGCGCGCACTGATGGAATGCCGTCAGTTTTCAAAGAGTCTATTTTTGGCATCATTTTGGAAAAGACTCTACTTGAAGACGTTGTCTTCACCTCATTTCACCACATCCTACGATCTAATATCGAAAAAAACCATTTCTCTTTAATCAATTCACGCCTCTTCTTTTTTTTAAAAACGCAAGCGCTGGCTATTTTTTTAATTAAAACCCAACCATTGATTAAAAATTTTTAATATATAGCCTCGTTCCCGCATCTACCGCTATCAGTGCCTCTTTCATTTTACAGATGGCTCTAGCAAAGAGTCTCTCTCTCAGCGATCTTTCCGAGATTCGCATTTCTTGTGCCAAACCATTTTCGCGTATGCAAGATTCCGACACCGTCAAGGGATCCCAATTGAAGACTCTTCAATCCGCGTGCGTGGCTGACTTCGAAGTCACACACGGAGTTATGAGATCTCTTGCCGAAAGAGCTGAAAACCGCATCAAAGGCTTTGCCGAGATTCCGAGAATCAATACGGTAACAGCCTCGATGCGGCCAAGCTCGCAAGTCCCAATTTTTGGTGGTTCACCAAACGATACCTTCTCCGCATTTTTGCGATCCTTCAATGATCATGCTAATACAGCAAAACCTCCTTTGGGAGACCTCGAAAAGAGGAATATTTTCTTGACTTATTTGACAGACGCAGCCAGAGACCGCGCAGAGGATTTCCTGGAGCAAGAGAGCGAAGCCTCGTTCGCAACCTTGGTTAACCATCTAAAGGTAAAATACGAAGATCCGGTAAGAGCAGAACTTTCGCGCCAGCAACTCCGAACAACGAACCAGCTTCCGGGCGAGTCTGTAGATGAGTTTGCAGCTAAGGTCAGAAAACTCGCAAATTCGTCGTACCTCGGATACTCGCGTGAATATATCAGGGCCAAAACCTTAGAAGCGTTTTTGGACGGGCTCAAATACGACATAAAATTCCACGTTAAGGCCAGTAACCCAAGAACCTTCGAGGACGCCCTCAATTCCGCAGTGAGGTACGAGATTTTGCTTCAAGAAGCAGCAAGGGCTAACACCATCCACCCACAAACCCTCCCCGTAGCACTCCTACAAGGGGTAGACAACCAAAACCGCGAACGAACGGCCCGAACCCTTCCCCCTCAACACCGTTTCAGAAACACCCCACGGCAAGTGAAATGCTATTTCTGCGGACGTCTCGGACATATGATGGCCAATTGCTTCAAGAAAAACCGTCAATTTGGCCGCATCGACCCAATTGATAATCACCAGATCAGAAACCGGAATCAGCCGATCTTTGGGAACCCAGGAAGACGGACAAACAACTATGAAGGTAACTCATCAGACGTACGTAATTTCCAGCCTGACACGACCGCTGACGATACAGTAAGAGAATTACGCGCTCAAGTCGAAGCGTTGACCATGCGCAACAACCAACTAACAAACAGCATGACGCCCAGAGTTAACACGGTAAGAGTCTCGAAATTACCTTTGTTCATTGCTCTCCTCGCCTGTCTGGCAAGTCCCACCACCGCGTTTAATGCTCTTTTATGTCTACCGAACTCTCCCGAATCGCTGATCAACTTTCCATCATCGTTCGATTGCAACTCAGTCAAACCCTCCCCATTCACCCAGACAAAGAAAGTTTCTCTCAGCGTTTACCGACCAAATTCCATTGCGTATGACTCTACCGCCACCCTCTGCAAAATCATTCAAACCACGTCCACTTTCTCCGTTAACCTTTTTGGATCCCGCTACATCGAAACAAATTCCAAGCAGGCAACCGTTTCGGCAGAAGAATGCAAACTAATGATGAATCATCAACGTTGCTCATTCGGTGACCTTCAGCCAAGAGACGGAATTTTTAAAACCAATAACGCCCACAGAATCGAATGGCCAAACTTTCTAATCGGCGCGCTATCCCCAGCAAAAACTGTTGTAACAAATAATTGCCTCATGCTCACAACCAGAATTGTAATGCGTTTTAATCAAAAATTTCCCGAGTCTCCCGCGGGATCCATGAGGGGTTGCGACTACACAACGGGCTTCTGCAACCAACGCCAGGGAGCGGCATTCATGTGGAAACCAAATCCAGAACAGAGTTGCCGTTTCATCAAACTGCGGACCATGTCCGGTCACCAATCAGATAACATTTGGTTGTCTGAAAACAAAGAATTCGCACTATCTTTTAACTCTTCAAATCCAATAATCGAAGACTGTGGCAAATCTCTCGTAGTCACAGATCAAGGCTTCGCTGTCCCAACCAGACGAATTGCCAAACGGGAAATAGTCCCACCCTCTATCACCAACCTAACAAACTTTGTCTCGTCAAACCAACTTTCGGCCCAGCTCTTGGCGGCAGAGAAGGATATTTTAGAATCCTCCTCTCTTTGGTTTGCTCACTATTTCTTATCATGGTGCGCGTCCTTCAACGCACTCGCAGCGTCTGCCGTTGCAGCAGCAGCAAGCCACCCCTCACTGTTCGCGCGCCAAATACTCAACCAATCTAACATTCAAGCAACCTTCCTCGGCAAAAACACATTAGCCATTAAAACTTGCTCAGTAATTCCACAATCATCCTTCTCCATCGTCCCTTTCACTAATATTTGTTACTCTCGACCATCAATCAAGATCAACTTGCCCAATAACTCCACGCTCAACACTTTCATAGACCCCATTACCCAAATCATCACCAATGAAGCCAACCAAGTGCCGTGCGCACTGATTTCCAACTTTGAATACATGTTCGAAAACCATCTAGTACGCATCAATCCCTTTTCAGGAACTATAGAAAATACACCAAGACACTTGCTTAAATCGATTTCCCCATTTAGCATTTCAACCTCCGACATCGTGCCATCTCAACCCACAATTTTCCACAACCTAGTCATCGGGTCTATAACGGAAACAATCTCCCCAGCCCACTATAACGAAATCTGGGACGCATTAGAGGGTTCAGCCGACAAATTAACAAAAATCGTAAGCCGCAACGCTTTCTCAACCAGCGGCAGCACAAAAGCCAGCGAGATTAGCGAAGTCATCAGCGCCTACGAGCAATGGCTTGACCTCGGTCACCGATTGTTCCAGGCCTGGACCGCTATAGTTTGCACATTTGTCACCCTTTACGCAATCTTCCTCGTCGTAGCCATATTCATCAAGCAACAGGCCGAAGCGCTGCCATTCAGCGTTTCCCACCGTTTTGGCAAAAAGACGGCTAATCCACCCTCCGAAGTCATCTTCGACTATTCGGACCTACTGCCGGCAACAACTACAATAGCTACCTTCCACTCTCCGCAAGCGTTTTTCACCGCGCAAATTCCCATTAAAGCGAACAACATTAATCTCCTAGCCCTGGTGGACACCGGCGCCAGTTTTACCATAGCAGGCTCCGAGATATGCGCACTCATCGGCATCCACACGCTCAACAAACCGCTGACTAACAACGCTATAGGCTTGGGAGGCAACGAAGTGAAAATTGCGGGAACCGCGCCAATCAGGTACAAAATCGGATCATTCGAAATTCAACACATCACACACTTCACGATCAATAAATGCACTCCACCGGGTCCGTTCTCCTACGACATTATATTAGGTAACGACTTACTAGCTAAACTCCCAATGTTCCAACTGGACTATAACAAAAACACTTTCGAGATGGGAAAAGACCAACTTCCACTAGGGAAATCTTACCAAGTGAACCCGGTCTTACCAACTTCAGAATTCCCAATACGAGTAGCAAAACACACACAAATCCCACCCCTTTCCGAGGCTTTTGTAACTTGTGTTTCCCCGCAAAATAAAAACGTCTTCGACGCCACTCTCATTTCTCAAGCCAAAAAGATCACAGAACTTGGGCTTCTCATCGCACCATCAGTCATATCAACTAACCACATTGCTCTCCTCGTTACTAACCCATCGAATCAAATGGTCACTCTGTACCCAGAGATGACCATCGCCACCGCGGCGATGGTATTCTCCGAAGGCACACCTGGAAAAGTGCTGACCTGCCACTACTCTTCAGGGGGTTCCCCTGACGTTTTGTCAATAGATAACGAAAATTTCAGAGATCCACAGTTTAGGATTGACCTGATCAGGGCGGAACTCTCAGATGTCGAGAGGGAAAAACTCCAGGAGCTATTAGACACCTACGACGACGTGTTTTCAAAAAACGCTTACGATCTGGGAAGCTCGAAAACGGAGCCGGTCCATGTATTCACGAATACGGAAATGCCAATCAAAAGCAGACCTTACCGAGTGCCGGTAAAATACCAAGCCGAGCTGGAAAAGCATATCAACGCCCTATTGGAATCCGGGCGCATCACAGAAAGCAACACGCCTTGGACCTCACCTTTAGTTCTCGTCAAGAAGAAAAACGGAAGCCTCCGAGTCTGTTTAGACTTCAGAAAATTGAACGAAGTAACGATCCCTGATAATTTCCCTTTACCGAGGATCGACGCAATCCTGGAAAAAGTAGGAGGGGCGGCTCTTTTCTCCTCCTTGGATATGGCAAACGGAAATTTGCAATTGCGTTTAGACCCGGTAAGCTCCTATAAATGCGGATTCATTACAGAAAACAAGGTTTACGCATACACACATCTTCCATTCGGCCTCAGATCAGCAGCTTCATACTTCCAAAGAGCCCTACGCACGGTACTGGGAGGACTTGAGTCCGAGGTACTGGTTTACATTGATGATATCCTAATCTTCAGCAAAAACTTCGAAGATCACACTCACTCTCTGAGAAAAGTCCTCGACAGATTTAGATCCTTTAATCTTAAGGTCTCTCCGCAGAAATGCGAATTTGCCAAAACATCCATAACCTTCTTAGGACATGAGATTTCAGCGAATAACTACTCCCCAAATAAAGCAAACGTGAAAGCAATAGAAAATTTCCCAATCCCAACGGACGCAAACTCAGTGAGGAGATTCGTTGGTATGTGCGGGTTTTTCAGAAAGTTCATACCTAATTTCGCAAACATTGCTGAACCCCTTACCAAGATGACCCGTAAGGACATTAAGTTCGCATGGGGCGAAGCGGAACAAGACGCTTTCGAAACACTACGATCTTGCCTAATGAACCGCCCCATCTTAGCATACCCCAACTACGACCTCGATTTCCACATCTTCACAGACGCCAGCGCGGTCGCACAAGGCGCCGCTCTCATGCAGATACAAGACGTCGACAGTAAGTCTTATTCAGCGATAGCTTACGCCAGCCGAACCCTTTCGGTGCCGGAAACAAGATGGGCGGCAGTGCAAGTAGAGATGGGGGCGGTAATTTTCGCGCTGCGACAATTCAGACCATACATATGTATGTCGAGAGTTATCCTACATTGCGATCACAAGCCACTAACCTTCTTACTACAAAAAAGCAAGACACATGACAATTTAGCACGATGGCTCATTGAACTACAAAGCTACAATGTAAAAATACAACATATCGAAGGTAAGAAAAATAAGGTCGCAGACTGTCTCTCACGAGCTCTCGATGACAATCGACCGGAAAACACAGAGGAGCTCAGGGACATCATCGATTTTCCAGTATGCATGAACATCGAAGCAGAAGACGGTAAGCACGAAATTCCAAGAAACCCGTGTATTTTCAGCCTATTGGCACAAGTCAAAACAAAAGAAAAGATACCCCTCGATCTCGCCGACGAGCAGGACAAGGACGACGACTTACGTTTAGCCAAAAAGTTTCTGAAAACCGGCAAACTAGAGCAAGCAACGACCGCCGAAAAGGAAGAAGAAATAATCTGGTTATGCACTAACCTATCACTTTCACCTACTAGCATACTCTATGCAAATCCCAGCGGAAATTTACCAAAACGGGCAGTCATCCCGAAACACTTAGTAGAGCTAATATTCGAAGCTTTTCACACTAGCAAGCTCTCAGGCGGACATTTCAATTGGCGCAAGACATTGAACAAAATAAAAAGAAAGTATTTTTGGGACGGAATGACAGCCGATGTGCAACGCAGAACCAAAACATGCAGCAGGTGTCAGGCAAGGAATAATCCCAACCCACCATTCAAGGAGAAGCTAGTCCCCTTCCGGAACACGCAGGTATTCGAGAGAGTAGGATTGGACCTTACGGGCCCCCTACGCACTACACCACGCGGAAACAAATACATCTTTAACATAATCTGCTGGTTCAGTAAGTACGTAATCTCCGTGCCATTACCGGACTCGAGATCGGACACAGTAGCACAGGCATTACTCACAGAATGTATCCTAAAGCACGGCGCGATGAGCGAAATCGTGACCGATAACGCCACAACTTTTACGTCGCAAGCTTTCCGAACCTTTTGTGAACTAATAGCAATTAAACACCACAGAGCGATCCCGTACCACTCAAAGGGCAACGGGGCTACGGAAAGAACCTTCCGAACCTTCCACAACATCATTTCAAAATACGTCAACACACAACACACAGATTGGGACCTACTGGTAGCAACGGCATGTTTTTGCTATAACACTACTACGCATGATACTACCAACGAAACCCCTTTCTTCCTAATGCACGGGCGTGATCCCATCTTCAGTATCGACCGCATACTTGATCCAGCTCTTCCGACCACGAATGAAACATCGACGGAATCATTCGCCAATTCTCTGGCGACGATCATACGGGAAGCCTGGACAAACGCGGCAGATCACGCTCTAAAAGCTCAAGAAAAGTTCCAGTCGTCCTATGACGCGTCAGCAAGGCCAAACCCGATCCAAATCGGCGACCGGGTAACAATGAAAGATTTTTCAGCCAAAGCAAACTTGTCAAGGAAACTAGTACTCCCGTGGAAAGGACAGTTCCGAGTGGTCGAAATCAACCACCCCAAGGCCGTAGTTTGCGACATATCAAGACCGGACAAACCGAACCGCACCGTTCATTTGAACCAGATAAAGAAGGTATACACCATTACAGGACCGGCGGCGACAACCTCATTGGAAGAAAACCCCGAAGCACCAGACATAAGCGATTCCACCGATCAAGCTGACAACGTCGACACCGACGAAAATTTAGCTAGGACGGAGTCCCCAAAACTAATTGATAACTCCGAAACACACGTTCCGGAGAACTCGGCGAACGCTGAATCCCTAAACCGGAGATACAACCTAAGGAAATCATTAAAACCACCATCAAGACTCTCTTTCTAACCTTCCATCCCACGCCCTTCCTTCCTGTCTTGTTTTCTTTTCACCACCGGTCTTCACGAACATCCCTATTTATCACCCACCATACACAAAAAAAAACCCATACACTTCAGATTCTCTTTCCTATCTTTCCTCAGTCTTTCCTTTTCTTTGGCTTCTTTTCTCGCCGACCTTTCGTAGTCTTTGTCTTTGCACCCTCACTCCAACCCAAAAGCTCATTGTCTTGGTTTCAGAATGGACGATCCCGACTCGGGAACAGAACCCATACTCGACGAACCAATGGAAACGTCTTGGCCAACAACCCCTTCCTCAGGCATACTACACTCCGACGACAACCCTCCGTTGGAAGCGGGTGTGGTAACCGATGAACCAGAGAACGAAACTTCAGCGTTCGAGGTTAGTTTCACCTTCCAACCGGAATCGTTGCCGTGCCCAACGAGCCCCGCCTTCTGCGGTGTCTCGGAAGGCAACGCGGTAACCCGGCCAGAACATGTGGAGGCTCTCCACACCGAATCATACTCAACGGCATCGAGCCAAACCATTAACAATGCACAAACTAACAATGAAAACCAACGAGGGGGTTCCCCTCAATTCAATTCGTTAAACCAAAGCGTCGACGCAGAATCACCAGAAGCAGAAAGCCGCAGCCATCCACGCAGTACCAAAACTGCCATAATCAAAGGCACAACAAAAATAATCCATCCGTGGGACGACGGGGCAACCCGTTCAAACGGTAAGTCTCCCAGCATTCAGGCGTACCACGTGGGCAACGCCGTCGACTTCCGAAACGAAACCCTGAAATGGAAGAGTGCGATCAACAACAGGATTCTTCCAAAACTCGTTGACGCCTCCCCAGCGGACGCGATCGCTGACCGAAACAAAATTGCAGCAATCACCCAACCCTTCGCCTTCTACAGAATTCTGGACAACCCAGGAGGGTACCTGCGAGCCACACCAGTCCATCACGAAACATGAGCACCTGACCGCCTCGACCTAGCGCTGGTAAAAATTGACCATTTCAGTGTAAACATGGCTCAACCCGGCATCACTCCGAGAAGCACGCTTCTCATGGGCGACGTCATAATTGCCCTAAGACTCAGCCGGACAGAAGCATACGACGGAATTGCAATTCCGGCGGTTACGCTGGACGAGGTAAGCGGAGAAAACTTCCAGATGATATGGAACGTGGAAGAATTCCTCCTAGTCCCCAGGAAAATAAAAGAAAACGTCCTGGCGACACCAATTCGGATTCCAGCATCCAAAGGTAAAGCAATTCTAGCGTGCACAGGATTGTCAACCCCGGTACGTGCCCAACCAAAACTACTTCCGCCAAGAACGAGAATAGACCACCTCCTTCTAACGACAATTTTCATCCCACTCGAGCCGAGCGGAATCTTCACCAACCCGACAGGTAAAATAAGAGGAGCCGTCTATGCAGCTAAAACACTCACAACATTCCCATCGTCGGAACCACAGTTGGTAAAATCCCAACCCCCTCCTAAACATACCTTAGATGAATTCAACCGCGCAATGACGACATTCCGAAACTCCACCTGCCGCAACTTCAGAGACTGCCAAGCAGCTCTACAACGCATCATGGCGTGGGCTGCGTCAGCAGCCACTTCGGTGCAAAACAGCGACATTGACAAGGTGAGCTACTCTACTAAAATCGACTCCGTTTCCAGAGCAATGGGAAAAGAACTCCTCGTGACATTCCTCATCAAGAAAGCAAACGGACCACCACCTTCAGACGGTTGGAGCTCGGGAACGAAGTTTCGACTACTCACCGAAGATCAAGCATGGACAGGCGAAGTACTCGGATCGGAATTACAGGGAGCGGCACTCAGCATAACCGCGCGTCTAAACGAATCATCCGCAAACATCGACAATATGCGTTCTCAGCTCGAGAACCGCGAAATTATGGTAACCACAGTAAATCCCCCTTCAGATATGGTACAAACAGTACTCTGCTCGGATACCATAATGAAGCTCGACTCCAACTCGAATGCGGCAAGATTGCTGAAGGCTCTATTCGGCGGAGAAAGAATCACCACAATCATTCCACCATCTTCGATTGGATTCACTACCAAGATCGGAGGCAAAGAAACAAAGTTGATGGACGACCAAAACCAATTCATCAGTGCCATATCCGAGGGAAATCCAGTGATGGCGGTCAGCAGCCCTTTTGGTTGCGGCAAAACACTGACTATGGCAGTGGCAGCGGCAGAATGCGCGAAAAAGGATGACAAATTGCACCTGTCCGTCGGAATCACGAACGCATCTGTTGTCAACCTGGTAAAAGCAGCTAGAACCGTGGAATCGGACGCGCCAATCCTGAGGTTAGTGTCCAGGGAAAACTATACCACCATGCGGGCTGAACACAAAACAGCGTTCGACGCTCCTCGGCTGGTGGACAAACTATTTCTAGAAAGAGCTCGAGAACATGACGCCGAATTGGCTTTGTCAGACGTCGAAATCGCCAACAATAACGAACTGGCCATTGTGATTTACCATTGTCGCCGTCACCAATTGCTGTCGAGCGAAGAGATCAAATCCGCCCCCGGAAAAGCGGCGTGGAAACAATCGGTAAGAAATCTGGCAAGGGAGTCCGTTCAGATCTTCATAAACCTTTACAAGCCAAGAAGGCTGATCGCCACCGCAACTTCCGCGCTATCCTTGTTAACCACTACATGGAAAAGCTTAGGTGAGATCGCCACTCTACAGATCGACGAAGCAAGTCAGTTACCACTGACAACCTTAGTAGCTCTCTCAGCCAGTTTCCCAAACGCAAGGATGGCACTGGTAGGTGATTTTCGCCAATTACCACCTTTCAGTCATTCTCGAAGCACACCAATGATCCGATCCACCGCGGTTTCCGAACCGCTACGAGCTCTGGTCGAGAAACGATTGGTACCGACCGTCGAACTCCGCCACGTATGGAGAACTCACCCGACCATCACAACCGCGTTGAGTGATCTATTCTACGGCAATTCCCTCATTACCAAGGTAGAGGCTAGGGAGCGGTCAAACTTTATGACACGTACCCCGTGGTGGCCGAACAAAGAGCATCCAATCCTGTTCGTGCACCACACACACAGCCACACCTTGGCTGGTAAGTCACTCACCAACACCGGCGAATTAAAAATAGTAAAAAGGTTAACTAAACTAATCGGCGAGAATATTCCAGAAAGAGATGTCGGAGTCGTGGCATTCTACCGAGCTCAAGCAGACCGAATTGCCAACGCGCTGAACGAAGTTTCCGTCACAACCGGCACAGTTGACGCTTTCCAAGGCCAAGAACGAGAAGTCATGATCGTATGCCTGACCAGGACCCACGGAGACCCCACCGACTTCTTGCTCGACGAACGAAGAATAAATGTGGCGATGTCCCGGGCGAAACAGTGCGTCATTCTAGTCGGCAACGCAAACATCATTGGAGAAGCCGGATACTGGAGCGAAATATTCCGTACATGCCGATACGCACAAACGATTCTCACCGAGTCTCAACTTCCAGAAACGCAATAATCACGTTGGTTCCCCTTTACTTATGTATATTAAATTCACATCGCACACATTAAACCATTTTCTCTACATTCACCGCCACATTTACCCTATCACAATTTTGATTACTTTTTAAACCACCCGGCGTTTTAAACAATACCTCGTTTTTAATATTGGTTTTAATCCCCTCAATCAACCTTTCCCCAAAACAAAATTTTTTTTCCATCATCATATCTTCATATTATCTGCTCTCTCCATATCATTCACGTTATTTAATTGCATTTTGTTACACTTTGCCTTTATATTTCATATCATATCTTTCATTTCACATCATATTAATTTTGTTTAATTTACTTGTAAACGTTTCCCTTCCCCTTCCTCCGTTCTCTAAAAGCAAAAATCGCTGCCCTCTTCAACGATCAGAGACGATCTTGAAGAAAAGGGGATAGGTGTAAGTGAGTCATAGGGGCAAAACCAGGTCGATCAGCGACCGGAAGGAGGCCAATATATATTTAATCAACCCTCCGACCGGAAGCAATAATCCAAGGCCTTTATCAATGCCACCAGCTCACCCCTTATATAAGCGATGCTCGAACGAGGAGGTAGGAAGCCGGGAGACACCCTACGATATCCACTATGTTATTTTGCCCATTCTTGCTCATAAATAAACTCTTAGTTGTTTATTGTTTGCTTCTAATACAAGCCATGAACAAGGAATGGAGCCGGGAACCCTGACCACTCGGCCGAGGTCACGCGATTCCCGCACTTTTTGAAACATTTCATCAACTTTTAAGATTTGGACCAAAAAAGAAAATTGAAGAAAAAATGTATCAAAAGTGGATTTAAAAACTTATCTGTAGTAGATTTCCCGTTCATCCATTTTCCAACGGGCCTTGAAAACTATTAAAAATACCTAAAAAAAAACGCGGGACGTTTGCAGATTGCGCAAAGAACTACGTTTGTAATTTTTTTCTTCCAAAATCTGCATAGTACTGTAAATATATTTTTTGATACATAACTTTAATTAATTTCGTTTTTTGTTGGTTTTATTGCATACAAGCCAGGGCCGTGCGGCAATCGGCAAAATATCCGAAAATGGTTGTTTTTGAAGATACGGTATGTAGAGTACGCAAATAGTGTTGCACACAAAATTCGAATTTTGCTTTCTTGATTTTTGGTCGATGTTTGAGATGATGACTTTTTATTAAATGCTTTTTTATTTTGTTTTTCATTTTAATTACGGTTTATTATCCCCCTTTCGATCTTGCAATTTATTTAAATTGTTACAAAAAAATTGTTCTATTTTTTGCTACCGTTTCTCCGAAAGCGAAAAACACTATTTCTGATTTTGCCAAGTTACACTCATTAGGGGACCATTGTGTTTTTTTTGCAAAAAACATTTTTTTGGATCTTATATGAGAAAACTTATTGAAGGCTGGGTTTTGTCTCTATAGAAACTCGGAATTGTTCATTCATTCTCTTTTTTCTCTTTAAACTCAAAACGGCAAAGATTTATGAAAAGTGTCCTTCAGTGTGTGAAAAACATATTTATTTTTTCAAATTAGCGAAAATAATTTTTTTGGACATTTATAAGAATATTGGTTTTCTGAGCTAATTGCGGACTTGTAAAAAGAAAGATTAAAAGTATATAAAGGAAACGCAAATCTCTTGAGGACGGACAAATTTAAATGGCATAGGCATATGATTGAAGTTCTCGCAAAACGGTCTTATAATCATTTTCGTTTTGATCTAATATGAATTGCCTATTTCAAAGGCTCATGGAAAATGTATTCGATTCGGGCTATGACAAAAACTTCACGCGTTCGATCATTACAATTTCTCAAATTTCTCAAATATTCTGCCATTCCAAAAACGAAATTCGAATGCTTCACAATTTGGTCGATAAAATCATAAAAAGATGGTAAACGATTTTCTAGTGCTCTTTGTGGCTGTAAAAATGTCTACTTTGCCTTTTCCAATTCTGCCATCTCTACACTCTCTCACGCATATCAAGACTCGTCATCTGTGTCTCTTCGTCTCTAGTGCATCTTTTTTCACAGCATTGCGAGTCCGGTCTATTCCCGATCATCGGCGTGTTTCGTCGACCCCCAGCCCAGGTTCACTGCGAAATTGAAACATTTTGCTTCGAGTCTCTGTTGTAACAACATAGCTACAAAAAATCTTACGTCTAGTCTCGCTTTTTTTCTCATACCGCCTCTCGTACCGTTTTTCTTTTCGTTTGCACTTCCTACATTTTAGCAAATACTCGACCTTTTTCTCTTTTATTTAGTGTTCTGAATAGATTTATTGTCAATATTTTACAGTTGTTACATATAGTAAATGTCACGTGGGACATTTTTCCATTTTTGAGTCATATTTCCAATATCGAAAATATTTTATTAGATTAACATAAAGTTCAATTTAACATCAAATTGTGATATGATGATTTTATCAATTCGATGAATGCAGTTCTTACGTGCATATAAGTTTCTGATATATTGACATTTCCCTCGAAAATGGCATAACAATTTTTTTCTTTATTCTCTTTTTTTTCACTTTGCTTAAGTCTTTATTCCCTAATTTTTTATTACTTTTCTATCAGATCTGCTTATATTTTGAACCAATCTCGAGTTCATTTAGATCAATATTTGCTGTAAGAGAATCCACAATGTGACGTGAGAAATGACTGTTTAATTGTAAAATTTCTCACGATTTATGACTATTCTTATTTTGTTTTTCCCCATCTCCAAAACCCTAAAAAGTATCTCAGCACATATATTTTGGCTTCCGATAAATTCGTATTAATCGCATATGTGTTCTTTTTCTTGTGCGATCGACCCATATCGGTCACGCTCCAATACGATGAGGTTTTACTCATCTCGTTTGATTGTTTTGTTTAGACAGTTGTTCTTATTTTGCGATATACTTCAAAATCATATTTTTATTTTACCCAACTCAGGGTACTCGTTTTTCAATGTAATTATAATTAAAAAAAATAAAACATAAGTCTATTGATTAACGAAGCATAGTGACCAGCCCATTTATCTTTTGTCTTGTTTACCGCTTTTTTGTGAAAAATGTGACCGACCTAAAATAGTCACGTCCAATGTTGTTTCCAGTTTTTCGACCCGATAACATAAGGTCACTGTTGGACGGGTTCTTTGAAAATCGGTAATTATTGAAAATCGATGTGTCTCGAGGCATCAGAAATCGACTATCCGACATTTTACGTACGTTTTGATCTAAAAGAAAGCTAATACAATCACATGGGTCTAGAATTGTACAGTCGTTTCTCGAATTAAAAATGAAGTTTTTCTCGTCAATTATAATCCTAATTAAACAATCAATCGATTAGGTTGACGAACACACTTATACAGCCGCAAGTTAATAATATTGCCACCAGATTGTTGATGTCCTTGTGAAAATTGTAGAAAATAGAGCATCATTGTTTGAAGAGACGACCTCTATTTCCTGATAACAGCAACAATTTGCACGTGATGATTTCTAATTGCATTATTCGAATTGTTGTGTTGCGAGAGAAGATGCGCGCAATTCTCTGCAAGAAGTGTCAACTTTTGACCGACGATTACCGAATCGCCATCATCTTCCTTCTATTCCTTCTATTTTCACGCGTTTTTGTTGCATCACACCTATCACTGATGACTTTCGTTATTCATGTTTGATTTCAACAAAGTCTGACCGACGGTTGTCCTCTGAACCCACTACCGTATCGATGTACTTTGTGATTCCCGAATTTAGTTTGCAATTGAACACATTTCTGAGTGTCAACTAAATGCAAAAAAGCGAAGAAAAAAAAAGGTATATCTTTTCAATCACATGAAATTCCATATCAATATTGGCCATAATATACTGTAGTTTGAACATATTCTTATACGTTCTCCGAATTTACCCGAAGGTCTTATTTCGAAAGTAGATCAAATGGATTAAAGTTTGACTGGTTTTTAAAATTTTTAATTTTCAAAAAAAAAATCGTAAATAAAATACACATTTTGGTCAAAAGACCAAATTTATTTCATTTACTTGTTCCGATGACAACACTCCCAACCCAATTAAACTTTTGAATTTGCAGCTACTCAGATTTGTCGCCCATTTTACATGATCAAACGAAATGGATGTTTATTTATAACATTAGCGAGAGCATCCTTTTTGCTCATAGTTTCGAGATATCATGATGCATGATTCTAATTTTGATTTTCTAATTATTCCCAATTAAATTTCGTGGCATCATTGGTGCTAAAATGTTCGTCTTTCTTGTTGAAGAACGAAAAATCCGAAGTAAATAAAAATAAAGCGCCCCTTGAAAGATAACTTTTGAAAAGTTTTTTTTCAATGTGCTTTTTGATATCGCGATCTTCTGATTCCAATATTTCCGTTTTGATTGAAGGGTCTTTGGCGATTTTTACACTTTAAACCATTGACGGAATCCCTTTTTTAATTCAACATTTTTAATTAAAAATTGTGGTTCCCGACGTCTGCGAGAGACTTTCAAAAATTCGCACCAACATCATTCGTGTTTCTGTATCCCCATTCTGTCTTGTGATCAACGACGATGGTCGAAGTCTATTTCTCGTTTTGTTTTTAATCCTATTCTGCGTCGACTGTGATGACCGAAAAGGTATACTGTAGTTATCGATTATAATAGTATTATTGCCCTTTAGTTTAGTAAACAGAAATGTGAAAACAGGAATACAGTAATTAAAAGGACATTCGATTAAAAAATAAATTAAGTTAAGATTCAAAAAACAATCCGAATTAACCTCATTTTCAAGTGGGCTTTAGCCAACACACGCATCAAAAAATTTTTTTCGAATGCATTTTCTAAAATTGGCCATTACGTTTCAAATTTTCTGTGATTTCAAATATCATTTTTTGAATTGTTAAATATTTGAAACGAGGAAGTATCTCATATTCGGATCATATAAAAATTGAAAAGAATTTTTAAAAGTATTTGTTTTATGTTAATTGGACTTTGCCATTTCTCTAAAAGAAATAAGCAGGCTCTATAATGGCGGGATGACGTTTTGTTTAATATTCATAAATTTCGTTCAAATGTACTATTTTCCATTTCTCGAGATGCTCATTATAGTCCCTACGTGAATTCGAATTCAATAAAATATCAATCACTAAATAAGAAAATTTTTGTTAATCTTTAGATATTATATATATTTATATTGAATTCAATCAAAATAATCATAATGTTTTGGATATGCGTCACAATATATGTCTAATATATAAAAAGTTGGGGTTCTAATAGTATGCACCTGCACAATATCTTGAATATGTTGGATTAGTGCTGCTTTTGCCACCCAATATCTCTCCTGTCGCATTTTTTCACATGCTTGCCTACGAAAAAATATATTAAAATCATATTTGGACGGCTTTCAGACATTGATTGATTCTCAAGTGGTGTCGCAACTCAATTCAATTCAATTTTGTGTGCAAATGACTGAGCCAACGGCGTTTTACGAGTGAGTTTTTTTTTCAACATTTTATTTTGTTTCAATACAGTTTGACGGGTTGATCTATGTTCTAGTAGGTTCGAGACAATTTTTAGAGACGAAATGTTGATCATTTGATACAATATTTCTTGTGTTTGCAGCACTGTGTACAGGGTGTCATTTAAGTTCCCGCACAACTTTGTAGACGTACATTTCTGAAACTAAAAGTCCAAATCAAACGAGACTCGAAATATTTTTTATCTATAGTATAACAAATATTTATCTATTAACTCTTTTTGATTCGGCCTCTTTTCGCAGCTATGACTTCACGGAGACGCTTCGGGTAGAATTCGACTGTGGTACGCAGGTATTCGATGGAAAGATTGTCCCATTCCGCCAGTAATGTCTTCTTCAGAGCCTCTACACTTGAGTTGGGTTTTGCGTTGACCTTCTCCTGCAAGACCCCATCACGGAAAAGTCAAGCGGGTTCAGGTCTGGGGAGCAATCAGGCCATTCGGATGACTTGATAAAGTCGGGAAAATGGGTCTGGCACCACTCCTGAGTAGTTTTGGCAGTGTATGCGGGTGCTCCGTCCTGTTGAAAGACCCATTTCTGCCCACCGAAATGCGTTTGGGTCCAGGGCATCACATGCTTCTCCAAAATGTCCCGAACGTAGACTTCTTTGTTCATTTTCACCATCTGATCCACGAAAACCAGGTAGCACTTCCCGGTTGAGCAGATGGCACCAAAAGCCATCACACTGGCAGGATGTGAGGCTGGATGATATGTTCTTCCTTTCTCAGAAGCTTGCTGGGATGTTTGGCCAAGTACTCAATGGTTTTGTGAGTTGAATGCCGCCTCCACACTGAACAGCTTCTCGTCGGAGAAGACAGTGACGAGGTGTTCTCCGTTCTACGAAGCACACCGACCCGTTGAATGATGTCTCTCGGGCTCACATTTTGCTTATGAAGTTCGATAATGGAAGCGCGATGGATGTTAGCCTTCGCCATTTCTCGGAAACACATCCGAATGAGGTGAAACTTGGGAAATAAGTAAAATACACCTTATTTAACAAAAATAAATTGTATTGGTGCACAAAAAGTGCGACAGTCAATCTCTTCATGGCGTCAAACTTTTGTGCGGGAACTTAAATGACACCCTGTAAATAGAAACTTTTCAATTGAAAAACGAACTAAAAAGATTGTTGTTCAATACACATAGAAACACTTCTTTGAAACCGGAAATTGCTAAGCGTCAGTGTAAGAGATTAGGTCAAGCTTTCAAAGCAGATATTAAGTGAATGATAATGCTCTTCCATGAATTTAATTGAGAAGAAAAAAAATCGCTTGAACATGCCTATTACTGTTCGTAAATAGCTGTGGGTATTCGTAGAATTACCAGAACTCGTGTTTATAATTTTTTTCTTTGTGAAGTCGATTTCAAACGAATGATGGAAATTTTTATAATTTAAATTGTCTATATTCTTTTTCCGAAACAGCAGCTACCAGAGTCGGTCCCTGTGATACTCAGTGCTTTTTCGATATTCGAATTTCACGAAATCTCCAGGAAAATTTGGAGTAAACTCAATTCAATCGCAAAATTAAAATAAATAAAACAATCGATTAAATGTTCGTAATGCGGAAATTAATTGGGTCTGGTGGCGATTGATTCTGGTAAACGCTTTTTCCCGGAAACAGTTTATACTTTATTTTTTTAAAAGTCTAATTACTCAGCAGGTGTAAGCTCAAAGCTCTGCAATTGAAACTTGTAATGGTTTTCACTTAAATGGGTAGATGTAACCGATAAAATCATTAAACTAAACTATTTAAGAAATCGAAACAACTAAAAAAAGAAACAGAAATTCTCAGATTTTTACGGAAAAATCGCATTGTAAACAACATGTGTATTTTCTACAGTCCGCAATGACATTTTCAGCTTCATTTCAATATTTAACCTATTCTTTTTGTGTCATTCATTGGTTAACAGACCTGAGTATGTATTTGAGGCTTCAAAAATCTGAAATTGAAGCAGGAATTTCCATGAATGAGATCATGTTTACACCTAATGTACTTTATTCGACGACGTGAAATTTTCACGTCTTCGAACATTTTGGATGAAAATATGTTTCAATGATATCTTGATGATTTTTTAGATACCCCTCCTTTAAAACCCATTTTTGAAAACACGCAAACCATTTTCTGTGGTCTTTCTTTTTCCAATTAAAGAACGAAATGTACTAATCATTTTAAGCTAGAACCTCTATCAGCCCATAGTTAATATTCGAAGAAGATTAGATCATCACCGTCGTAAGCTTTTAGCAAAAAAGGTTCATCTGATTGGCTTGTAAATTCGCAAAGTGTTCATTTTTTGTACCATAGTTTTGTTCAAATCGAGTTTCTCCAAATTTTCAACAGTTCAAATATTGGCCGCCCAGTGTCACGTGTGCGCAATAATCTTCAATTTTGGCCACTGTCGTCGATTGTAGCGATGTCCGACGAATCGATAGAATTGAGAGTTTGATCTTTTGGCGACAGTGCCGAGGCGAGAACTGCCTGGTTTTGGATCGGGTTGTGTCTCTCGTCAGTCGACTTTCTCAATATTGCCGCGCTCTTTTCGATCGTCCATCTCTCTCAACCTCTCAATTGTTATTTTTTGCTGTTGCTGCTGAGGGTGATTATCATCATCCGACATGTCGGTCGTTTTGTTTCTATTTTCACTTTTTCATGCCTTTCATCGTTTAATTGAAAGAAACTTGGCGATTTTGTCCCCATATTTTCTGGATTCTTTATCAATTTAAAATTTTAAAAAGAAAAAACACACACACAAACATAATAATAATAATGGGTATAAATTTTTCTAAAGTTAAAAGAATTTTGTTGAGATCGTTGCGTGGTTTGATCTTACCGTCCTAGTAAAGTAGCCATTTGATCACGAGGTGTTGCAGAAGTTCATCATTTCTTCGCAAAATTTATCTATTTCTATCAGGAGACGGGAGATGGGGGATGCAACCAAAATGTTTAGTTTAATTTAGTTCAATTTTTACGGACTTGATTTGTGATGATTTCTGTTTGTTTTATGATAAATAATTCATTCTTTGACTTATGTTTCCGTTTTGAATTAGAAAAATAGATATAGACGATGCAGTTGAGCTCAAAAGATGGTGTTGAGAAACTGGAGGAATGAATTTTTCTTTGAAAATATTGCTTTGGTATAGCGGACCAATAATTCGATTTTAGTTTTGGCAGTGTACTCTAGGATGTCTTATTTATGTCTAGCCAGTGCAAGAATTGCTTTTAAACGGAGATGGGTTAGGTTGTGTTTGACATTTTTGAACGTTTGCTGCGAACGATTACAAGTGGAACACATGCGTACCTGTTGAGAGACAACAGTATCATGAAATGTTTCTATGATCTTTTGATTCCAGCTAAAGACGTGAAGAACGCGATAATCTTGTGCGTTGGCAGATTTCCGGATTATTACGATGATCGATGTTTTCCGCGTCCTTTTTTTTCATTTTGTTCAAATTTCACGACCTTAAAAAATTTTCCGATTTATTGACTGTTGACACATAGTAGATCACAGAACACGTTTTCTTTGATTCCCACGCTCTTTTAAAATGTTTGAAATGTCACATTTTGTGGTAAGTCGGCAATGTTAAATAGAGTAACAATAAGTAGCATTTATTAAAGTCGCGTGATATTGTTTGATTTTAAGAAAACCTATACTGATATTGTCGTCGACGACCGAATGTGAAAAGCTTGAATTACGCGGGCTGCCAGTTATTTGGTTCCGTCAAATACCCTGTCATTTGACACTTCTGAAAGTAACCAAAGTACTTAAAACGCTTAAAAATTGGGTTCTTTCTCATTATGATGGTTAAGTTATTCAAAACTCGCTGCTAAGAGTTGTTCCTTACGAGACCAAAAAATATGCATTCTAGGAATCCATATTAACAGACGCGTCTTAATCTCATGGATAATTTGATTATTATTTTATGTTCGAGCTCCAAACTGCATGGGGCTTTGATTAATGGAAATGACTCAAACATTCCGAGTACTTGGAATAGAACAACTCATTTTGCAGCGATACGTCGCCGGTCAAAAAACGACCTCGCCTCTCACCAACATTCCCGAACATGCCACACGAGCGTAATAAGCACCGAATCAACGAGCTTTTCACAGGAGTGATGCATTTTGCAGATCGCCGATCGATGTGTGAACACGATGCGACCACGACCGCGTGCACTTCGACGCTGAAAGGAGTCGTATCGGCAGCGGGTGCCGCGCAAATGTCAAGCAGTGACGTTGGAAGCGCAACAACAGTGGGTGGAACAACTGCGGCTGGGCGAGTCATCGTACCGCCGGTGACGGCCCCATCGCAGCATCATGTCATCACACCGCAATCCATAGAATTTATTCATCCAAAGTCGGAGGAGTGTATGATCGAAATCTCAAATTCGAACTCTGGGCTACAAGCAGGTGAGTAGGTGCTCGAAAGTGTCTAATTGGGATGGATAATGGACGTCTTAGTTTGTAGTCTACGGTTTTATTGCAATCACATTAACGATGTCATCATGTGATAAACGAAGTTATGAGTTGTCTTGATGATAAACTTTGGTACGTGGATTGAGTAGGCTCGCTCACATGTTGTCAGATTCTGCGAACAATTTAGCTGAATGTATATAGATTTAGAATAATACAAATTGCGTTGTCTTCATCAACTGATATATCATTTGAACTTTTCTCATGAGTTGTCGGGTTTCATTTACAACGAGAGACGAATGAGAAACTGCTTATTTTTGCACTTTAAAATTTTGGGATTAATTTGGGTGAGTTTTTGAAACGATTTAGAAATAAATAATGCAATTTCTTCTATAAAATATTTGTCAATTGAAGTCTTTTTTATCCAAAGAATCGCAATTTTCATTCGTGTGAGAAAAAAGACAATATAAAACGTGCTCTATTTTAAAAACCAACTTTTTGCGATGTTATCGGTGATTTTTTTATTTTTCACAAAAAAACGAATTAAAACATCTAACGCATCATTTTGTGATCTTTGATATCCCATCCAATAGTCTTTTTCTCGAGAACAATATGTATTTTTCTCAGTGTGTGTCTTTTCGGAGACCTGTGTGCGGATTGCTGCTTGTTTCCGAATATTATCGGGTCGATCTTTGTCCCTAACATCAGCATAGAGTTGGCAGCAGAATCAAAAGACCAACGTAACAATACAGACTGTTGGAATTTCCCGTCGCAACATTATTTCTTACACCACGCAACGAGAGAGTATTCCCCGGAGAGCGTGATGAGGGTGTAAACAGTTGGTGAAATACTGGGCGATTTGGCGGAGACGTTGACAAAAACCGGGCGGAATTATTCTCATTGATACTGTAGGTTAGCGGGACAGACAGAAAAGGTGCGCAAAAGTCACTAGGATAATTTTTATTGGTCGTCGCCCATCTATTTTTGGTGTTAGACATACTAGATACAATATGTTCACTCCCACCCATCCATATCATCGTCATTTCGTCGATCAGAAGGCGAGTCCCAGTAAAGTTAGTAATCATGATCAAGGTCCCGATGAATCTTCTGTGTAGCTAGTTTTATCAATCTACATATTTTCAGGAATGAAATGTCGAGTTTGTGGTGATGCACGCGCTGGGCGACACTACGGCACAATTGCCTGTAATGGATGTAAAGGATTCTTCAGAAGAAGGTACGTTTCCTCTTTTCTTCGAATCTCAAAACACGAAATTTGATGATGGCTCAATATTTTTTTTGGTTTGTAGGTGAAAACAACTGCAACAAAAAATGTATTTACCTATGTAAAAAAAATTATATTCGAGCTTTTTATGCAATAAAAATATAAAATTACACATATTTACAATGCGGACTTTAAAAAATGGATGTTCCTTTTTTAGAACAACTAATTTTACAGTTGCTCTAAAAAAAACACATTTCATGAATAAGTCCACGTGTGTGATGTGAATAGAGATGTTAAACACAAACTTGAAAAAAACCTGTAAAACACTCAAAACACTGAAGATTATAAAAAAATTAATTTAGACCGTTTCGCAAAATTTTAATAATAAACAATGCCCACCCCCTCATAAATTTGTCCATTCTGATTTTGAAAGAAATATGAACATAAAGTGAAGAAATTAGTAGGGTTTGTGGTAAGAATAATTGTTCTACCCATTTTATGCCAGTTTTTCTAATTTTTTAGGAGTTTTCTGCCCTACCATGATATCTAAACGTGATGATATTAAATGCATATATCCTGGAGAAACCCCCCCCACTTATGAACCCACTTATGCTGTGATACAGCTCCCTAAATTCTTAAATTCGTTTATGCGTAGCATAATCATGTGAACGACCGTGAACCACAACGCGTCTGATGACGCACGAAGTGGCATTTTTCATCAACAGACAATACTTTTCGAATTTGCACATTGTTAGCACTCTCAAATATTTTTTCGGCAGAATTTATTTGAAGACATATACTGTAGTGTAAACGGCGACCGGTTTTTGCTGGTGACCTACCTCTTCTGTTGCAAAGATCTATATTTCGTTGAGCACCCATCTACAGTAATCTACATATTATGCGGCACTTGACAAAGTGCTAAAGTTCATGGCGACGTTCGAAAATCTCCAAATTTGAATACATTATTTTAAATTTAATTTTAAAACTGGGAAATGGAGAACCTAAAATCTCGTTTTGTTTTTATCCTTCAAATCATTACACACTACATGCATGAAAATTAGTTGTGTTTTTAAAAAATGCCTACCTGCGATAATTATTAAAACAAAAAAAACGAGCGCCCTGCGCCGATGTATGGTGAGTTAGCTTTGCTGGTTATCCAGATTACGGTACCCAAATTCCAATTGTTTAAATTGAAAGTTGAATTATCGTCAAGAAAAATTTGGTCACGGTTATTTAAGGCCCTCATTTTTTGCGATGGTAATACCAAACGTTATTTCGTTTTTACAGTATCTGGGAGCAGCGCGACTATGTGTGCCGATTTGGCGGTAAATGTCTCATAGTTCAAGAATACCGTAATCGTTGCCGAGCATGTCGCCTTAAGAAGTGTTTTGCCGTTGGAATGGACGCGAGAGCAGTGCAGTCGGAGCGGGACAAACATAAAAAGTTACCCAAAGACGGTTCTCCTAACGACGATTCGCTCTCGCCAGCGTCTACACTCTGTTCAACGGTACGTTTCAACCATTCGTGCCGTAAACCTGAGGTGGATTCATTCCGAAGATACGCATACTTAAGCAAATAAGTCATCTACATGTTAATAATATTGTCGAGGTCGCACGCGAACGAGTTGTCTTGGCTCAACAACGAAAGTGGATTTTCGTCGAAAATATATAGATGAGTAGTTAAGACCAAAGTATTGAAGAAAGTATAGGGGTTTAGAAATAAGAGGAATGAACAAAAATAAAACATTTATCAATTAGAATATACATATTATTCTTCCCCCTCCCCTCCCGATATTTCTCGGGGGCGGTAATTCAAAATTCGATTTAAACAATGGGAATTCGGGTACCGTAATATGAGTAATCCACGAATCAAACAAATCTGCTATCATTTTTTTGCGATTGCAATTCACCACGAAAATGCTTGCCGAAGGAAACTTTCTAATGTCGAATTATAGTTTCAGCCTGCACTTGCCGCAATTCCCAGCACATCTGCTCCATCAACGAGCACCAGTTTCAACTTCGTTCATGTTCCTGGTGCTGTGAATCGCTCGTTTTCGGAAAATCTTGCTCTAAAGGATGAACCCGCCGCTTCGTTTACACCACCACCTGTGGCTCGACCAGTCATGGTGTCACTTATTCGTTACCTTCTTGATTTGGAGAGTGCCACAGACAACATGATCGATGAGGATTGCGATTATATGAGCATGGAATTCGACAAATTGTGTAGAGTAGATGTTTCTATTGAAGCCGCATTTCGACAACCAGGAATTGTTGCAAAACGAACGCCACCGCGCTGGACGGCCCTTGAACGCCTGACGACACTTGAAGATGTACACATCGCCTGGTGTCGTTCATTTGTATTGTGCCTTGATTGGGCAAAGATTTTAAAAGATTACCAAGAGCTATCACCATCGGACCAGTACACATTGCTGAGAAATCGAGTCGTATCTGTGAACTGGTTATGTCACACTTACAAAACCTATCAATCAGGATGTGATGGAGTCGCACTTGTAAATGGAAGTTGGTACCCGAGAGATAAGGAGCTGCAGAAGACACTGGATCCCGGCTGCAATCATTACTTTTCAATTCTCAGTGAACATTTAATGGAGGACCTTGTGATTCCAATGCGAGAAATGGCTATGGATGACGGAGAATTCGTAATCCTAAAAGCGTTAATATTGTTTAGAGCACGTGAGTTGTAATTTCTTATAGAGGTTCAATATAAAATTTGGTTGCATTTTAGATCGACGATTATCCGAAGAAGGAAAAGTGCATGTGAATCGGGTCCGTGATAAATATATTGAAGCACTCTATCAGCATGTACAACTCCAGCACCGTAACCTTTCCTCAGTGCAAATTGCAATGAGAATAAGCAAAATTATGCTCCTCCTTCCGAGCATCGAGCACCTGTCACAGCAAGAAGATGATAATGTGCAATTCCTCGCACTATTTAATCTTGCCAATCTTAACGGTTTGCCATATGAATTGCACTCGTCGATTAAGCAGCACATCAGACATGATGATGACACTCAGGTGAGGTCATCGCTACCGAACTTCTGTAGATTCAGTGTTCAGGTGAACGAAGTGACCTCGAACAACGACGCGACTACCTCACAGCAAGATTCGTTGATGAGACCACCCGTCACATCAGCAGCATCTTATTCCATGCCTTGATTTGCCTGCATATTTATTTCATATTTATCCATTATCCATTCATTCTGGTTTTTTGTCAGGGAACCTCTGTACTTAAGCAAATCGTGATACGTTTTATTATTATCATAATACATATTCAATGTATTCAATAAGAGAAGAAAACAAAGTTATGCTTTATTGATTGAGTGTTGTTTGTTTTGTTGTGTTAGCTGACGTGCGGAGATCAAACTGAAATAAGTCGCTTGAAATCTCGCCCCTATCTGAATGGGTTAGTCTACCGGGTTCTTCATGGTCTTAGTTTCCGTCGGCGTTGAACTCGAATGTACGGCAAATGGAAGCGAGCCGAGGTCCGGATTAAACGGCGTCTGCCAGATCGACATGACAATTGCGCTATCGTCTTCAAGCCTTCCGAGATTTTCCGCTGCTGGCAGGAATTGCAGCAAACTTGAGAGGCGCGAGCTCGCCTTCATGAAATTTGTTGTTTTCATTCTGCAGTAATCTGAGAGTGTTCTCAGATATTTTCGACGTCCAGCGGTGATCGTTTTGTTTCCGTGCTCGCTGAGTCGATGATCTACAATACCATTTTCCACACGTTTATTTAGTTTATAGTGCTACCAGGTTTCATAAGACATATCGCTTTCAACAGAACCATTTCGGTCTCATCCATTGTCACTTTTTTCATTCCGTTGACCATTTCACTCATAAACAAATCAGTTATTCGTGAATAATAAAAATTGCATCTCAAAATCAATTGTCATGTATGTAACATTATTATTTGAAATTCTTACGTCGAATCTATTTCATTCTTCTGAATTTCCTTATCATGCGGATACCAGCTGCCATCCACAAATAAAATTCCATCGCAATTGTATTCAAATGCTCGATAAGCATACCAAAGCCAACCGATCGGCATCATACTCTGTTTTGCCACAACAAATCGATCGTCCTCGTTTAGATCCTGAATTGAAACCAAAAACGTTAGTCGCAATATTTGATAAATCCTTACTAAATATTCTTGTACCGTGGTATACCAATCAATTGTTAATGTAAATGTCCTACACCAATTATATCTTAAAGTTTCGGCGGTTATTCGAGGTAGATAGCTGGCAGTATGCCACTGAAGTTTTGTGCGTTGGCACACTGTCGTCGGATCGTTTATCGCTTTATTCAAATCCACATCCATCGTGTAAATTCGTGAGCCATTTATAGGCTCATGATATTCAACGAGTCGTCGGTCCTATAAGGAAATAACATTATAATTACATATTATGGAGAGTATTAATAGTGGAACTAACGTCATTCAACAGTTTGGCAATAATCGAAGCCGACGTGTTCGGAATTCCGAGATCAGGTTTTATGTCAGATTCGCTCGACTCCAACTCGTCATCGCATTCCGATTCGACTTCTTCTTTCGGTGTGATTAAAGAAGCCAGCGACTTCTTGTTCCTCTCACTCCGAACAGCTGCCACATTCATTCCTACAGCAAGGCATGTACGAAGACGACATGCGCGACATCGATTCCGGTATTTGAACTCGATGGTGCATTTGTTGTCGAAACTGCACGTGTACTTCCTTTTCTCCCAAATGCTGTGAATCAAGAATTTTAAAAATTAAAAAAATAAAAAATATTTGGCAAACCTTCTCCTAAAGAAACCTTTACATCCATTGCATGACACAACTCCGTAATGTCGTTTTCCTTTCGGATCACCACAAACCAAACATTCGGTCTCACTTGATGTTGACGGCTTTTGATCACTCCAATACATCTAAAATTATCATCAAAAAGTTTAAGAATTCTAGAAAGAGAAGAAAAAAAAATGAAAATAATGCGATATAAGACGGCTATAACCGAAATAAAGAACAAAAACGAAAAATAAATAAAAAATTTTTATTCGCTTTTTTGTACCAATTTGTGTACCCGTCTTTTTTCATGGAATATAAATTACATAAATTACAATTCAAGAATAATTATTCGCATCATGCTTTAAGGGAAGAATGAATTTCCAATGGTAGACCATGCAAGCCAGAACTTTGAAGGATGCCCAGAACTTGTACATTGGCATCTTCTTCCCGAGTGAGTCTCTGAAAATCAACGTAAGTTCGAAGAATCAATCAATTTGAAACCATACTTCAACCGACGTCAGCAGTAGCATGAGAAGTCCAATTCTCTCCATTGCCTCCATCTGAGATTCAGTTTTTGATGTCGCATATTCGCAGAGAATCTGATTGTAATGTGCCCGAACGCCAGAAATGTGCTGATTCGCTTCGTCGGACAATCGATAGTCGGGTTTGAACGCGGCCAACAGAAGCATCAAACAATATTCTTCGGCATCAATCGATAAGATTTTCATAATACTAATCACTTCGTGATGCATTATATCACACAACGAAGCATAGTATTGATTGCATTCGGATGGAACAAGCTCGCGGAGCTTCGGATCCTTTGGATACCAGGCGTCGTTGGTGAAGGCGACACCATCGATTTGATAGATGTATGCGTTGTAGGCATACGTGAGCCATGACACAGGTGCGAATCGGTTCTTGCAAATGGAAAGTTGATCGTTGTGTGGTAGACTGTTGAATTCATCGTGGGATCGAAGGAAGTCGACGTACCAGACGAATGTTCGACACCAAGTCACTTGCAAATCCTTCACGTTCGAGAGGCGGTCGCAACACTCCCATTGAAGCTTCAAAATATTCAGATAAGACCTTTGCATTGATTTATATCGAACGTATATTCCAGACTATTGACCGATTCGATCTATTCGATTCGGTATCTCAGATTCGTCTTGTTTTGCGATCATCAAATTACAACTAGATGTGTTCTCCCAAAACTTTGCGGAACATATCAATATATTAATAGATGAATCTAATCTAAAAAGTGGATCTCGAAAACAATTTGATCTTTTCCGAACATAGAAACGTTGAATCTTTCATCAGATAACATAAAAATTAGCCAACATAGAGTATTTTTAGAGCATAGAGAGAGAGAGAGAGAGCTCTCGCAAAATTCTGAGAATCCTTGAATTCACTGAGGATGTTCAAATGTTTATAAAATTAAATAGCTATTACCACGAGAAATAACTACTCAAATGCTAAATGCTAAAAGTGTACTTATTTCCTCGTCGCGCGTTTACAGAAAATGGTTAAAATTGTTTTAAACAATGCGAGAGAGAGAGAGAGAGAGAGAGAGAGAGAGAGAAACGTCTTGACTCGATGCTCTAATATAGCCGGCGTCCGGCGACAGCTGTACTCGGGTAGATTTACGAATGCGGTTTTTGAAATGGTCTCGCCACGAGTGATCGCTTATTTCATTACTTTCACGTGAACTGTTTAGTTTTTCTTGGTATCATTCTTTGAATACTTAATATCACTGAAATTAAGAATTAACGGAATGCCCTCTAACGGGAAAAATAACCAAATACTCCGCGGGAGACCATGACGGAGACGCATGCGTGTAAATGTATTGGTGTACTTTTAATTTTTATGTCGAAACCTCTTTAATATGTATCTCCCAAACGCGAGGTAGCATTGAAACTGCTCGTGACATTAATTATGTGTCCAAATTATAGTATGCGATTAGAGAAAAATGGTTTTAAAGTATAAAGTTTGATATGAAAGAGAACCCGAAAAAAAATCCAACAAGATGGATGGTTTTTTTTGAGGGTTTTTGTGATACTAGCGCGCTACCATTTCAACTTTTCTATTTAAAAACTTTAAATTCTATTGAACGAATGTGATCGAATACCAAAAAGATGAAACGCGCTTGCGAGAAAATGCAAAAATAGCCCAACTTCACAAGCGCCGCTATTTTGGCGGCAATTCAAACGTCTTTCTCATTTCTCGGAAACTTTCGATTTTGGGTATGGTTTCTTCAAAATTTGTTAATCACAAGTGCTAGCTTCGTCGATTTTCAATGACTAATACACAATTGGTGTGTTTTGAACGATGCCGCTTTTCCACGAACCGATCCCTTCACTATCAGGAACTGGATTTGATTCACAAAATGGTCTTCGGTTCAATAAATACCTTTGTTCGTGACGCGACCCGATTGGGATTTGCGAAAGCTTCCGCAAGAGAGAGATTCACATTGCATTGGCAGCTAAACATTGCCGCCAGATCTGTCTGATCATCTTGTTTCTCCATGACGGCGCGCTCCTAATTTATAAAAGTTGATTAGATTCTTTGTCTGTTCCATCCACTCACAATCATAATGAGGCGTTTGAGGACCGTTGGCTTCTCGAATTCGGGCGTCGATCTTGAACTACACCTCGGCACATAGCCTTGACTACGCAAGCGGCTCTTTTGAGCCCTTATGCGATTATCGGTTGGCTTGTTTTCACGCTCCGATTGCACAGCTAAAAATGAATGTAATTTAAAGGATTGAGATGCGACTGAGTTATGTACCGCGAGCATCCATTCCGACGCGAAAGCATTTCAGAAGGCGGCATGCGCGACACCGATTCCGAAATTGTTGAGCAACCTCGCATTTATCATGATTGGCACAAGTGTATGCTCGTTGCTCCCAAATGCTGAAAAAAATTTTTTTAAGTATGGGAAGCAAAAATTCGCAACATCATTTTCAGCTTCATTTCATTATTTATATGTTATATGTTATTCATTACCTAACAGACCTGAACATGTATTTGAGTTCAATATTTAATTCGACAATCTTTTTAAAACGTACAATTTTTGAGCATTTTGAATGCCCGATTTTTGGTGTTTCAAGATCGTAGAAAAACAAACGAATATTGTGTATCAAATAAATTTCAGAAATATTGAAAATAAGCGAAATTGACGCCATTGAAATCTTTCGCATTTTGTTTTGGAATTTTCTCTATTTTTCATCCAATTTCAGTATTATTTGAGGTTTCCAAAATTTATGTCAGATGCAATCATATTTCGGTTATTGTTATCACAGATCAAATTTTTGCATTTTATAACGAAGTCAAATTTTGTACGGATCAACATCACGTCATCGTAACGGAAGTCTCTCGAAATTTTTGATGAAAATCTCGGCGAAATACTTGACGGAATACGTCATTGACCGAATAAAAGAAACACGAAGCATTGAAATCTTTGAAAATCTGCGCAAATCTCAAAAGACAAGCGAATGAGTGAGTGCGGGCAACGTCGATGAACTTCGAGAAGAATGAATCAACGGAATGCTACCTTCTTCGGAAAAATCCTTTGCAGCCGTTGCATGCGATCGTTCCGTAATGTTTGCTGGCTTTTTCATCGCCGCAAACGAGACAAATTTTGGCTGAAAAATTAATCAAATATATTTGAAATAAATATGTCTTGTTAATTATCGAATTGCAATGCGGAAGATTTTGGGGAAAAAATGCACTCCTTTTTCTGAGATTTTCTGCATTATCAGCATAGACAGAATGAAAAGAGAATTTCGAATGACATTCTGAAAACGAATATCTGTCTAGAAGCAAAATGATTCCGCTAGAATTGTGATATGAATCATGCTAATTTCTCATCAATATTTATGCGCTCATGCGAATATTTTGACTGCTAACCTGTTGAATTTCCTGGAGATGATACAGCAGGCATTCCAACAAATTCGAAACGAACTTCGTGGGTCCTGCAACGAAAACATACATTGAAATTCCTGTGGCAATCGTGGGGGAGACTCGAACAATGTTTGTGGAAGTCGATACGAGCAGAAAAAAAATGGTTTTGTTGAGCTGAAGAGACGCAGCGATTGTAACAGGATTAAACAAGCGGTTGGCAATCGATTCGTTTTTGGTATTATTGAACTCTCGGGTCGTACGATCAATCAGTTTCAATTCATATGTATTCATTTGCAAATGCGAAAAATAGAGAGAGAGAGCGACGATGTGAATCCGAAATTGAAATGGGCGGTATGAGGTTCCTGACGATTGTATGTAATCCGAAGTGGAATTAGGCGCTTGTTTTTCTTCTTCGAAAACTGTCCCACGCAGGAATTTAACACCAATTGCATCAAAATACAACGCGTAGTCTGACACAGATAGAAGTGTACAGAAGAAGCCGAAAGCCTCTGTCACAATCAATTATTTGATAATTCCCCTACAGTACATCTCCTACATTTATCGAATATTTTTTTGACAAACGCTTAAATGTCCTATTGAAATATTTTTCCCTTGTTAATCTTGTTAAGAAATAAAGTTTGAAGATGAAAATATTTTATCGTTAGGTTACGGAAGGATGTAAACCGAGTTAATGACATATTCTTTTTATTGATGTCAGAGTTCTAATAGAAAATCGAAGAATGTTATTAATAAGCTCGTACGAGCAGTAGTATATTGAAAATGGCGAGTAAGACAAATAGATATCAACAATAAACATTGTAACAGAAATGTGTCTGGCTATTTCGAGTGCTCTTAAATGTTCAGAAACGTTTCCTAGGAGAGATCCGTGGATTCCGCCTATTTATAGTGTTCCACATATCATTTTCAAGATAAGAGTGTGATTTAGGCCTCGTTTGTTTCGCCATCCTTTTAGATGTTTCGGTGTGTAGTTCTCAAACATCGAAATCTTCAGATTTCCTCAACGTACGGTAACGATATGCATCTACAGTATTCTCGGAACATTTTTGAAGGACGTAAAAAGAGTTTTGAATGAAATTTTCGGTAAAATAATAGTCTTGAAGGAGTTTTACTGAAATTCTACAAATATGATTACTTGAGAAAATGTTTTGATCAGAAATTATTTTTAAAAAATGCAATTTGTGATTAGAATAGGAGAGGATAATTGCAAAACGATATATTTCAAAAAAAAAACCTTTTATTATTTGTACAAATTGAAAATCCTAAGACAATCACTAGGATGATGTTAAAACTGACAAATGATGATCTAAAATGAATAACATGAGTTGTGAACTCTTAATGAAGAAAAGAAATAAATTACTGAAACATTATTTTATTTGCGAAATATATATTGAAAATTAAAATAACTAACATCATATCTATTTTGTCGAAGAAGATACTTTTTCAAAAAGTTCAACGTTGAAATATTTACAAAAATATGGAATATTCTAGATAAAGGCTAAAGTTACAATCTCTTAAATTTCCCAATTTATTCTTCGAATTAATTTTGTTTTAGATACGAACTTGTTAATACAGTTTGAGTTTGGCCCAGTCGAAAGCAAGCCACGGCCCAATCAGAGAGCGCGATTAATCGACGGTTGAATACCGTAATCGGAATGGGAGGGGCACATTGAAAGTAGTTTCGCTAACACACCCAAGAATATTCAGACGGGCCTTGTTTGTCGAATCAAAAACGCCGAATCTGACCCAAGGTAGGTGCATTTCTTAGACATTTTCTATTCGTATATTTCCGACTTACAACATTTTGATAATAGTGGCGATATGCTTATAAATATCCGCGCGCGAAAACCTTCTGCAGAGCACATTATTAATCGTTTCGAGTTTTTATGTCTGCATTCCACACGACATTCTCAAAATAGTGATGGGAAAATTTTTGAACAAATTGCCGAATTATTTTTTTTTTTGAAAGATATCCAAATATATTAGATTCGAGAAACCAATTTTCGCATTTGACATTCATAGCATTCAATTGAAATTAAAATTGAAAATAAGCGTCGAGTCAAGAACATTTGATAGAATATCTCCTACCAAACAATAATTCGAGCAGCAATCAATTCGGATTAACTAGCTTTCGCTTCTTTTTTCTTCATTATCCTTTTTATAAATCAAAAATTCTTTTCTATACATTCATATGAGTTGTTCAAGAAACCCCAAAAAAATCACTTTTCATATTTTCGAAAAATCAAAAAAAAAACCGGTAAAATTTCTCAACCCGGAAAAAAACATAAATATTAACCAACGAAATACATATTTCAAGTTACCGTATCTTTATAAGGATTCCTATAACACGTGATATCTTCAGTTTTTTTTTCGCTAATCTGCGTGCTAAGTCTCTTTCAAGTTTTTTTCTGCACTTTTCAAATGCAAACGGATAATCGGCAGACAAGATTTGGCGAAGGAACGAGGGATTTTTGAATTATATTCTAGCAAAGCGAATTTTTTTTGTTGCATCTTAGTCGGAAGCTACAGAAAGTTTTTTTGTCAAAATTGTGCATTCATTTCGTTTTTATGGATTTAATAACCACATTACGAATAGGAATATTTCGAAGAAAATACATACCGATAAATGACATTTTTATAAATGATTGTGAAATTTTTGGTAATTCGAATTTCATACTTTTACTGTAATCAACTTATTCATGCAATAAACAGTGCAAAGACCCACAAATTTTAAGTTCTAACACCGTGAGAAACTCAAAGAAATAGTCGTTTAGCTGCGCGTGTTTTGCAGTGTTTTTTTTTAATTTAAAACTGTTTATTTTTGCAACAAGAGCTCATTGAACTCTTTGTTCTATCGAATAATTTGGATATAGTGAACTATCTTGAAATAGTCTGTGTAGATAAAAACTAGCACGGCTTCTTCATTATCAAAGTATATTCGGATCCCCCCCCCCAATATTTCGTATTGGATTGACTTTGGTGATATTCGAGGTCAAACATAAATGAAAAGCATGTTTTTTGAGCATATAATTTACAATGACTTTACTTTTTTTTTTAATAGGATTCAATACACTAATAATAGTTTGTTTGGGGAAAATGGTAGAATCGGTTGCCGCGAGACCCATCTCATTTTCAGCATTATGAGCCTTTAATCATATATTTTAATTTTGCAAATGAATTGAGTTTACCCATAAATCTCCTACAAATTTCATCAAATTTCTTAATATTCGATTGTAAAAAAATGAAACGAAAATATTTTTACTAAAAGATGCACGCGGGTTTCGAGTCTTGCGCGAACTATTCTGATTGATTTTTTCTCAAATTTTTTTTTCTCAGAATGCTGTTTCAAAAATGCATTTATTCAGAAAAAAATTCACGAAACCATTGAATTACTCGGCAAATTCATTGGGTAATAACGCTTTCTGCGAAACGATGCCGAATTTTGGGAGAAAATGTGAACTGCAAAGGTTATTTGAATTTACGTATTCAATTCAACGTGATTTCAGAAATTAATTATAATTTTCTTGATCAGTTCATCGGATCTCGAAAAGCATAGATATATGATGTTGCTTCGAATGACGTATTCGCACTTCCACTGACGTCAGATTCAATTCGGAAAAGATAAAATCGATGGTTCAATTCTTATTTGATATTTCTTTTAGAATATCTAGGCAATCTAGCAACGTTTCATTTTTAATTGCATTCAATTGTTGATCTAAAAAGGTTTTGAATGGGGGGGGGTTATTCCAACATTTTGTCAGGCTTATAAAAAAATTGCGACCGGTTTTTTCGAACGAGCGTCTAACCGTGATTATTTGGAGAAAACATGAAGAACTCAATACAGTAAATTAGTGAGAGTATAAAATTCAGTAAAATAATTAGTTTCAAGCAAATTTGGAGAAGAAGATACATAGAACATCATTGAATGTCGATATGCAAAAATGCCAAATTTTCTTTAGTACGAATTCGAGTATTGAAAAGAAACGCATAAGGATTAAAAAATGTTGATACCGTCAGTGAGGTTTCAAATGTAATATTTTCAAGCCAAACTCATGAATAAAACATTAATAACGAAGCAGTGCGAAAGAAATCAGATTCATGCTCGCATGAGCCCGCAATGCTTAAAATAGTCATATTTTCAATCTAGCACAAAACTGTTCATGTGTCAAACACGAATTCGATTTCTTGAAATTACTCACTAACAGGGACTCTTTTTTGTTTCCTTTGAGAGTTGACGGATTTCGAATAAAACAGTGGGTAAACCTTTTTTTATAGCTGATCTGTTCATGAAGGATTATGAAGAAATGGTCAATTTGTTGGAGAGCAAGGAAGGAAGAAGAAAAACGATGAAATTGGTGCTTAATCCCGGCCGTTTCGTGCCCTAATCACATCAAACGACACTGGAAAACCCACGCAAAACGAAATATTATTATATGTATACATATTGCGAATAATCAAGTATACATATTATCGAAGACAGACAAATTCCGGGAGACGCTGCCAAAAAATTTGGACGAGGGATTTGGTCTCGCATTGATTTTCTTATTGACTGAGTATCGAGCATATGAAAAACTATAGTATACACAAAAAGCAAAACATGTGCAAATATATTTCATTTGGTCTAAATTGTTTAAATTTTCTTCGAGAATAAGCAGCGAAGGCTCTTTTTCTGAAAAAAGCGGCTCTCGATGTCGTCACACGCGGTTCTCATAAGATTTTTTAATTTCTCAAAAATAACATGGTTAAAGTTTTTTTTTTGAGAAATTAAAATTTTTTTTGAATTTTTTTTTTTCAAAAAAGGTTTGTAATTGAGAACACGAAAATAACGCTCGATATGAGACTATCGGAGGGTGAAAATCAATCGCTGTACAGTTTGGGAAAAAATAGATAAAGATGATTGTTTTTTGTTGAGAAAAGAAACACGAATCATAACCAAAGACCACCGACGGCGGGGCTGCGGCGGCAATAATTGAATAATAGGGCTAATTAACAGCACAGGTGTTTGAATAGTGCACCTTGTGAATTCCAGCCCGCAATTCCAAGGGCAGAGACGCAGAGATTAACAAAATTGCGACAACGACGACGAAAACGAAAACGGAAAGGGTCGGGAGGAGCGTTGGCGCAACAAAATTGGCAACATAATTTTTTTGGTTGAAAAATAAAACGAGGCGTAGAAGCGAAAAGGTGGTTGTGTGTTTCGGGGTGTGTATATTGATAAGGAAAACAGAAACAAAAAATGAAGGTTTCGAATCTATCGAGGTTTTCTTATACGGTGTTTCAGGGCGACGATTGAATAAATTCTTATCGCTTTACACATGCGCTTGTTTGATAACGTGACTTTCCGCAACTTTTTGGTGCCTGCTTTTGTTTGATTTTTGAGACATTTCAAGACCTGCGAGGTTCCAAGAAACATGAAAAGAATAAAATATGACGACGCGCAGCTTACGAGCAGCTCGCTTATTTCTCGAGCACACTACACCGCACATAATTTGTATTGGATGCTCACAAAATGGGATAAATGAAACAAATTGGGAGCGTCGAGCTTTTTCGCAACATTAAACTACACTATTTGATCGAATCTACAGAAATTGACACTGTTTTGTTGCTACGCCCGTCCAATTTGATTAATCTTCGGGAATCCTCTAATCTTGTTGAGATTGATGGAATTGAAGATAAAAGCGCAAACTATATTTACTAACGCTTGTTACGTTGATCTATAGTTTTCATATTGCACTAATGTTTTGCAAATTATGCATTTATGTTGAAAATTTGTTGATGAAGATGACTCAAGAAATGATATGAAAATTTAAAAAAAAAATGAAAAGAGAATTTTAAATTGAAATGCATGAAAATTGATGGTGGTAAAATAAAGCCAATTAATAACTCAGGAGAATGTTTAAAAAGTGTTATATTATTTTGGGGAATATTTTTAAAAATATAAAAAAGGTTCTTACTTATTAGAGAATTGAAAAAAAAGCTTAAAAATGAACATGTTTGTTATTGGGTGGTCGGGCGCGGTTTAAAATCGCAAAAATGAATCGAGAGCGATGGCCAAACCGTAGCAACGATGTTCAATTTTGCACTAACCGCCTACTTTTTCAAAACAATTTTTTTCTTTTTAATCAACTATGCTAAACTATGTTCGCCTAAACTATTCTCAATTTTGTACGAAACAAATATAAAAAAGAAGCGAGTCTATCGTTGTTGACTCAGATGAACACTTATATAAATCGGTGTCTTCTAAATCGGAAAAAATATTGTTATCAAATTTTTATTGGCAACATTTTGACTGGAAAAATCTTGCCTTTCAATTTTATCGATTTCGGTGCGGTTTATGGCGAATCGAATGTAAATGCTGACAATTTTTAACTTCTTCTTCTTCTCCGTTTTATCTTCATTTTTGTAGGACGCCAATTTCTTATTGGAAGCGTTTATGCAGCGAAAAAAAAAACAGTTTTCAATGCATTCTTGATGGCAGAAGAGAAGTTTTGCATAAGTGCTGTTCTTTTTTTTTTTTTTCAAAAATCCGAATGAGCACACACCAAATAAGGCATCATGTGGTCAAAGAGACAAACCGAAAAATGTGAGGGGATTTCCTGTTTAGTATGGTCGTAATACGGCAACAACACAAAATGCACACACAGGCACGAACATGTGCCCGTCCATTGCAAACTTTGCTCGAACTTTGAACCCTTGAATACGAAGAGTTCGGGCGATCCGATTGAAAAAATAAACGTTTTTTTACCTCAAAAATCGGTGTATGTAATACAATCTGATCATCACGGTTTTTTCGCAGCAAATAAACGTAAGATCAAAGGATGGCTACAATTCGGTTAGATTGAACTTTGAATTGGTTTGTTTCAATGTTTATATAACAGGCCTAGTCGGGGCGTTTTTTTTTTCAAAGAGTTTAACCTAAATGTGAACGAACAATTAGTTTCGCATTGGGTATTTGCCATAGATACGCATATGAATGTATGTAAATGTACATTCAATTTAAACAACTACACCGAGGTGTGTCGTTTTGGTCAGTTTTGTGGTATTGTTTGAAGAGGAGTAGTTGACCTTCTTCGATCTCAACATTCGAGATTTTCTTTTAAACATAATTTTTCAATCATCGCGGCGGCAAAGTGCATAAGTTCATATTAGCATTTTGGATTTGATGCTTGTGTTGTTTCGTGTGAAGAATGATTTCGAAGACAAACACGTTGTGACGAAGACTCGCTCATGCGAAATTAATAACTAATTATTTAGAGAAGATTAAGGAGAAAGAAATAAATGAACTGTTGGTAAGTATAAATGCAATCAAAATTATTAGAAAATATCAAAACAATTCAAAAAACGGCAACAGTTTTTAATATAACTGGAATTTCCAAATATGTTCAACAATTGCGTCATCACTCTCAATAAGATCAAACAGAGTGTTACGTAGAATGCCCTTGGTAAAGTGAAAATTGGTACTTGAATGATTTGTCCTAATATGTAGACATATTGTCACGTTTCATTCGTTCATATTAACAAAATAATCAAAAAAAAAAAAAACAAATTAAATAAACATTTGATGAGATATTCGGATATATTCTGTCAATCAATTGAATGATTTAAATGAATGCCACAAATCGTTTTGCTCTCATTATTTCCTTAAAGTTTCCAAAGATGGCGATTTAGGGGATTCGATTCATCGAGGGACCAATTCGACCCGGCCCTTCGCGATTTCACGTTTCATTCGCCAATAATTCACCGCCTTTTTTTAAATCACGGGGGTTCCACAGGCGAATTCGCCATCTTTCGCTAATAATAGCGCTTATCGAAAACGTTAATTATTTAGAAACGCGACATTAAAAAAACTCCCGAAGATTTATTTCGATATATCGCACAATTTCGTTGTTTGATCGCGAATTTGTCATTCCTTTTAAAAATCATTTTCCATTTTAATGTGCCAAATGAAAAAAAAAAGCGATAAAACTAAAAGGGATCAGAGTTCAGTGCAAAACTATTTCTAGGACCCCACCTGCCGTTTGCGCATTGAACATCAGATAAATGAATCCGAACATCTTGATAAAGCATTGCAACTACGCGGACGATATGATCATGATCATTATGTGAATGAAACAATATAACAACTATAATCAACAGAAATGTATAAAAATATTTATTATTCACAAGCAAATCTAAACAATGCAAAACAAAGGCAGAAGAGAAAATAAGAAGAAAAAGCTGGAATGTAATTTCCTATACTCTAATATTCCATCACAAATGCTTCAACTCAAGGCATTTTTGGTACCGGAAATATTGTAAAGAGGTTTTATATAATATTATTTGAAATTAAAAATTGGGAAATTCATGATAATTTTCAAATTAGGAACAATTGTTTTGGACTATTTAATCCATTCATAAAGGAATGTTGAACTAACAAAAACGAATCGTTGATGGTTTGGCAAACTATTTAAAATCGAAAGCCCATTCCTTAATCGTCTTTGTTTTGATCCATAAACTCTTGAAGCATCTTCTTTTGGTGATAGTAAAGTGCCAATCGATCTCTTGCATATCCGCGGTAATCGAATGCGATCGTCGATTCCTCGGCATTGATGAGCGACCAACAAACCCAGAAGATATTCGAAACCGGCATGAACAATTTCGATTCGAGCTTGATCTTCGCCAGGTCTTTTTCGCGATCTCCACTCACCAAATCAGACGGGAAATGCGGATTTTGGCCAGACGAACGCATCTAAACTCACACTCGGCATTGAATTATTCAAAAGTGAATCGCGGATTTCATACTTTGTAGACTTCATTGAGATACGCCTCGCAGAACACGTCTCGCTCTTCTTCGACGTCGAAAAAGTGTTGGTGAATCTAAACAAGCGGAGAAATTGACTTCGAATTTGGCAAAATGAAATACAAAGTAATACGGCGGCTGCTCGTTGCTGTAATCGAATCCATACTCGCAAAAATGATTGCCGAGATCGAATCCTCTGCAATATCAACGAATACAACCGTTTCATATTATAATTATTATTTCACCTATAGTTATAACTGCAGTACTCAAAGTCGATTAATGTTAACGGCTCAGCCTCAGTCACTTTTCCGTTTTGATCAGTCACAACTCCATTCTCGTCAATTTGGTATCCATCAATCAGCAGAATATTTCCTTCCTTCAAACTTTATGCAGTTAATTGAAAATTGAATTGAATTCAACCTGCAAATCATTGTGAGAAAACACAACCGGACTATTGCATTGAAGAAGGAAATCATCGACGAAGTCCAACTCATTTTCCAATTCATCTACAGTAATCGAGGCAGGATACTGTATCAAATCAATGTTGTTTTTTTTTTCAAATCTTTTTGCCTATCTCAATACTCACATCGCTCTTCGGAACATTCGCCTTTGTCAAGTAAATCTCAATCGGTTTTTTCGATTCTTCGGTGGTCCTGAAGCGATCCAGCCAAGCTCTTGCGGTGTCCAATAAATGCGCATCTTTCGTGATCGGAACATCAAGAGTGTGCACTCGAGCGAGCATCGGCGCGATTTTGCGAGACATTCTGAATTTCGAAATCAATTGTCGATGATAACGATGGTTCTCCTACCTTTTCTTACTAATTTCTAAGCAATGAAGTGGCCGACTCGGAATGAATTGCTCAAATCGACCACCTGGAAACACTCCGAGAAGTTTTGGACCAAGGTTTCTTTCAGACAGAAGAGTGAAAACGACAGATTCCGAAAGAAGTTGGTCGATGTCGGATTGGCAGTGGACACGGAGCAACGCCTTCTCAGGCTCCACTCCAATTGGATCGAGTCCTTCAGGAAGTTCGACAAGGAAAAGCAGGTTCGACATTCCACCTCTAAATTCGAAAAAATACAAAATCAAATAAAATTCTCTCACGTGATGGCTCGAATTTTGAATTGCTCAAGTTTGACTTTTTGCCATGCACCGGCCAAATATTTGGCACACAGGAATCGAGCGCGATGAAGGATTTCGCCACAAATCGGAGAAGAAGCATCGAATTTCGAGAACACTTCTTTCAGATCGTTGCAATTCGATGTACGATCGTTCCAAGTGAGACTCGGATTGATTTGCGAGAAAGTGATCTCGAGATCGCTAATGCTCTTCGAGCTCTCCGCCTCTTCATTTGGCACCTGAAGACGCACGCACGTGTCTTCGATGGAGCACATCTGCAAAAATAGTTCATCGCTGATATACACGTGTGAGAAAAACTATTTTGAATTGGATTTGTATTGAGAATCATTTTTTGAGATATTTCGAAAAAATTTTACACACGTTGATTTCTGACATAATAAGTCACGTTTGATTATAATCATATACATAATTTTAAAAAAAAAGTGATTTGTTTTCTTTTTTCAAAAAATTATTGATAAAACCCGTATATTTGAATATTTCCATATTTGAAAGCTTCATTCGTTTTTTTTAATCATCAACTTCGCCGAAACAAAACGAGGAAGTGTGTGGTGTGCAAAAGAAAACTCTCAAATAAAAAATTCTCGAGAAGACTGAATTTTCCAAAAAAAAAAAAGAGTGGTTCACAACAAATATTGACATCCTTTTGGCATACTGTAATGGAGAATTATTATGATTTGAATCGAAATGTTTACCGCTCAATTCATGCGTGTCCAAATTTGAATCGCCCCAAAAAACCGGAATAATGAAATGGAATCAGACATATAAAATGCATAGATAATGAGCTTATGAACGCATGGCAACAGAAAAAAATGCAAAATGTATATCTATGTAAATGTGAAAAAGAACGTGTTGAGTGATGAGGAGCAAATGGCGAATAAGCGAGAGCTCGAAAAAGAGCACACGTGAAGCTACCTGAGCATTAATATTTCTGCTGTTTTTCGGCGAGTTTCTTTTTTTTTGTGAAAAAATAGGTTAAACTATTATGCTTATTTATGAATGTACTTGGTAGGAACTTGTTTTATTTAAAAACCAAAATAAGTGACGTCAAATTGAGCACTCCGAATGAGCACTTCGAAAGTTAATGGACTTATCTATGAAATGGACTTTTTATTTTACAAAATTGTAAAAATTGCAATAAATACGCATTTTTTCATTTCAGCATTGGAAAAATGTGTAATTTTTACAATTTTTATTGCACAAATAGGTTCAAATGAGATGGAATTTTCAAATTAAAAAAAAATGGAATATCAGAATTTTTCGAATTGTTCAGGAAAATCAGTTTAAGAAAATATTTTTTGAAAAGAATTAGATTGAATATTCAACGAAATGAGCACTTCGAAAATTACTGATAAAGCGTGTGGCTTTCCTTTCATAATTGCTATTTCTGTTTGGTCACAAAAATTCATTTGGATATTTTTTTTTTGGCTTCGAGTATTCATGTGATTCATTTTGTTGTTTCAATTCAGTTTATGTTGATATGTATTGTTTCAAATTATGTTGATTAATTCTACAAAAATAAACTAATTCAAATCTCAGTACACAGTAAAGGGCTATCTATGAATGTAAAGCTTTTATTGAAAAATTTGGAGAAATCGCATAAGATGATAATTTTGATTAATAAAAAAAAGCCGAAAACTCAGAATTCTTAATTCATCAAACATGCTCGATAAAAAAAATTTCATGAAAAAAAAGACAACATTGTATGCATTTTTCATACTAAAATGTTCGTCGGTTTTTCTAATCTCAAGAACAATAAACCTTTAATAAACACAAAGGGATAAATATAAAAATTGAGTAGTAGCAATGTCTACGAGGCGAAACTCTTGAGTGATATTCAAATAAAAGCACCTCAACTACGAGAAGAAGCTTGTAACAACATTGGAAAAATGACGGGAGGAAAGGGGGGGGGGCTGGGTGGTGGCAAGACAAGATGAAGGCAAAAAAGCAAAACGGGAACAAATGGATTTTTGAAGTGAGAAATGAGCGGACGATTTTCGGAACGAAATTAATCGCGCTGTTTGGAAGCACACATCATCACAACAAATAATGACCACTTTCGTATGTCTTCCATTAAAAAAAGACTTTTAACCAGAAAATAAAGATTTACATGAATTGTATAGATCGAATCGAGAATGTTCAAACCATAATGCTATTGAGATTGATTTGACGGCATTTTTGAATGTGACAACAAATGTGTTTTATTGAGCAATCATTCATGGGACTTTGGAATATTTTTTCAAAAAAATATCTACAAACATTTTTTTTAATAGGGCAAACCAATTAATGTTGAGTGTTCCATTTTGTGGGTATAATGAGAATTTGTGGAAAAAAAAATGAAAATTCCAAGGACTCAATCGATAAATTGATAGGTGATGAAGCACTCGATAGCAAGAACGACAACTGATATCCAATTCGTCGTTTTCGTTTGATGTATGTTTTTTATTATCTCTGGTGATTTTATCGCAATTTGAGCCGCTTCTTGACATCGAAACGAGCGAAACACAAATAGTACATCAATGAGATTTTGCAGGTGAAAAATTGTGGTTATTATGATTAATGTTTTTGGCGGTCGGGCATCGAGAAGAGACACGCAGACGGGGGAAAATGTGTGGGAACGAAAGAGATCCAAAGAGTCATACAAACTGTGATTGATTAAATTGCGTGTACAATGGCGATGAATGTTTTTGGTCTCGATTGGATATTAAATTCTCAATTCGCTTCTCACTATTTTATTGGTTCGACGAGAGCTCATAAACACTCAGAAACGCGTGCAACAAACTGCTATGAGAAATCAAGTTTTTTGTGTCAATCTGGCCAGAAGCTGAGCATTTTTCATATCCGATTCGACAAACATTCGCTCGGATGCAGAAAATCAGTTTTTTTGTTACAACCCTATGTCAGGTATTATCCACCAAATCAAGTTTTTATCACAGAATATTTGTGGAAATTTCAATTCTGTCCTGTATGAGAATTAAAATTAAAAAAAAAAGATCGATATAAAAAAATCTCTCTAAAATTTTGAAAAATAAACAACTTTGCATTTTCGTGACAACAGAAACTAATCAATTTCGAACAACCGTAGTGATATCGTACTTAAAATCTAGTGCACATCTGAAAATGTGGTGCACTTCTAGAAAATAAAAAAATCATGAAGTATGAATTTTTGATTTTACATATTTTTTTGAAAAAGAAATGCATGCACAGCTCACCTGTGTTCTCCTAATTCGTCTAAATTGACTCGAGTATGCGCGCCGTAAATCGACACCAATGATCCGAACCACGGCACGCATCATTGTTTTTGACGAATATCGATCCGGCTATCGAATCGAAGACATCTGATTGATAACAACATCACAATTTGAACTACTCAAATGCATAGGTCAAAATAATTTATGATCAAACATCACATAATGACAAATTAATTTGCGAGCCGCCCATCTGGGTTTTTCTCTTGATTCCCAAACCGAATGGCGAGCTGTTCGGCGATGTTCTCAAGATAAACCGATATAGTATCACCAGGTCGAACTCGATAACTGGCAAGAGTTCGATCAGGGATCCAGAGCTCTTGTCCCTCGAAGTATAATCGGAGAATATGGCCGGAAGTGTCGATTTCTTTGACCAGCATCGACTTGAGTTCCCCTACAGTGTACTTCCAACCTTCATCGAGCGTTGTCGACCGTTTGTTCTTGACATCGAACAAACGAATGTGAATCGTGACCGGACGAATAGCTGAACATTCATTGTTTAACAATTATTTTTCATTTATGGCATTGACGGTTAGAAACTTCCAAAAAACTTATTGTTAATGAAATAGCTGCCAAATAATTCGTATTTATAATTTTATTATATTATAATTTGTGTAATAAATCTGTAGATTGTCGGATTTTTTTTTGATAATTCTTTTAGAAAATGTATTGCCAATGTGTCTCGAGGCAAAAAACACATGCGAGACTGTCTATTTTTCATTAAACACACTCAATATTCATTCAACTCGAAAATTACGGATGTACTCGGAAAAGGGTAATTAATAACATGCTAAACAATAAAAATAATAAAACTGGTCCACGAAAAATGAGCCAGCATCTGCCAGAAGGCCTCAAACTTGTGTTTCCATAACTATGGACCACCCTGTAGGTCTCGACGAATTTCGCGAAATTGATGATCCCACTACGATTCAGTCGGATGGCATTATTCTGCGAATAAACAACAAACACTAATTTCAATTTGGATTTCTTTTTTTTATTCAGATAGCCTAGCATTATGAGCAAAAATATGTTTTGAATTTGATTTTATAAGAAATTTTGTTGAATTTTTAAGGTTTACAATTTAGCTCATATGGCGTACCTTGTAAGCTCAAATGAATAGCGACTATTGCAAAAAGAATAAGAAACTTGGAATTGTTGGGCATTATGCAATCAACACACAACAACAGCTAATAGCATAAACCATCAATGTGTTCGATTCATCATGCAACTGGTTTTATTCCAGATCCAATTCGATAAGATTTACATATATTCTAAAAACACCCGTAATCGAAAAAGAAAAGAGTTAGGAAGAATTGTGAGGTTCGTGTTTCAATGGTTGCAGATGCTCTCGTGAGGCCTTTTTTCTTTTGAATAATTCTTTGTCGGGATGAAGAAATCTGAAAACGTTCGAGATTTTGAGATAAACGAGAGTTTCCATATTATTGCTACTTGTAATATATAGTAACTCCGATTGAAATGATAAGAATTAGGACGCAAATGAAAAGAATGAAGATGAGAGCATTGACAAACTGAAATCGATCAAAATATGATGCAAATCAAACATTTTCAACCTTGTGCGGCTCCTCATTCTCCACATCGTGGAATTTCTTTCGCAATTTGACTGTTTCAGTTGGTTCTGCCATTTTGAGACTTGTTGTCGTTCCTCGAGAAATTGAGGAGCTACAATATGTCGTTTCAATTTCTATATTTTATATCTCAATTCCTTGAATGTGAAAGTAATTATGTAGTCTGGAATCTTTCAAAATTCATGCAAAATTCAACAATTCTTGCTAATGAACCTTTTTGCTGCTCTGCTATTTCCCTGGTAACTCAAAACCAATCGGATTCGACAAAATTTGGCTCCGCAATCGACCTTATCCGATTATGAATTGTACGGATAAGATTGTAAAATTCTCGGATCAAATTGGTTTTTGGTTACTTGTCGCATCCGATTCGAATTGAAAGATTAAAACAAAACACATTCGATTAATAACCAATTGAATCCGATAATTTTACAATTTTATCTGTGGAATTCAGTTAAGCGACCCGTTATATCTCAATAGTGAACAATCAAATATTTTGAGTACCTTGATGTTTTCAGTCTTGTTGTTGTAGTTTTGCTAGTCGTTTCCGATTCAATCGTATACTCTGGTCCAACCGAGGTGCTCTGTGTTGTAGCAATCGTCTCGTTCTGCATTTCCTTTTTCGCATTATCCACGAATATCATCCATTGCTTTGTTTCCTCCGTCGGTTCGACACACACGCTCTCGTTGGTGCCCGGCAACGCTTCGATGATTGGCACAACGCCAATCTTGTTAAGATCGCAGTAAACATCGTCGATGTCTTCGACTCGCACGCGATTCTTCGCGTCGAGTAGCCATCGTTGGAGATCAGTTGGTGAATCGCAGTCGCACGCGAATCGCGTCGAATTGCCTCCGATTCGCACCTAAATTCTCTCGCGATGATAATAAAAACCGGTTAATCAATTACTTTTTTAAGTGATTCCAGAATTGATAACGAGGAGTGATCGAGTTGTTGTAATCGGTTTGATTGTATCGACAAATGAGTAAGAGTGCCAATTTGCCGAATTTCTGTCGGAATTGTTGTTAATGAGCCAGAACTGATTTCCAAGTGAGTCAAGTTTTTTAGTCCTCCGACAAGAGCCTAAAGCGGAAATATTGAAGAGTACTGGACTATAACATCGAACCAGTTCTTTCGAAGTCATTTTCGAATTTTTAATTGAGAGCACACGAAGATGATGAAGCTCCAACAAAGGGCTTATATTGAACTCTTTCCAGTCGGTTCCATTCAAATGCAATTCCGTGAGAGGCGATGGAAGTCGATCGATTTTGTCCCATCGAAGATTCACACATTCGATGATATTTTGCGAGGTCTGTAATCAATCGAACATTCGGCGTCGCGCGATCTTTTTTTTTATGTTATTTTTGAAATCAAAGAAACACGAAGGAAGGCGGTAAACGGCCATGTCGTCGAGTATAAAATGCTGGAACATTTGATTCGAATCAGGAACAGCAATGGAGGACAACAAAATCAAGGTAAGTTAGATTTCAGTCTTACACGATTCAACATTCAATGGTTTCAGGCGTATCGCCTCATCGGCTATGCCGCAGTTTCGCTCAGTGCTGTCGGAATCCTTTCGGTGTGCATCACCCTTCCTTTGGTGTATTCCTATGTGAACAACCTCAAGGCTCAGATGCACGCTGATTTGAGACAGTGCCGTGAGACGGTCAACTCGGTCTACGCCTCAGCGGTTGCCATGCCAGCACTTCCAGCTAGCCGAAATCGTACTGCGCGCCAAGCTGGATATTCATTTGACGCAGAAGTCGCATCATACGATTCGACGTGCAATGGATGCTGTCAAGGACCAAATGGACCAAACGGTCATCCAGGAAACTCTGGACCACCAGGACCACCAGGAGGACCAGGACGTTCGGACAATCCAAAGCCAGGAAAGCCAGGAACTCCAGGACGTCCAGGACCAAAGGGACCACGTGGACCAGCTGGACTACCAGGAACCGATGGAGGACGTGGACAACCTGGAAGTCGTGGACCAGCTGGTCGGCCAGGAAAGCCAGGACTCGACGGAGTTCCAGGTCAGCCGGGACTGCCAGGAAACGACGGAACCCCAGGAGAACAAGGAATCTGCCCCAAGTACTGCTCCATCGATGGTGGAATATTCTTCGAAGACGGCACTCGTCGTTAAATATGATTTCTACGGTATTTATAAAAATTTCTTTTACAATGAATTTTCAAAAATTGGATAAAAAAATAAATAGATTGTTATTGTCGACGAGTAAACGAAATTTTAAAAAATATGTATATGGGCTGTGTGCCATGATGTCTCGAAGTAAAGAGAACTGTGCTAGGTTTCGTGCATTCAATTTCGCGCGCTTTAATATTCAGCACAAAGTGAATCTAAGCTCATTCCGTGAATATGAAGACCCCGAAACCTATCAGTCGTTTGACGCCCACGATAGAATAGCAAAGTAAAAATCAAAATCGTCAGTTCATTAGTGCATAATTCAATCGTCAGATAATTAAAATCAAACTTATTGTTTCGGTCAGCCGAGAGTTGGCTCGGCCCGAGCTGGTTGATGCCAAACTGCCATCGACTCGGTTGGTTCAAAGCCGATGTATGCGGATATTGCGGTCGATTCGCGGCAGACTAAGCGCACGAAATTAAACGTTCGACAAGGGCCCTGCTCGGCTGTGAATCAATAAGTCTGATTTTAAAAATCACTACAAAACTAAATACGTAAAGTGAAAATTTGGAGCGTATGTTTGAAGTGAAAATAAGTTAACTGAATGACTATGAGGAATGGTTTCAATAAACTGGAAAACTGAAACTGGTTTAGGAAATTTGGAAACATTATCAGGAAGTATTCATGGAAACGTCTTAACGTCTACTCGTATCAGTTCTACTCATTCAAAATTACTCGCTATCTTCTACCATAAAAAAATGTTTGCTGGAACCGAAATGGCGAGAGAATGATTATATGTGTTGAAGAGAAAAACCGAAACGGGAAGTTGTCGACTATAAAAGGACGACACTTGACATTTGAAAGCACACCATCCAGCAATGGAGGACAACAAAATCAAGGTAAGCTCGACAACATTCACGAACATATCTTAAAGAGAATGTATTCAGGCTTATCGCCTCATCGGCTATGCCGCAGTTTCGCTCAGTGCTGTCGGAATCCTTTCGGTGTGCATCACCCTTCCTTTGGTGTATTCCTATGTGAACAACCTCAAGGCTCAGATGCACGCTGATTTGAGACAGTGCCGTGAGACGGTCAACTCGGTCTATGCCTCAGCGGTTGCAATGCCAGCACTTCCAGCTAGCCGAAATCGTACTGCTCGTGACGCCGGTTACGAGACCGAGGATGCCGCTGTTGTCGGCTACAGCAGAGGCGGAACCTGCGATGGGTGCTGTCTCCCAGGTGCACCAGGACCTGTCGGTCCAGCTGGTCGTCCTGGAAGACCGGGACGTCCAGGAGCCCCAGGAGTTCCAGGAAATCCAGGCAAAGCTCCCGTGGGACCATGTGAGCCACTACCTCCTCCACCACGATGGACCAAATGGAGGACCTGGGCCTTCGGGACCACAAGGACCAAATGGACCAAATGGACATCCAGGAAACTCTGGCCCACCAGGACCACCAGGAGGACCTGGACGTTCGGACAATCCAAAACCAGGAAAGCCAGGAACTCCAGGACGTCCAGGACCAAAGGGACCACGTGGACCAGCTGGACTACCAGGAACCGATGGAGGACGTGGACAACCTGGAAGTCGTGGACCAGCTGGTCGGCCAGGAAAGCCAGGACTCGACAAAGTTCCAGGTCAGCCGGGACTGCCAGGAAACGACGGAACCCCAGGAGAACAAGGAATCTGCCCCAAGTACTGCGCCATCGATGGCGGAGTCTTCTTCGAGGACGGCACTCGTCGTTAATTCTACAATTTGTCTACGTATTAGAAATAAATCATCTAATATTCACGTCGTCTTTGAGTTGACCGTCTCAAGACACTGTCTCAATATTTCAATATTCTATGTAGATACATTTAAACAGTGTGCAAGACAATTAAAAGGGTCCACCTATCAAGAAGATCTCTTCTATTTAACAATATTCTACGTACATTCAACAAAAAATTATGAATAGCAACGAAAAACATTTTCGGAAAGAAACTCGCACAAATTGAATATAACCTTATTAAAATAACATTTAAAAAATGGTTGTTTATTTTTTGTTCTCAAAAATTGTGTTATCCCGGCGAATTTGAAAATTTGGAAATTTTCCAGCTATATGTATTTTATTTTATTTTTTTTATTGAGAAAAAATAATCGGCTACTAATCTATTAAATGGGCACTTTTCCAAAGAGTAAAACTATCCAAAACATATACAGAATTATGCTCTTTAACATTGTGATAGGCAGAAAACATAAACTTGTTGTTTAGCATTTTTGAACACGAAACCCAAAGATGCAATTACAACGTTAAATAAATGACCTCCCAATTCAGCTTTTCATGACAGTATTGTCGGAGTCAAACGACTGAAGGGATGCGGGACCTTAAAATTCGCGAAATTAGTGTAAATTTAAATTTATCGTTGACTGAATGTTAAATGCGCGTACACTATAATGCCAATGTACGCAGTCTCGCGTACTTTTCGCTGCCTCGAGACGCATTGGCACACAGCCAATCATTATTTTAAATTTTGTCAAGTCGTTTGACTTCGACAGTATGTGTTATTATCGACGAGAAGCAACTATCGGAAATCCAAAATATTTGATATGTGGTGTAATTTTGAATGCATTTCAGATCAAATTGAAAATTATTCCAAAGCCAAGGGGCTAATATTTGAATGAACAATACCGTGCAGTAAGATATATACAATTTCTTTTTTTTGGTTATCGCTTTCCGAAAATTTGGTGAATGGAACTTTGATTTTTTTTACAAAACGGATAGTGCTTTCTCAAACATAAATATTGTCTATTGGGATATTGTAGACTTTTTTTCGGTGACTCTTTTCATGTATTTTCAAAAAATTGATTGTATCATTTAAAGGTTTTTTTGTATTTTTTCAGATTTTAAATGTTAACATCATTTTTTTTTCAAATTTTTAGCGTGGTGCGACCAAAAGGCTCAAAAATAATTTCAACCGACGTTTTGAAAGCAATCAAACGTGACCGAGCACAATGTCTTTCAATCCCGTGTCTATCAAACCATTTCAATTGATCGACTTGGACCATTCGTGGATGTTTGAAACCTCAATATGGTTCAAAACCACTTGGAAATGTTTCCAAATCATTCCTGGCTACCGACCGCACAATTGTTATAATCAGCAAGAGCAACCCGCGACTATTCATTTTCGATATTTAACGAGAACTGAGACAGTTCAATTATGTCAACTTAGCTTTTCCGAAAAAAAAACATGATATTTTTTCACCAAAAGTTACATAAAGATCAGTGTTGATATTGTCAAGTCTCTTCTAGATGGTTCTGGACTACTTGGACTCTGGCATGTCAAAAAACCATTAATTTAGGGAAGAAATCGCCGTGTCCGGAGGAAGTGGCTAAAAATGCATTAGGATTGGATTTGAATTGGCGTTTTCAACAATGACCAAAAGCCATCTGTAGTGACAAAACAAGGTATGTGTTGATTGAAACCAATGGTATTACCTTTGTGAGGCGTTCGGACAGCAAAAGATTCGATCCAAAGCATCAATTACCAACAATGAAACATGGAAGAGGAAGCGTGATGGTTTGGGGATGTTTTACTGCTGCTCGAGCTGGCCAACTTTACCGAATGGAAGGAAATATGAATCGTTCAAAGTAAAAAGACAATCTCGAGAACAATGTGCTTCGATTTTCAAAGCCTATCTCTCGCCGTGGATTCTTATTTCAACCTGATAATAATCCGAAACGTAGTTCTCACTTTATCAAGGCTGATTCCAGATGCATCGGATGGTTGTTATGGACTGGCGAAGATCTTTCATGACAATCACCTGACGACATGACTTGAATTCGATTGAAAATTTATGAGAAGATGATAATAGACATTTCCGAGATAAAACAGCAAAAAGTGGTGCCGAAAAGTTTGACCAGTTAAGAAGAGCCTAGATCGATTTTCCAGTTGCACTGCTCGCGAAATTGTACGAGTCTAGGGTCGCCGATGATCGATTTAAATGGAATGAAAACAAAATATTGAGTTGTTTAAAGTTTCCCAACAGATAATTTTTGTTTTTTTTTTTTCATTTCAAGTCGAACCGGTATCAATATTATCCATGTTAATTTTTGGGTATAAGTGAAGTTTCTGATTTTGTCTATAAATTTTTTCCTAATGTATTTCACCCCTAATATCGTAATAGAATCACTCTGTTCGTACATAAGATTGTCCAAAAATTTTTAACCGATTGGATTAAGTTTCAGAAAGTTATGACCAAAAAGAAAATGTATATCTTACTGTACGGTATTGTAAAAAAAATAACTCTCTTAAAAATACAATCTTCTTATGTCGAATGAGAGGCACATATTTTTGCGATTACATTTTTAGCAGCTTGAATAATTGTGGACCATCGCAGATTTTCGAGGCGGCAATTCAAACTTGAATTTAAACAATGAGAATTTCGATACCGTACTACGGATAACCTATTAATCAAACTGATCGTAATTTATGAATGAGTGCTTGGGTTTTTTTGCGATTGTGATACATACATATATTTCAATGACATTTAGAAATATTCATAATTTTTCTTAAATTTCAGATGAAAATAATTGTTGAATAATGTTTTGTCGTGAACTTTGACCACTCATAACATCTAGGCGAATAGCATTACTGTTAATTTTTTAGTAGTTGTTTAACAACCTGAAGTCACAAAAATAAAAATGGTGAACAAACTTTTTTTTTTCAGCTTTTCGAATATAACAAAAAATCAATAATCAATATCACTGACTCATTGAAGAAATGTGTTCGACTTTTTCTGAAAAATTGAAACCCATTTGAAAACATTTGAAAAAACGAGGAATTTGTACTGAAACCGAAACAGGTTTCCTCAATTCAACACAAATTACATGGAAAAGTGGAATGTTCAAGGAAGGGTTGCAGCGTTCTCTCATATCACGTCTACTCCCGATAAAATTCGTCCCAAGATTCTTTTTTCTAAATAGAACAACAAGTTTACTGGAACCGAATTTGATAGAGGAAGTGACAACTTTTTCCGTACGGTAAAAGACGGAAGTTATCCACTATAAAAGGACGACACTTGACATTTGAAAGCACACCATCCAGCAATGGAGGACAACAAAATCAAGGTGAGCTCGGCAACATTCACGAACATATCTTAAAGAGAATGTATTCAGGCGTATCGCCTCATCGGCTATGCCGCAGTTTCGCTCAGTGCTGTCGGAATCGTTTCGGTGTGCATCACCCTTCCTTTGGTGTATTCCTATGTGAACAACCTCAAGGCTCAGATGCACGCCGATTTGAGACAGTGCCGTGAGACGGTCAACTCGGTCTATGCCTCAGCGGTTGCAATGCCAGCACTTCCAGCTAGCCGAAATCGTACTGCTCGTGACGCCGGTTACGAGACCGAGGATGCCGCTGTTGTCGGTTACAGCAGGGACGGAACCTGCGATGGATGCTGTCTCCCAGGTGCACCAGGACCTGTCGGACCAGCTGGTCGCCCTGGAAGACCGGGACGTCCAGGAGCACCAGGAGTTCCAGGAAATCCAGGCAAAGCTCCTGTGGGACCATGTGAGCCACTACCTCCTCCACCATGCCCAGCATGCCCGGCTGGACCGGCTGGACCACCAGGAGCCCCAGGACAGCCAGGACGCGAAGGACCACCAGGAGCTCCAGGACACGATGGACCAAATGGCGGACCTGGACCTTCAGGACCACAAGGACCAAATGGACCAAATGGACATCCAGGAAACTCTGGACCATCAGGACCACCAGGAGGACCAGGACGTTCGGACAATCCAAAGCCAGGAAAGCCAGGAACTCCAGGACGTCCAGGACCAAAGGGACCACGTGGACCAGCTGGACTACCAGGAACCGATGGAGGACGTGGACAACCTGGAAGTCGTGGACCAGCTGGTCGGCCAGGAAAGCCAGGACTCGACGGAGTTCCAGGTCAGCCGGGACTGCCAGGAAACGACGGAACCCCAGGAGAACAAGGAATCTGCCCCAAGTACTGCGCCATCGATGGCGGAGTCTTCTTCGAGGACGGCACTCGTCGTTAATTCCAATACTATTCGTTTTAGTAATAAATTTTGGCCACTGCAATCTTTTGAAGTTTCTATGAATAGAATAATCTAATACGAATAGAACATAAAGGTATTCTTGTCAACCCCAAAGTTCATGCACCCTCTTCGAATGATTACCTAACCAACGAATTGTCGTTTTATCATATTAGTTGTTGCGAACTTTCTAAGAAAAGAAAAAATGCTTCGACGTCTGCGTATCGTTAGATGCAGTTGATTATCAGTGGTTGTTGCTATCAATGGTTTTGCTTTTTGTGGATTCACAAAAAACTTGATAAAGTGTAAAATGAATCCAGGAACCGAAAGAGAAAGAAGTGAACTGTTTAATAAAGAAGACTGCGGTATAAAAGGAAATCGTTTAGTTGAGAATGGTACGTTCAGCAATGGAAGACAACAAAATCAAGGTAGGTTAGATTTCAGTCTTACACGATTAAGCATTCAAAGTGGTTTCAGGCGTATCGCCTCATCGGCTATGCCGCAGTTTCGCTCAGTGCTGTCGGAATCGTTTCGGTGTGCATCACCCTTCCTTTGGTGTATTCCTATGTGAACAACCTCAAGGCTCAGATGCACGCTGATTTGAGACAATGCCGTGAGACGGTCAACTCCGTTTATGCGACCGCCATCGCGATGCCAGCGCTGCCCGGGAGTAACCGCACCGCCCGTCAGGCGGGTTACGACGTCGGAGTCATCGGTGGAGAACCAAGTGAAAAAGGAGTGTGCGATGGGTGCTGCTTGCCAGGCGCCCCAGGACCTGTTGGTTCTGCTGGGCGCCCAGGACGTCCAGGACGTCCGGGAGCACCAGGTGCCCCAGGTCATCCAGGAGAAGGACCAATCTCGCCATGTGAACCATTAACTCCGCCACCATGTCCAGCCTGCCCAGCCGGACCACCAGGACCACCAGGAGCTCCAGGAGAGCCAGGAAAGGAAGGACCAGCAGGACCAGCCGGAAAAGATGCTTCTGAAGGAGAACCAGGAGAGGCTGGACCACCAGGGCAACAGGGACCAAATGGACCACCAGGAAAGGCTGGTGCTGCCGGCCCACCAGGACCACCGGGACACTCTGACGAAGTGAAGCCAGGAAAGCCAGGAACTCCAGGACGTCCAGGACCAAAGGGACCACGGGGACCAGCTGGACTACCAGGAAAAGACGGCGCTCCAGGACACCCAGGAGAAAAGGGACCAGCTGGAGAGCCAGGAAAATCAGGAGTCGACGGAATTCCTGGAGAACCTGGACAGCCAGGAAACGACGGAATTCCAGGAGAACCTGGAATCTGCCCCAAGTATTGCGCTGTCGATGGCGGAGTCTTCTTCGAGGACGGATCTCGCCGCTAAGTACACACTTGCAAACAAAAATAAATCTACTTTCGAATTTTCTATTTTTTTTTTCTTTGAAACTGATAACAAACCCTTGGACTCGATGTGTCGGCTGATCGCAAACAACGACAAGACGGTGGGCATTGAAATCGGCAAGAACACATCGAACGTTCGCAGCACTCGCAATTCGCTTCACACATCTGGAAAATAAAAATCTATATGAGTGATTAATCAATTGGATGCGATACATTTGAATATTTGCACAGCAAATCATTTCGCTCAACTGCCAATTTGAGAAGCATCATTTTGTGCGGATGCATCAAAGAAACACATTGAACTGCTTCAAGATCCGCAATTGTGATATTTTTGAGTTTGGAATGCATAAGCCATTTATGCATACAATGACATGATAATGGATTGTTCGCCAAAAATAGTTTGAATTCTCCTTTCGGACCTTTGAAACTGGAATGTTTCGCTTCTTTAATTGAATTGTTTCTGAAAAAGTATTACATAACGAAAATAGCCGAGAAAAATATACTTGAAGTCAATTAATACGAGATGCTCTAAATGGCCTAATGCGTTTTCCTGAAGGAATTTGATCCGGTTTTCAGACAGATCGACATGTTTCAGCTCGGACGGAAGCACATTGATGCTTCCTGAAGCTAATCCGGCAATGAATTCAAGACGGTTCGCAGCCAAATCGAGTCGTTTCAAATGTCTCGCGGTTGCTCGCAGATAATGCATTGTGGAAATTTGATTATGTCGAAGAGAAAGATCGGTCAGATGCTCCGGAAATCGGCGAAAATCGATATTTGTCAATCGATTGTTGTTCATTGTGATCACTTTGAGTTTTGTCAATGAAACCATTGTATTGGTGAGAAATCCAATATTATTATCACTAAGATCAAGATGAAGCAGATTTCTTAAATTTTCTCAATTAAATAACTTTTTTTAATGAACACTTACTGCAAAGATTTAAGAGAATATGGTTCGATTCTTAATTGGTTTCCTGATAAATCGAGCATCATCAAATTAGGCACATGGGCGAATATTTCCCTGGGTAAATCGGAAATTTTCCCATTTTTCATTATAAGCGAATAGAGTTGATGTAAACCCTGAAAGAAAGAACAAAATGAAATGTTTTTGGAATCATTCGGTTTTACAGCGAAAAGTGTTTCCGGCACATTCTCCATCAAACAGCGGTCAATCTCCAAACGATCCAAATTTCGAAGCCTTTGGAACATGGCCGGAATTGGTGTTGAGACTTTTGGTGAATGATACGGACATCGGATTGTTAAAGTTCGAATTAATTCGGGTCGAGACAAATTGGAAAGACTTGTGCTGTTGATCTACAACTGACGACAATGAAAATCCATCAAAGATTCGAAGAAAAATTAAATATAAATGAACCTGTTTCGATTGAAAAATAATTCAAATTCAATTAAGAAAACGCTTAAATTCGATTTGAAATCTTTGTTTCGATTCAAAAATCTTCGAAATCGATTAATTTATTTCTCATTCTCAATTTTAAAAATTTTCGTATTCGATTGTAATTTTGGAATAATTTGAAACTGATTAATTTTTATTCGATTTCGATTGAAAAACAAATTATTTTCGAATCCGATTAATTTTCATTTACTTGAGCATTTGATTGATTTTTTTTAATCGCTAAAATGTTATCTTTGAAGATTTTTTTATCAGTTTTTGAATGGATGAGAACATCGATTTTTCCGACCATTTTTTCGTTTTTGCAATTTTTCATTTTAAACCCGCCATCAACTTATTTGATCGCGAAATAATTTATTTCCGGAAATGGTAGACATCAAAAAAATGAATGAATGAATGAATGGCGAAAAATTGGCGAATCTTTCATGCGCGATAATTTATTTCGCGCGCCGTCGCACACCAACCTGCTCCCATTTACAAATGAGATGAACCTGCGTCGACTGCTCGTTATCCTCGTAACATTGGCATCGATGTGGACAGTCGAAATAGGCAAAAATTGCCGAAAATCGCCAAATGAGGAGGTTGAGGACAAGTTGGAGTAGGCAACGCATGTGCCATCAACCGCAATCTTTTCTCCTTTCTAATCGTCTGAAATACGAATTTGAAGGCTGCTTATGAGTTTCCGCTCATATCAAAGTTGATGCTATTAAGGAAGTTTGCGGTCCCAACGGGCTACCCAATTCTCGGAAATGTCATAGCAAAAAGATCAAATCCCTCTGCTGTTTTGTGTTTTTTTTTGTAAAGCAGCTCTAAATTATTGTTTGCAAACATCGTTTGGTCACTATTTTTTTGGTCAAGAAGCTCTAGTTTTCAGCAAAAATTTGTGTGGTGAAGCTCAATCGAATTGTAGGGAAATAAAGAAAAATACATTGCATTTTATGAATAACAAACAAAAAAGAGACGCTAAAAAGCAGAAAAGAAACGCTAAAACTCATTTAAAATAAACTCTGAAAACCGTATGGAGTTTGCGATTAAAAAAACCAGTCTTAACTAGTGCTTTTTTTTAGCTTTTTTTTTTCAAATTCTGCACCAAAATAAATTGTTGAGAAGTCGAAATTTGGAAGCAATTAAAACAAAATTGTTTCCGCAACAAAAACGACGAACAAAAAAAGAGATTTCCGTAGAAAATTTCTGGACTTTGTTCCAATTTGACACAGAAAGCTCAAATTTACCGGAAATCCTACCGCACTGGTGATGTATAATGATTTCGGTTTATGAATTTCAAAATCGAAGAATGAAATGTGAAATAACTTTTAAAAAATGCATCGTTTGAAATTTAACAGTTTTGAAAACGGACAAAATTTTCAAATTATTTGAAAGCGTTAACCATTTTTGATTTTATTGAAAATTTGTATGTGCCTTTAATGAACACTGTAGTTTTCGATGTGTTTCATACTAGATCAAATCGAAAATGATAGCAAAATGCTGAATTTTAAATGGAATGAATGCACCTCTCGACAGTATTCGGAAAGAAATGGAACAGTGGTGAGAAGAAGCAAATAAAATTGCAAAGCGTTTTTGTCACACAAATCGTCGTCCAAAATGCATATTCATTCATCTTGTGTGTCCGATTCCACGAATCCCACGAAATTCCCATCGGAATCAACGACAAAAAGGGAGGAAGACACACAAACGCACAGGAGAAAAATGGGCGGACCGAAATGGAGATTTATGCGATACAACAGCACCACCGCGGGAGAAAAAAAAACAAACAAAAAACAAACAAACAAAATGGTTTTCTGGATGATTCGCGGTTGAAATAAATTATCGAGTTGGTCATAAATGATACATAATTATACGTGAAATGCATATTAATAGTAGTAATAATAATAATAATAATTCACACGGCCCGCGATAATAAAGACCCGTTAACATAATTAGGCGTTGTAGTCTATAAGTAGGATGTTTCAGTGTTGAGAGTCGTCGGAATCTGGAAACCAGTTATGTCGTGAAGCACCGCCGGACAATTGCTACCTTTATGAAGGCCGTCTGCCGGAGAGTTTCGGTTTTCGGTGCAGGGTCCTTTTTGGTTCCTCTTAAGGTTTTTATAAGCATTTCCTTAAACATTGGATTCAGCCAGGCATACAAAATCGGATTTGTCACATTCGTCAGCATGGATATTCTAAAAACAATGCGAGTTCGAGGTTTTCTCGAATAGATTCTTGATACAGATGAGCTGTTGTTGATACTATATAAGTATGATCTACCGAATTGACTCCATGGAATATCAGCTCATCATATTCGATCATCAGCGTGACAACATTGTGCGGCAACCACGTGATAGCGAACAACAGAACCTGTAATATGAGCAATGCTATCTCAATGGTACATCGCCGCGTCGGGACCCAAGAGAATTGATGATGATGATGTTGGGTGTCATGAAAAATATTGACATGGCACAATTTATGGCGATGAGGAAGACTTGATTAGACTCGCGCAGTGGCGAAATAACATTTTCGCAATAAAAAAAGCATTTTTGGTGTTTGGCGCTTTTTTGCAAATCATGTCTGAGACTGGGGCAACTTTGGAAGACTCGAATTTTTTTTTAATATTTTCAAAAAAATATTGTATTGAATTTTTGAATTGTTCGTTTGTCGATTTCAATCGAATCCCCAGAATCTTTCGACTTCTTCTATTTGATTTCGAAGGTCCCCCCGTTTTTTTTTCTATTTTCTATCGCGTGCATTTTCTCAGATTTTGCTCTGCGATAAAAAATAAAACAAATCTCGAATTTTGTGCCAATTTGCACGTCTTCAATCTAATTCATATATGAATATAAATACAATGAAGCACAATCATGTTTCGCGTCTAATTGTGATGATTGCGAATGATCAAAGCTCACCATGCTCAGCAGGATTGTGGTGGTCCGTCGCTGCTGCGCCAGAACAACCAGACGTTGTTTGCTCTCGACCGATGGGCTCTCCTGAACAAAAAAAATTGCCAATTATGGGTTTCCGGTGTATAATTGGGGTGCAACCCAGCGAACCATCGAGTTGATCGCATTGATGACGTTATTCGACACCGCGCAAGATGTGCTGTTCTCAAGAAGTTGGCTCCTTTCTGACAATTTTTGCAGCTTCTTCTCAACTCTGAAAACGAAATGAAATAATTCTCACGTGCGAGTCGAAGAAACCTTTGTCGCAATCTGGCAAATATATTATAATAGCAGAAAGCCATGGTAGCAAAAGGGAACAAGAACTGAGTAATTAGAACTAGAAAAGCGTATCCCTTTCGAACCTCGGCTAAAGGCCAATGTTCTGTGCAGTACTGTAAGCAAAATTTGAGAAAAATAACAAATTATAAACTGTACCTCTCCACAAAGGTCTGGAATTTTATCGACATCCATGTACCATCCATATGGCATGCAGACAACAACTGAGATCACCCAAATCAGCAATGCCACCATCATTGCATTCCGAGAGCTTAAGGTGTGCTTGTGCGGTCGCACAACCAAATTGTATCTCAAATCAAAATTATTTTTCTCCCTTTTTGTTGTACATATAGTCGGCGTACGCGGATAGATTTACAAGGATGCTTCTTTCTCATGGTCTCGCGCGAACTAACTGATTATTTCGCATTTTATGAGTCGTTTTGATAATTTTTAAATCGAATGACGTTGGAAATGCCAACCAATCTCATCTACAAAAAATTAACCGTTCACGTGAAAACAGCAAAATAAGCGATCACATGTGGCGAGACCATAGTAAAAGGCGCATGCGCGTAAATCTACCCGAGTAAAATTATTTGAAGTTTAAAAGAACAATTTCAATGAAACCCTTGAATGTTCTTTCTCACGGAACGATCCATTTTTGTCAATTAAAGATCTTTACCCCCCCCACACCTTCTTCATCGGTGTTTTAAACGTTCAACAATTGATGTTTGTGATCATAAATTTTTAATGAATCACCTATCCAAAGCGATTGCAGACAATGAAAACGTCGAGACGAATATGGAAGCACCCTGAACACTTTTCGAATATTTAAATAGGACGGCAACAAACGCACCTGAACTAATGGGATCAGTTTACAAATCGGAGATGAGAAGTACCATTGCTTGTAGACATTCGTGATAAAAGTGATTGGAAGAGAAGTCAGACACATAAGAACATTTGAAGCTGCCAGGTTCAGAATAAATATATTCTGGACGGTTTGAAGTTGTCGATGCTTCATTGTCAAATATCTGAATTTTAAAAAATGTTGTGAGAATGAATATAAAATGTGATTATATCCATACAAAATGGCTGAGTTTCCTAGAATGCCTAATATGAAAATATGTAAGTAAAGAATTGAATAAGTCACAAGAATCACAGAGTTATTTGTGAGATCCGGATGTTCGTCGATATAGCGAGCACACGATTCGGTTTCATTCGGCATCTGCAACAATTTTTATTGGAAGATTTTCTTGAATCGAAATACTGAAATTATGGGCATTTATTGCAATTTTCAATAATTGAGAGATCGTGAGAATTCTTTATAGACTTCACACGCCAATATCGAACAGAATATTTCGACAACAAACATCTATGTATTGTTTAACTCGATTAGAAATCAAGTCAGTCACGAACCAAATAAAATAGAGTGATTCTGAATATAATAATAATAATAATAATAATATGCATTTTTGGCAATAAAACGGCATGCGGTGCTTTGTTTTTTCTTCGTTTAATTTCATATTCGTTTTATAGAGGTGGTTTTCGAAAACGAAAGAAAAAGTAATGGAATTTTGGATTGAAGAACTCATATATATTTATGCGGATTTTTGACCTCTCGAATGAAAAGAATGCGAAAAAAAGAGTACACACACAGGCATATGAAAGCCGGCTTTAAAATAGATGGAATTAATTAAGAAGAACTCTCTTTCGACGAAACCGTATTATTTTGGAGTGGTTGATTTCGAATGGATTGGGAGGGCGGAAATAAATAAAAAAAACATGGGAACGACGAGAACAAAAAGTGCCGAAAAACATTTTCACATTTAGGTTTTTGAATAAATAAATAAATAAATAAAGAATAGCCACCACAAACAAAGACAACTTTTTCTACTCGAGCAGAACGCCGAAGAAAAAAAAACTATATGCTGTTTGAGTGGAAAACACTGCTACTATTCTCATATGTACGTACTACTATTAATTTGTTATCTTGGGTTTTCAAAGATTTTCATTTGCTATCGTCATTTGAATATGCGCGTATTTTTTCTATGCTTCGTCACACGAGAAGAAGCCTCATTTTAAAACGATATCCACTCAACTTCAAACAATTAGACATTATTAATACCAACGACAAAAAATGCAGGATTCATATGCAAAACTAGCAAAATTAACAAAATGGATTTTCAAGGGAAAAACGGTGGCATTGTTTGGTTTTGAAATGTCTGAGAAATCAAAAATCTGGAAAAGACGAAAAAAAATATTTCACACTCGTCTATAACTCTGTGAAGGCTTACGTGGATTTGGTTTTCTAATGGCTTCATAAACATGGGCATCGATTCCCTACAATTACTGAATATGAACGAATGAGTTCACAGGAATGTGCTCTTACCACCTCAAAAAAATAAAAATAAAATCAAGTCGGCCAACAACACCGACTTGATATATTCGAAATTTGCTCTTATAAATTTATTGTGCAAATTGGTAGCTTTAGCCCTCTCGTTTCGCCCACATTAATGGTTTCCTTCTGAAAAAAAAAACGAAACTCCCATTAAGCTATTTTTACTAACAAACTGAGTATCGTTCTATTCTTTTAAATTCACAATATATTTTTGAAGGCACGTCATATTCGAAATTAATTCAATTTGAAAAAAAGGAAACCAAACTCGCTTATCGGAAATATCGAGAACCTGAATCAAAGTGCAAAAAAGGAATTTGCGAGAAGAGAAAAATAAAAAAAAGTCGATGAGAATGATATTTTGTGATATCACTGCAAAAAAAATACTCATGAATAATCATGAATACTCATGAATACTCATGAATACTCATGAATACTCATGAATACTCATGAATAGTCGAGTTTTTCGCTTTTTAGTCACATTCCTTCTCACCATATTTTAGCTCTATTTTGTCTTTTTTGAAAATTCGACAAAATTGTGGAAACGTTTTTTTTTGAGGATGAGAAAAATGGTGGATAGTTGATTAAAAAAAAGAGAAAATGTCAGAGGTGTCAATTAAGGCGAGAAAAAAGAGGTGGAGCCGGAAGCGAGTAATTATGAATAGAGTCCACCAAACAAGGCGAGTTTTATTCAATATTGAAAAAAAAACGAGGAGGAGGAGGAGAATAAGAAGAAGACGAAGTTGGTGATGTTGAAAAGAAAGTTTCGAAAATGCGTGTTTCAACGTTTTTCGCAAAAATACACATACGCGCATGGTGTGTGGGGTGGGGCCAATAGTTCTTCGCTACCAATTTTTCGCTCCGCTACCGGTTTTTCACTACCACATTTTCGCTACCGAAAAAATAGTTTTTTCACTACCGTTTTTCACTACCGTTTTTCACTACCGATTTTTCACTACCGATTTTTCACTGCCGATTTTTCACTACCGATTTTTAACCACTGTTTTTTCACTGCCGATTTTTAAATTTCTCAATTTCAAAAAAAGAACAATTTACACAAATAAAAGGGTATTCATCGAAAAAAGGGGTGGAGAGGAAATATAATATAGAACAAAAAAGGGCTAAAAATCATTCAATTTTTAAATTAACCTGATGGCTTCTGTCTTCAAAAGATCTTTAAAAATTCTTAAGAAACTATATTATGTTTTCTTTATATATACACCTCGATTAGCTGGTATTATTTAAAATTTGTGATGAAATCCTATGAAGTAGATAATTTATCCAAGTTCGTGCGCGGTTTGTCGTATTATCTCTGCGACTCATTCATAGTTATTATCGGGAACTTTCAAAAATTGTAGAAGCTGCAAAGCTTTCAAACTATTAATCTACTTGTCACGAACCCACTTCTAACGTTATTAAAAAATTATTTCTTTTCAGTTTTATCTAATTGCTAAGAGTTGATAGAAAATGATTGCGAGACCATTTCGAAAGACGCATTCCCGTAAATCTACCAGCCGCCGGACGTCGACTATATCTGAAAAATTATTTTTGAATAAATAACACAAGTACGAAATAATAGAAACACAAATCAAAAGTGAAACAGCGATAAAAAATTCAGTAACAGCAAATATATATTTTTTAATTTCGATTCCTGATTTTTGCCCAAATTCTCGATAAAAAACACTTTCATATTAGTTTTTGCTTAATATATAATTTTAAAAAATAACTTTAATCAAAAAATAATATAGAAAAGAAGAAAAGTAAGCAAAACATCAAAAACAATGGTTGTAGGATAAAAATAGAATACGAAAATAAAAAAAATCGCTGCGCGGAGTACGGTAACCGGTGCAATTATTATTGCGAATACATTCGTCGTGCAGTGTTTGCGGATTGCTTATTTTTTGACATTTCGAAAATATTTTTTGGCCTAAATTTATTTTTTATGGATTTAGTTTCAGATTTTACCTGCATTAAACATTATACTTAATTTAAAAAAAAAAGTACATTTTTCAGAATGGCGTTTATTTCAAGCGATATATCTTCGAAGTCAACCAAAAGAGACTTAATTTCCATTTGGAACGGAATAGAGAAGCTTGAATCCTCTGAGAGGTATTTCGTCAGAGTTTTTTTCTCACTATTTGGACTTTTAGAACACTATTAACGATTGACGACGTTGCTAAGGAAATCAGAGGGGATTGGAAAGGCAGAAAATGCTTTGTTGTAGATAAAAGTAGCTATAATGGAAAACCGTTAACATACGACGGCTTAAAATGGTTTAGACAAGTTCAAGGTTGAAATTTGTTTCATTCGTCATAATCGCTTGCCGTTTAGGAGAAAAAAAATCGCTCCGAAGTATCGGCAATGGAATGAAAATGGACGTGTTTATGGAACAATCCAGTGCAGATCGCCGTCCACTGCGAGTTTCAGAAAAACTGTATGCAAATTTCTCTCGCTTTAGTTATCAATATAAAAATAAAATATTTGCAGGTAGTTTATATGGACGATTCGACTTTTGTTATCGTCGACTATCACCGCGATGAAGAACGAATTAGCTTGGATTTTGATATTCATAGGATGACAGGTTATTATTTTTTTCTTTTTGTTAGATATATTATATTTTTTTTGCCTCAGAAGTTGATATCGTTCGAAGCGAACTGATTGGGAGGTCTGTAAAGAGTGCATATGAAATTCTACATAAAAAAGGCTTCAAGTTCTCGCTTGAGCAGGTATAAACACATTTTAAATCTTAAATAAGTTGAAACCTGCATGTTTAAGGTGAGGAACCAAAGGAAACACGTACCTGAATCGATTGGCTGCAATCGAGGCGTCAAAGCTATTGCCACCACATCCGAATTAGGAAAAATAGCGAGAAACGTTCCGAATGCAAAGTACAGCGTATTTGAGTGTAAGATTTTCGTTTCGTAATGACAAAAAGAAAATACTTTTGCAGGTAACGGTGGAATGGTAGATTGTTTGTCGGTTATTCTTGATGAACCCTTTCGGATTGTCTTAAACTGTTTACCGACTACTAACGAGTACGAATCTCACCTGAGATTGTTCGAAGACATAAACGAAAATAATAAAAAGGAACATATCCAATCACTATTAGGTATTCGATTAGTTGAAATATTTAAAATATAAATTTGTCCTTTCAGAACAATGGAAAGTTTCAAACGATGATGGATTTTTGTTCAGTGGTGTCACTCAGCTGGATACAACATTCGGATTGAGCGAGTTGTATGTCACTTTAATGTGCACCACAGTAAAGATATTCAAGTGAGTTTCATTGAAGATTATTGTTCTATTACAATTTTAAACTATTACAGGTCGAAAAAATCAAAAAAACCGAGAACTATTGTCATTAGCTATTTGTTGCACTCGAAAAAGACTATGGAATGCCACAAGTTTCACGCAAACCATGTGAACGAATACCTGCAGAAGCAAGGTTTCAAAAATGACCGCGTTGTGCCTGGATTCATCACGGACGGTGAAAAATCCTTTGAGGAATATTACAAGGTTTGAATGAAACCTTTCATTAATTTGAATGATCAAACGCGTTTACCATTTTTATCTTAGAGCGAAATTTTTAAAAATAAGCAAACAATTAACTCGCACCCACAAAAAACTAAAAACTTTTTGTTTTTGATTGTTTAACTTCGTTTTTATAGACAATCCCACTTTTTCGTAATTCACAACGTCTGCGTTGTGATTTGCATCGCATGGCTAATTTTGAAAATTCGATGTCCACAACGGATAAAACAACTCGCGCTCGACTGACCAGAATGGTTTTTGGTGAGGTACGTGGTTTTAATAATCAAATTTATGTTACC